GGCATCCAGCACTCCAAACTAGGGAAAAAGTGAGCCTATTACGAGACTGAGGTGTCAAAGAAATATAACCAAGTCTGAATTCTGTCTCTCATTTGAAAGAAAAAAAAATGGTCGCCTCACCCATGGTGGAAGCTGAGCACGCGGTGGATCCTGATCACATGATGGATGATGTCGTCCGACAGCATGATGTTGATGGTGACGTTGCCAAACTCCTCGTTGTAGCGGGTCAGGTGAGAGTGGACACACTGGTGGACCTTGTCCAGCTGCTCCACGGGCTGCAGGACGACCTAAGGAATTCAAGAGAGGGTCCAACTCAGTTGAGGGCGGCCAATGCGGCCCTGGTTTCGAATCCCACCAGAGTCAGTCTGTGAACGTGTTTCTTCTCCCGGGCACTTGGTGATGCCCTGTGTCAAGGGAGAACAGCTTCGCCAGGGTGTGAGTCCCAACTGAAGTTCAGCCTAATGAATTTGTTTCTCACAGAGGCTCAGGGCAAAAACTGACCCTTCCATCAAGTACGACCAGTGAGAAACGGGTCTGAATCTCACCACAGCGAGCGGATAAGTCCTCGTCATATGCTCTCAAACCTTCAAAGAATGCATTGTTACCCTAACTGCTACGAAAAACAGATGGACTGACTTACCCTGACAGATTTCTGAGAGAGAGAAGTGACGGGCCGGACGTAAGTCCTCGGCTCGATGGGGAATGTCACAAAATCCTCATACAGAATATCACCATCAGGGATTTCTGGAAAGTGCTAATGGAAACACATAAAAGGGATATCATGGCATTCAATCTGGGTCCTTCCAAACTGAGGAATAACTGCAATATGTCTTATATTTCTTATGCACTGTCAACGGTATGGTGACTAGGCATGCATATGGGTCATTCCATGACGTTGGGGCACAATTTGTGACAGTGTCCTTGTTACATGGGAAACTTTAACCGCCTGTCATGACCTTTGGAGTAGGTCATTTACTCTCTAAAAATAACACACACCTCTGTATTCAGCTTAGCAAGATGTATAACAACGTCAATGTGGAATCCACATGCAGGGAAATAGCTGTTTATTTTTAAGGAACTCACATAACAATGGACACTGTCACAACTTGTGCCCCAACCTCAAGGAATGACCCGTCTATGAATGGAAAAATGTAAGGGTTCTAGCTTGAGTAGAAGTGTTACCGTTTTGACGATGTCCGCCAGTGTCTGCTCAAACCAGTTGATGTCTGCCGTGCGACAGAGCCGGTCCTGCATGATGCGTCGTACCTCATGCTGCCAGAGTGACGTCACCATGCTGATCTCGCCTCGGGCCTCCTCGGACAGGCGCACAAGGCACTGGGGAGAAAAATGTTTAGAGCATTTGAAGAGGATGTCACAAAATGACTTGCATGGACGAGTTTGCTTCATGATGACATGTTGAATGCTGCAAACTATAAGATTTTGGTAAGAAATATACCAACTCACGTGAGTCAACATTTGTGATTTTTAACAGTTGGCCAACATATCCAGTCTTTTTTCTCCAAAAGTTGGTTTCCAGACAAAACCAATACCAATAAGTAGTTTGGAGTGAGCCATTGTGTAGCTCTCAAGTGCTGGCTTTAAAGGACTGGTTAGCTCATACCTGGAAGGCCTTGGTGAGATCCCGCAGGGTGAACATGTAGTGGTGCCGGCCAGGCATTAGGGAGGGCCGGAGGACGGCCTGGACCTTCGTCAGTAGCTGGCAGGAGGCGGTCACTATGGCCTCATGCAGCTCCTGGGCCAGGCTCTGGCCGTTGTTCTTGTGCATGTTACCGTCCAGAATGGCGTCCACGATGCCGGTCAGCGTCGAGTCGTGGGGCTCAGGTAGGCTGACCACGGCAAAGTGCCGCTGTGGTCAAAAAACTCAATTTGTTAATCAAAGAAATTTTCTTCTTTGTAAAATTTCAGTGCCAAACTCAAGTTTGCAGTACACATCTCATAAGATGGTAAGGTATGGGACCAGGATCGTAATAGTGTGCAGGATTGAACATTTTAAGGAATTTTATTAAACAATGACCTTTTTTGCAAGAATCTAACAAACACAATATAAACATGAGTAATTGTCAAACTATTTAATGCAGAAAAAAAATTCAGCAAGCCTCCATCTCTTTTTTTTGAATGCACCATTTACATTATTCAGCATTTTCAACAAGACTGATCTCAAACAATGAAAAACACTTAAATCGCTTGTATAAGACAATGCAAGGCATTCCGAACAGGTGTCAATGTGGCAAGATGTGCTTAAGAAAACAAACACCACAAAAGTAAGTGAACAGAGAATTGAAATTTTAAATTTGTTAAAATATGAGCAGTTGGGAGGTTTTAGTACACGTTGAGCATGGAGTGTTACTGGAATGATAAACCGTCGCACCGTTCCAGAAATCGTGATCTCCTTTAAACACTAATGACAGACGGACAAAAATTTCGTTTGATGAAAAGAGACGAAAAGTTACCAATAGCCTCTGTGGCATCTTCTTGTTCCCGACGCTAGGGTAGACGTTGCGCGTGTGACCCGACAGTACCACAAGGTCCTGGATGGTACGCCACTCAAATGGCTTCTGCAGCGTGACCAGGACGCGGTCGTCCAGGAGCTGGCGTAGGAGCTCGTTGCAACGCTGCACGCCGTGCTCGTCGGCAGGGGGGAGGTTGAGGTCGTCGATGAAGAGCTGGAGCCGTTTGTTGTCGCGCGCTCCATAGACAAACCCTGATTGGTCAAATTTTATGCATTTATGAAATAACATCCAACAGCGCATTTGGCACCAATTACGGGATGAAGTAATGATTAAAAAGACCATGTAGAAATGTTCAGTTTTAGAGGTGGGAAACCCCAGATAAATCTTCCAGGGAAAACCTACAGAATCAGGCATGGACTCCAAACCCGATCCACATCCTGACCCAGGTCGGATTCGAATTCGGGTCACAAAAGGTGGAAGGCGAGGAAAGAACCACAACACAAACAGGATTGAAAACGGTTCAGAAAGTTAGAAAGCACAGTTACTAAGCTTTTTCGGAATGGTAAACAATTTGGGATCAACTGAATTCAGTGACTGAAAAAAAACAATTCTGAAAATCTTGCTATGAAGTTTAGCAAGTGCTCCATTCTGACTTCACTTTGGTCTCAGTTTGGCTTTGGCTCGGTTCAGTTCTGCGGTTCGTTTTTGTTCGATTGAGATATGCTCCTTCTTTACCTCTGCGATGGTGGATGTTGGTCACAATAAACTGCTGCAGTTGGGAGGCAGTAGACGCGCCAGAGAAGACCAGACGCTTGGTGACTTGATAAGACGGATCTGAAACGGCAAAAATGTCGGGAGATTAAACACTAAACAGAGAGATATTTTTTTTCACTTCTTTTTTTTCCAACTGCTTGTGCACCATGGTAAAATTCTAGAAGGGGTATACAGAGTACCCAAGTGTGATGCCATTTTGAAGAAGGAAGTGTAGTGCAAACAGCTTGTTGGCTCACCCGCTGGTTCTCGCGCTAGTGCCTTTTACAGACATAATTGTGGGTGTAAGATATTCAGATATCATGCATCTTGATAGTACTTATGTTATAATCTTTCCTCACACTTATAAAGACCGTTTATTCTGAAGTATGCAGGTGGACTAGACCTTTACCAAACTCTAAATCGGACAGAAATTCAGTCCTTCTACTTAATCTCACCCAGCGTGTTGATGAAGTCGTTGATCATGGCCGTCTTCCCTGAGCCTGGAGGTCCAACCAGGAGGACGTGCATGTTGGACAGATTAGCAAACTCCAGAATCACTCGACAGCGAATCTGAAACACAAAATTTGAAAAAAAAGGATTTTCAATCAAATTTCGAATATTTGAATTCTGCTTCTACCAACACACAGTCAAGGGATAGATTTTGATGTGAAAAATCTCACAAATTTTAATCTTAATTCCTATTTAGGTTGGTTTGGACATACCGTGTCAACTGTTTCCACAAAGATTTCTCCCAGCAGGTCGTGGGTGTCGGACGTATAGGTGACCTCGGGGACGCGAGACAGCCATGGGTCCCATTCGCCAGACTCATCCACGTAGTAGTCAAAGACGGAGATGTCGTGATCGTAGTCGGGCAACCTGAGAAAGAAATCAGGAGAATGATGAAAGTGGTTCAAGTTAACGCAACAAGTCAGTTCACCACAGCAGCACTTGTCCTTTATTTGGGCTTGGCATTACGTTTTCCGTACTCTCATCAACCTAAGGGTTTTACAGAGGATTTGACCAACAGGCTTTTGCATCAAAGAGGCCACTTTATAACTTCGATTTTTTTCAACTTGCTCACATGAGACGCTGCCATAACCATACATCACGACAACTACTCACGCCGACGTCAGTGTCCGCAGCAAGTCGCTAAAGTTCTTGCGGTCACTGCCTTCCAGGAGCCCGCCGAAGGACCAGATGAGGCAGAAGAGGAAGAGGCGCTCGATGTGCAGCTCGCCGCCAATCTCCACGTGCTCGTTGAGCATGGCCGTCAGCAGGCCCAGACACATCTTGAAGAGACCCACTTCGCAGACTGGAACCAAGGGTCTGGGTATCGCGAGACAATCAAGAATTCCGATGTGAACAATTCGTACATATGCTCGTTTAAATGAGTTCAGCTTTGTGAAATTCTACCAAAATATGTGATCTTGGGGCACAATTTCACATTCATGAATGCCATTGCTCCATGTATGAACTAGCCTTTTGAGTTGTGCAAATGTAAACACTTACAAATACATGTGTGCTTAATTTGGGATTCGCCAGAAAAGAGTTTCAGAGTGGTATTAAAGAAGCATGAATTTTCACACTGAACTTGATCAAGTTGAACGGATGTCTTTTGCAACAACAATCAATTGAAACTTCAATCATCAGTCATCAAATCTGCACAAGTAGAGACAAAACTTATGACTGACGGCTGGAAAAATAAGAAGGTATTTTCTGTCGTTTCTCTTGAGAAAATTGACCAAAGTGGAAGGAGAGAACGTACCTGGTTTCGTACAGGACAAAATTCACGACAGCATCCATGGTCTTGTTGAAGGCTTTCTGTAAACACTGCACAAATACAGGAAATAAAGTATCTCTTCAATCCTAGGTCTGGCTAGATAGGCCTGGCTAGATAGGCCTAGCTAGATAGGCCTGGCTAGATAGGACAGCTGCTTGATAAAACAGTCCAAAGTATCAGATATTCTAATAAAATTATACATTCTTTAGCAGTAAGCTGTGTTGGTGTTTGGAAACGAGGGACAAAGGAACATCTGAGTTGGAAGAAACCTACGTGAACTTCTTGCTGGTTGCGATTCTCCATCCAGGCCTGAGCGATGGGACGCCAGCCCAGAACGTCCTTATCCAAATAGACAATGCCCTGGTAAATCAGGAGAAAAAAAGCATAGAACGATAGATTCTGGCCAATTCAAGAAGGCTTGTGTTAGAAACCTTCAAAAAACAAAAAAAGCTTCATAGTTAGGATTTGGATATGGCCTCCTTTTCCACTCCAAGAATTCGAAATGTAGATTAACAAGTTCTTACAGCTCTGGTGACGGTCGCCGGCGAGGCAATGGTCAGGTCACCGGTCTCAAACACCAGCTTGACGTTGTCGCTCAGGAAGAGCCGGTCACCATTGTGCAGATGCAGGACCTTGTCGTTGTCCAAGACGCTGTTGAAGTTGTCCGCCCAGCTGGGGGTCAGGGGACCGTCTAGGCACAGCCAAGTTGTGCTGACATTCTGAACAGGAAAAACAAAGAAACTTCTAGAGTTATTCTCTTTTTTAAGAGTTGGAATGATGTAATATTGAAACTCATTAAAACTGTCTCCTGCTCACAATCACAGCAAGTTTCTGCCGGTACCCAGGATGTATTTTGCCCACGGCTTACCAGGGAAAAATTGACCAGTGGTCGAGAAATGGTCGCCGCTCGAACATGCCCTTGGCTGCTTGTGTTGAAAATATTTCCAGGCAAAGTAGCTCTTTAAAAATTGGTCCGCTAACGTGGACAGGTTCTCACCCGGTTGGCCTTGCGCCAGATGTTGGTGAAGACGCCGTCCACCCAGTCCCGGTTCTGGTTGAGGTGGCCGAACATGAGGGCCAGGTCGTCCACCACAAGCGGGTTGAGGCGCTGCAGCTTGTGGCTGATGGCCGTGATGCTGCTGGACACCACGCTGCTGCGGGACTGGCGGGAGTGGGCAGGGGCAATGGCCGACAGTGCCTCCACCAAGGTCTGGATGGCGCTGGACTTGCCAGTGCCCGGGCCACCCGCGACGATGATGGCTACAATTCAAGACACAAAAACAACTGTCAAGATGCATTGTGGTTCTTCGCTCATCAAAATGTGGGGTAGTGGTGTTTTGTGCCCCTCACAAATTCCTGGTGCCCCCCCCCACTGAAAAAACAGATGAATGGATATTCAACAAGGCTAAGAAAAACTTGCCCCAAAAAAACCACACCACTGAAAGCTGGTGCCCCCTCCCACAAGATGCCGGTGTCCCCTTTATGCACCCCCACGACTAAAATCCTACCTATGCCACTAACCTGGGGATGTCGTTTTTATTTCATCCCCTTGATGAATTTCATATTAAAAAGACTCATATGAATAGATATATATAAGAAAGGGCTACGTGAGGATAAATATGACGATAAAGATCTTATTTTTAGGTTCCTTCTTTCTCAAACATAAGTCCACGGTGAAAGTTTGTGCTGGATTTCCAACATCTTATCCACATAACCATCCTCTTTGGAGGGTCTGGTCTAGCTTTTGCAAATTTGAAACTATTACCAAGAAACCCTCAAGCTAAAACTGTACCTGCCAGCAAGACAAAAATGATACCTATCTATAAACATGTAACTGAGTTCACTTTCCTCTTTGGTTTCATCCGACATGGAAAGCTCACATAACAAAATCTGAAGCGAGGCTCTCCTAATTAAAAACGGCCACACTCAATCCAATCATCCCTGAACATCTTTGACAAAAAGACAAGAACACATGCTCCTCTCCTATCTGAGAATAATTCCCCAGATCCCCCAGAATGTCTCACCGTGGTTGACTTGGGAGACGGAGTACAGCTGCATGACCTTGTTGACCCAGTTGGTGTGGGGCATGATGCCGTTTTCTTGAGCCTTGTCCACCACCATGTGCTCCACGTTCAGGTGGTTGCGGCGCGCCCGGCTAGACTGGGGCGTCGGCGGGCTGCCCATGGCTGTGAAGACATCCTTGACTACGTTGTTGAAGATGTACAGAGCCTGGTGTTGGACAAAACAAAGCACGCAACTGTTAGTTGCTTACCACACGAGAAGCCCACCCGATGCTGAAAGGAACAGAAAATATGAAGAATGGGGACATTCGGAGCTATTTTCTGTCAAAATACTTCATCACTCATGTACCTTCTTCGCTTACTCTATCTGACAAGTACACTTTCAACCAATGAGATGGATTCTGAAAGAATAGAGGGCCTCCAACATGTAGTTTTCACAACTAGTCAGCCATACCACAACACTTCATGTGTAGACTCTATGCTGTAACTCGACAACCAGAATGAGAAGCCATTACTGTGGTGGCACAACGCTCGTGGACAGGTGGTACACGCGCGTTACATGCCTCTTTGACCCATAGGGTGTCGTGATTTGCCAAATGTACGCGCGTCAAGCTGAAGACTGTGCGTTTGAGTGCGGGGCCACCGCAGTTATGGCATTGAATCGGATTAGACTATACACAACATAGGTCTGCTTATGGTGTGGAGTTATGAAGTTAGATGACTTTGTGGCAGGAGCAACGGACGGTTCATTCAAGTTTAGGGAAGCCGTCAGACGGCTATTACACTCTAAGAATTGCTATGAGCTGTGTCAACTTTTGCTTTCTCGTTTCCCACTTGGCCACATTTCAATTCCACTTTAAACTGTAGCACCTAAGCATTTGTGTGAGGACGTTAATAATCAAGCTGATGTTATGTTAGAGTTCATATGGAAGAGATAGGCCGCCTACATTTGCTGGCTGTTCCCTGACCCTAAATCTGAGAGAGACTGGTGCAGCATCTGGGCAAGTTGGTAGTTTTCAGTGGGACATTTAATTCAAGTGAACTCACATCCGGTTTGAGCCTGGGCCCGATGACATTATGCAGAGCCTGAGCGACCACTGCGTGCTCGGCCTTGGCAGCGGGGGTCATAGGATTGGGCACCCCTGGCTTGCGCTGTTGCTTCTCGACGGTCTTCAACATGGCCGCCGAGGCTGTGCAAAGACAAATCAAACTTTAGAAGTACAAACCAATGGTTGGAAAGTAAACGTCAAGTCTCGCCTTCCTCCAGTTTACCTCAGAGGAAAGTTTCTGGAGTACCATCACACGTTAGCCTTACTGTTCAGAAAAACATTACTATCAGAACGTTGACGTTTACCCTGTCTGACATTTGGCCAAATTTCTTGGAGTTCCTCTGAAGATAATACTGCTAAGCAAATTTTACCTTAGCTAAGCAAATCATCTCAAAGCTAGTCATAAGCGGTACAAATGTCACTCAATATTAGCTGGTAACCTGCTTTTAGCTAAGCAAATCTTCTCTGTCCTTGTCAGTATTGCAGGAAGGATCACGTCTTTGTCCTCAAGCAAGACACATTGCTCTGATTTTGTTCCAAATCGTTAGCAAACTTCCTCAGTTCCAAGTCAGTTGTGGATGAGTTTCAATTGAGAGCTACACATTCATAGAGGATTATGAAATACAACTCATCGCTCATCAACTTTTAAACCAACAAATCTCACGCATTGCACTCCCTGGCTGGACGATGGACCCCTGGGAGCTCGCTCGGGACAGCTCCATCCGCTCCTCCTTGGTCAACTTGCGGCCGAGATGGGCGTGCTGGACGGCCGTGGACAACCCACTGATGCCGAAGAGCTGGTGGTACTCTTTGGACCTAGGAGGAGGTGAGATATTAAGGAAAGTAAGCAAGAGGAAGGAGAGATGACGACAGAAGACAGAGATTTGAAAAGAAATGCAGGCTGTTGGACATTTGATCCTTGCTTTAACGAAACTTTCAAGTTTGCTCAATCAGTGGGTCTTGAAAGACAAATTTTTCTGCAACACATCACTCTTTAACAGACGATTCCAGGCTTCCCTCGTAATGCCAGTCACTAGTTGAATAATGCCCTGGAATAGGAAGAGCCACTGTCATCTTTGTTGACCAATAAAAATCCCAATCATTCCCAACCGATTACAAGTTCTCCACTATACCAGTTCTTCTAATGCCAGGAGGGTTTTACTTGTTTATCTACAATAATCAGCAAATATTTACAGGGTTGATTTGGAGCACCAGTTGCATGTGCTAGTATCTCTTAAAAGTGAAATGTCTTGATTAGTAAAGATACTTGGCTGATTCTGTGAAGGTGTTGGCACTCAGTATCTAGAATGGCTGTGGATTAATGTCTGAAAACTGCAATCCCGTGTAGTATTACTACGATGTGCAATAAGTTTGTCAAATTGAAGCTACAAAAGGTTAAAATTGAATGCACTCCATCTAAAATCATGTTAATGCTACAGATCTATTAAACTATGGATATCTTCTGATTCTTTGAAAGTTATCTACAAGTAAAGGCAGGTAAACAATGAAACCATAAGAAGTTTTCTCTGCGAAAACGAAAGGTGGGGTGGGAATTTTTTGTCTCAGGGTTCTGTAACCATGATGGTGAATCACCTGTACTACACTGCCAACAACACAAGAGCCAATTAGAGCATAGGGCTGCAGTCACATGTCTGACCTTTGGCCAATCCACTACAGGAACATGAAGGTCACCCAAGAATTCTAAGTCTCACAGCAAATTAAACAACTATACTCCACTTGACATCAAATTAGACACAACCCCTGTTAAAGGTTTTATTTCTATTTACAATTTATTTAAAATTAGAACTCAAATAAAAAGGGGACCTGATACTCCAGTATTGAATAATTTACTGCTGCAAGTGCAGTTGTCTAATCAAGCCATTAATGAAGTAGCAAAGTGATTGGTTGAGAATTGAGAGCCGGGGCCTGGACAGCCAATAGAAAAGGCTGTTAGAATTGTTGGCAGAGAACTTTTACACTAAACATCGCAAGTCGGTGATTCAAAACAACTTTACCAATGCAACAGGAGAGTCAAGACGTTTGTGGGGAAAAAAGTACAAACTACGAAGTCGATTCTACTGAATACATTTGATGAAGCACAGCTTTGGGATTACAACTATTATGTTTCAATGACAGCTCTTTGGTTTCCATGACATTAATCTGAAAGTTACTAAGTGGGAGACAGACACAAAAACTTGCCATGCCTGAAGCCATTTTCAGCACTGAGCCAGCATGAGAAAAAAACCACCACTGAAGCAAAACACTTTAGCCTAACTTCCTATGCGTGTTTGTGAGTATCCTTGCTGAATTCTCCAACATAAACTACAATGCATGAGACTATAAATGATAGGCACTTTGTTCTTGAACAAAACTGAGAATACCAAGAGTTGTGTGAAGTCATCTGAGAACAGGCTTCTGGAACTAACGGCTACGTCTACTGTTAGCATGCGTGCATAGATTTGCAAGTGGCAAAGACGTAGAAGTAGTCCAGTGACTCTAAAGTCATCAATCTATCACAATCTAACAAACCAGGTGTTAGACTTTGATGGATGTGGGAATGGGTTAGGGTTGAAATATTAGTGTGCGACAGGAAAAGGAGATTTAGTGGCCACATCACTTCATGTCTCGTGCAAGATGCCGAGTCCAAATAAGCTGGCTGCGGCTGGAAATAACGCATGCGTCTATGGGAAGCCACAAGCCAACGGCTTCCATTGGTGCACGTGTCACTTTAAGTCACAGCCACAACTTTCGGACACGGCTTTGGATGGCCAAAACCCTACCCTTCCACATCGCGCCATTGTCCCACGGCATGCAATAGGACGCTGATCATGTTTTTGATGTTAAACACCGGGTGCTCGTCGGGAGTCCTGGGGGTTGTTATTTGAGGGAGGAGTTTAGGGAATGGAAGAAGGAGGGGGGTAGGAAAAACAAAGGAAGGGGAGGAGCATGCAGGTAGAATTAGAGGGGGGTGAGTAAACAAATAAACAAATTTCATGCAATAGACAACATTTGGGCATTATTTTTGGTTTGATGAATATTTCCAAATAGGTCACTTGGGAGGCATTTTGTGGTAAATTTTTCAACATTAGGGAGACATCGGTCATTAGGGAGACATTTCAATGTCTCCCTAATGATCCAACTACCAAAAGGAGGAAAATTTTTACCGTCCACATTTTGAGAGATGATAGATTAGGGTCTGAAAGGAAAACATGCAAAGTTCGGTTCAGATCGGATTAGGGAATATTGAAGTATGGGACGGTAAAGTTTGACAAATTTTGTGCACGTTCCTATGGGAATGTCTCCCAAGTGCTCCATTTTCGGTAATAAGAATATTAGCAATAATTATTTTTAATTGTTTTGCAGGTTTGAAAACTGAATGTTCAAATGCTGTTACACTTGCACGGCCCTTACCAAATAAAATAAATAAATAAACGTTATTTTGGTAGCAAATGAAAGCTAGATTCCACATTTGATTCTCTGGCAGAGCAATGGTAAGACATTCTGGATGTCTCCAATTCATGTCATTCCACTCTGAAGTCTACTACGTTCCACTGACACTGGATATCAGAGTCGATTCCTTTTCTGGAAACTTACAGCTGCTCCTTGCACTGCTGGGCCACCATCTTGAGCCTGTCGGCGAGCATCCGGGGCGACCGGAAGCCGTAGGCCGCACAGCGCGCCTTGAGAATGAGGGAGAAGTCGGGCATGACCAGGGCCACGGTGCGGAAGAGGAGCTTGATGTCGACAGGGATGCCCTCCGGCGGGGCCGTCTCATTGTTGACGGTGATGAAGAGGGAGATGCCGCTCTTCAGGGTCACCTGGCGGAAGAGGCCATCGAGGCAAGAAATCAATCATTTATGGCTCTTGGACCGTGAGCTTAACCATGAAATGCTTAACAATTTGGTCTTTTTTCATCGGTGCAGGAAATGTGGTGATGATCAGCAACTTTTTGCTGACTACCGGTTGATTTTCCCTGGTGACCTAAGCATATAAAATATCCTGAGGACCGGGCAAAATCGACCAATGGTTGACTGACGGGTGCTGACTGAACTTGCGTAAAGCTCATCAATGATGAGAGTTACTTGTAGTGACCTCTGAACCTCACCTCTTCTCCATCTCCCAAGATGCAATGTTTGCTCCGGGATCGCACCGCAGCCATGATGGCATGGACGTGATCCAGCACCATGGCGATGGCGCCGGTCTGCAGCAGCTGGAACTCGTCAAAGCAACCCCAGCAACCATCCTGAGGATGCAGCATAAGACGAGATGAAAATGAAAGACCAATCGAGGGTTTAAAGACAGAAAATAATCTAAACTCCCCAATGCTCAGTTGTAAACCTCGGAATGCTCTTCCATTCAGAGTAATTAGCCTTTATAAAGCATGGCGGACACAAGAGGGCGCTGTTTGAAGTGCGTAAATTTGAAGCAAACACAAAAGATTGGACCCAAATCAAATAGCGCCCTCCTACTGTGTCCGCCACACTTCAGATAGACTGATGACCGTGTATTGTCTCAGCTGAACATAAGAAGTCCATCTGAAATCCTGTCCGTTAGTAAGCTATACCACAACCATTTAACGCAGCATGGCAAAGATACTGCAGCGTGAACAAGTGGGGTCTTGTTCTCCTAATCAGCGACACCAAAAAGGGGGACACAACTCAAGGGATTTACAACGACAAAACTTCTTTTTTCATCCACTGAAAATCTGGCTTACAGCTTTCCGCACTGCGGTCAGAACAATAAGTACTACGTTACAACTGCTCATCCAAAAAGAATGTTTAACAATGTTAAACAATTCCCGCCCGGGGAACTTTGCCAATCCCTTCCTGCACCCGCCCAAACCCAAAGCATCCCGAAATAGAAACCAATTTTCGGTGCGCACAAAAAGTTAAACTATTACAAATGAAGCAGGTCAGGGTGCTCCACCAGAGGCCCTACACTGGCGACCCTCCGGATCTGCTGGCAGCTAGAGCTATTCTAGTTGCAACAAAAGCTATATTAACGGTCCGTTACAGAAACCACAAGAACTACGAGGAGTCCAACGTTAGCTTCAAAGCCAATGGGTGCTTGTAATCAATAGAAAGCTTGGGTGTGTGAGACACTGACTAACCAGCCAGTCAGACAGACGGGTGGTAGACTTTCTAGAGTTTCTCAAGCTAGCCCCTAAGCAAAGACTGGATGCAGATGGACAGGTGGGTGGTGCAGGACGTGAGAAGAAAAACAGATGCAACTAGAAATGCAGCAGCGAGCTCTGCAAGTCGTCTTACCATCGCCAGGCCTTGAAGTATCTTCCCAAGCCCTGCGGGGTCACTCTGCCCGGAGCATCCAAACACAGCCAGGTACTGGCCCAGCATGAAGGCAAAGCCTTTGGCCGTCTCTGTCTTGCCCACTCCTGTACCGCCAGTGACTGCGCAGTTCTTGAACTGCCTCATGGCCTAAAATAAAAATCGCATTTTCAAATGTCTGTCTCTGTCAAGTGCTCTTCACTTCAATTTATTGCAAGATGACAAAGCGCCCTAGGCAGTATATGCACCGAGTTCGTTTCAAGAGCTGCTTATTAACAAGAAATCCTGTTTAGCTGATATATCTGCTAACCATAAATTAGCAGGGTGCCAGTCACAAGCAGTATACTCATCATTCCATTTTGGCTGGTAACCTGCTTCTGCCAAGAAGTCATTATTTTCTGCGTTTAACAAATTTCTGAGCTCAGTAACCATGAGTATTGGGTCCCCTAGGGAATTCAGAATTGTGGACTCACCTGGGCCATGGTGAGGAAACACCTCTCAGTGATAGGGGTGAGCACCAGTGAGGCTTGACCACCATAGAACTCTGAGCCGTAGGTGAAGCGCTCATCCAGCATGTAGATCTGGGGGTCCACACGGCCCGCTGAAAGATGTGTTAACATGTAAAACTCAGAAACAAGTACTCAAAAATTGGGAGCTCACTCAAATAGAGGGAAAATGTTCAGAAAGTTCTGCTCAACCCTAACACCGACCTGTATTGAACATATGAAACGTAGCAAGGAATGGCAAGTGCTCTTCCTCGCAAGCAAATGCTCAAAAACAGTCTTTGCTACAGTTTCTAATTCAAATACACGTGAAAGTTTGAATATGCCAGCGGGTTCAAGGACTAGCCCACGGCCTTGATTTAAGACTACAACAGTCTGACCAAGAGCTTGTACGATGTGTGCAAAGGGGTAGCAACAGATGAGGACAGAGAGTCAACCTACCAGTGAGATGGTGGTAGAACCTGACGCAACGCCTCCACTCAAAGTCCCCAATCTCTCGCAGCTTCCGGTTACTCATGTGCTCCAGCGTGTCCCGCAGGTACAGGGATTGCTGCAAGCCAAAATGGTCCAACATTGTACAGGTTTTGCCGAAACCAAAGCATGAGGCAAGCCTCGTGAGGTAACTCTGAGAAGAGGTGAATCTAAGAAAGTGGTTCCTCTGGAGATGTTCCCGGAGATAAATTGAGTAGAATTTTAAAGCAATCAGTCCTTCGACCTCAGCAATCAAAATGGAGCCATGCCCTCATCTAATGTCTACCCGGTTTGGTTAAAACAAGAGGTAGTCCTCATAAGGTTAACCCTATTCTAGGTTACTCTGGAGAAATTACACAGAATAATAGCACATCCTTTAATAACGATCAGACTCTTCAAAACTTCAACCTCCAACAAGATGCCATGTGCTCATTCAAAATGTTCCGGGTTTTGCTATGCCACGAGACTGCCCTCAGGAGGTTAATCTCTCATGAGATCACTCTTTGAGAATTGAAACCAACCAGCACACGGCGTACTCACAGCGATGAGACTCTCCAGTCTCAGCCTCTGCAGCGGCGTCATGCCCTCGTCCAGTGTCTTCCACGTCCCCCTGGTCAGCGCCGCCGACAGCCGGCCCATGGTGGTGCCGAACTTCTTGGCCGTGTTGGCGATGGCCTTGCGGTCATTCCTGATCTCCATGATGCCCAGCTCGCACTCCTTGGTCCAGTACATGAGGAGGCCCAGCCCGGCCACTTGCATGGGAAACTGAGACAAGCACAAAAGTAGAACAACTTATATCCGAGACATCTGAGGTAAGGTTTGGGTAATGGGTTTTTCCCTGGTCTTTCACCTCTGTGGTTTTGGGTTCGATTCCAAGCCCGGTCCACATGTGCATTGTGTTTTCAGTCCCTACATTATTCCGTGGGTGTAACCCAGAATATTCTTCTGCGTTTTTTCCTCCCACCACTACTGTCTCCTCTCGACAGGTTTCTTCAGGCTTGCGAGGTACAGTGCCGAGGGCACTTTTGAGGAATCCTTGGTTTCCTTGAAATGCTTAAATAAAAAATAAAATTACAAAAGTGCTTAGGGGTCAGCAGGAAAGCTCTGCAGGATACACTAGACCTGGCAAAATGCCACCCTTGGGCCTTTTTGACAACTGAGATGAGCGGGTCAGTTTCTCACCTTGCCTGCTAACTCCTCAATGGGTAAGCCCGCCTCCACGTCCTCGATCATCTTACAGACATTGGAGTAGATGGTCTTAGCGATGGATTCCTTCAAGGCATGAAGCCAGATCTCTACACTGTCTTTCAGTGATACCTGGCAAATAAAAGGGGAACACAGCCAACATGTTGATATTAATTTCAGCTGACACGCTCTCCTCGTTTTCGACTTCAAGGGATTAATGAAGACAAGAGAGCAAGTTTCTTTGTGACAGGTCCTTTTTTTTGACGGGGAGAATTAGAGCCAACAGTAAAATGTATTAGTCGTCACGGAAACGTCCAGATAGGATACCCAGCTTGTTTCATCTTCCTCACCTCCTCATCCAACTGCAGCACCTCCGTCTCCTTGGAGACCACGGCCACGGCCTGCAGCAGCAGCTGCTCCGACTGGATCCCACCCCCGGCCCCGCCCACTAGGCTGTCCCCAAGGGTCATCCGGGAGTGGTGCTGGTAGGAGGAGGAGGGGGCGTAGGCTTGAGAGGAGGACTCGGTCCGCAGTGGGGAGTGGTGTCGCTCCCGGGCGCTGTGGTAGGACTTCTCCGGGGAGGAGTTGGCGCTATGAGACAAGGAGAAAGGCAGCTGCTCCAGTCGGATGTCGTAGACGCTGTTGAAAATGCACCTGCGGGGTCGAGAGAAGGGAATTCACGGTCAAGACATATTGCTATGTAATTCTTTTTCAGACAGTGGCAAAGTCCAAATTACTGGCTACAGCTCACAGACACGTGTCCATGAGAAAAGCGTGAAGCCGCTCTTTGATGGCTTGTGTATGTTTGCTGTATCATTTCTAGCCATAGTCAGGTCAATTAAGCCCAGTCCAAGACACCGAACAATGGCAAAAAAATAAACGATGTGCTTGTGGAAGTTACTGGCTAATGCCTGCAGCCGTTTTCCACCGATGCAAGTTTCATTACCCGCCAAAGCCAGGTCATTTTGACACGGCTTGCGAGATATGTCTACAGCCTCTCAAGACAAATTACAGAAGAAACTTTCACTAAAAACTAAAGAATGGCATTTGACTTTTTAAAGCAAGTACGAGTTACGTCATTGTGAACGCAAAAATAAACAACCACATATGTATAGATATACATATACATTGATAAATACACCAGCTAGATTACAGAAGGTAGATTCTTGTAATGCTGATGGTTTTAGAGTCTCCAAGCTTGTCTTACCTGAGATGTGGTCGGACTGACTCGAGGTCAAACGGCCGGCTCAAGATGGCCAGCAGGACAGGGTCGGACAGGAAGTAGAACCTGGGGAAGGCCTGCCTCTTCTTGTCCAAGTAGCCCATCAGCGACTTGAAGCAGATCTCCAGCTCCTCGTAGATGTGTCGCAGGACCACACCCTTGGGTACTTCCCCACCGTAGGTGCACTGCCGAGACAGGAATTTACAACATTTTCTTCTCAGTACAGGGCCGTACTTTACGAAATTGCTTTAAAAAAAAAACCCAGCGGTGAACCAGTCACGGGCAATGTGCAGTGCGCGATGGGAAAATGAACGGTGTATTTATATTTTTCGCTAGTGAACTGCATGCAATTGAAAGATTACATCTGGCTCTGTGTAAAATCCTGACAGTGGCAAAGAGCGTTACGAATCTCATTCATTTGTACTCCGCACACCACATTCGAGGACTAGCTAACATTCTATTAACTGACAAAAACCTGACATCATTCACCTGCAAGACATTCCTGGTGTCGTAGGCTCTCTTCATGATCTTGGTCCAGCTCTTGTCAATCCGGTTGAACCTTTTGGCCTCCTGGGGCAAATCCTTGGCGGTGCGGCCCACGCTGAAGACTGCCTCCAGGTACTGCCAGAGATCCTGCACCTCTAACCACTGCTCAAGGACTTCGGCAACGCCTGCCCAAAAAAACATCAAACGTCAACAGCTACGGATTCACTAGAAAAGAGGGACTTGAACCGTTGGCTTTGTCCGTTAACGAGGGAGGACACTTCGTTCTCGAGCAACAATGTTGGAGAAGGTATGGCCCAGTGGCTAGGGTTTGTAACTGCTGATCATAGGGTTGGGGGTCCGAATCCTACAGGGGGTACCATACTATGACCTTGGGAAAGTTATTTTACCCCTACTTGCCCCTCTCCACCCCAATGTATAAATGGGTACCTGTGACGTCAGACACCAGACATGCGTGCTGGTACCAGCTACTGACTGGTCTGGTGTGATGGAGAATACTATATAACCATGACAACCATGACTGTCCTTCAGAATTGCTCATGCTGTTGTGCAGCTGCCTATGGCATGGAATCCTGCAGGCTTCACTACGTCATTTCCAGAACACTGTCCCTTGTGCAAACCCTAACTTCCTATGCCATATGCATTATAAAATGACTACTCGTTATCAAGAGGAAGCAACATTCAATCTGGCTTGGTATATCCACATGGCCAACAGAAGGTGCTGATTTCCCGATGTTTATCCATTTCAACATAAAGACCATCACCATAGGTTTCACAAACAAGCAGAACAAAATATATCGAAGACGAGACACAAAGACAGGTGCTGAGTCAAGAGAAAAGTGACTAGTGCACGACTATAAACATCTCTCACAAAGAAGGACTTGCCCCTGAAAAGACGACGCTAAACAAGACAAAAATTAAGGTGCTTGGGTACTGACTGGTGACATGCGTTGTGCATGGTACATCAACAGATATGCCAAGATTCATGAATGAGAACTTTTTACCAGAAAGAGTGTTTCACTTCGGCTTACGGATGAGAAAAGAACAGATGATGGATTGTTAGTAAGGTAATGAAATTACAAAGTATTACAACATCTGTGGGAAAAATTTGAGTATGTGAAAGCATGAAATAACTTTAAGAGATTAAGAAAAAGAGTTGGTATCATACTTAAAAACTGATTTATACTTCTGTGTTACGAAAACTCTTGTTTCAATGTCGAGGGTAAAAACATGAATTCACATAACAATCCCTTCCTTAGGAATTACACAAATAATGGTAAATAGGAAACAAAACACATGATCAACCTTTCGACCAACTGCAATGTCACCCTCATCCCCACCAATCACATGACCACCTAAAACTGACCAATTGTGTCTTCAGCCTTATGAAAACTGCACACTAACCAATCGCATTTTCCGCCTCGTCACCAATCACGTAACTGCCATCAATGGCCAGCCACACCATCAACTTCCTGACCAATGACTGATCCCGCAGTCAATTTCCTAACCAATCCTGACAGCCCTCACAATCACATTACCTCCCTCCTGACCGATCACAGCCCTCACCTTTGAGCTTCTCTGCCCATCCCGCTGCCTCCTCCCTCAGTGGCCCGATGTACCTGGACGTTAGCATGTTAGCCAGGAGAGCCTGGGCGTTCTCCAGTTGCTCAAGGAGGTGCTCCGAGTTGTCCTTCTCGAGGTAGATGGGGCCACGTTTCTTATACTCCTCAAATGACAGGACCTGAAAGTGTTAAACACAAACTTCTCAAGTACAGAAAAAAAACTTGCATCAAATCTGCACAAAACAACAAAAATTACTCCATTTCTGAATATCTATACCCCTCAAACAGCAGATTCGTGATCTAACAAGGGAACTTGGCAACAAGCCATGTCATCCTAAGGAAGAGAAGTAGCACTGTGCAGCACGCTGATGTTCAGGTCTTGTTGCATTCTGCTTACGTCCTTGCGGTTCATATATCCCTGTTAACCGACCTTCATTCTCGCAGTGACCTTGCGGTCGCTCTTGCCCAAGTTCAATCAGCAGCCAGTGGTCGATTTTGCCTGGTAACCTATGCATAAAATACATCCTGGATACTGGGTAAAAATCGCCCAGTGGTTGAGAACTGGTTGGTGGTCTAACTTGTCCCGTGTCGACAGCTTGACTCCTACCTGCTCTGTCCATTCTTCTTCCGTGATGCGCAGCTTGACCTCCAGCTCCTGCTCCTTGCTGGCACAGCGACAGATGTCCTCAATCTCAGCCTGGTGCCTGAAACGACGACAGAGTCAAGACAGTGAGAGAAACCTGAGCCACACAAAACGAGTTCCAAATTAGAAATCGCCTCAATGCGATGGTATGGACTTACTCGATGAGTCCGATGTCTAGGATGTGAAGCAGCTTGAAGACGTTGGCTTCCAACTGGAAGGAGCTGCCTGTCACAGACATCACTTGAAGCCAGTGACGATTGCGTATCTCCTGCAAGAAACAACAGTCACACAAACATTTCATTTTGCCATCCGTTGAGATCTTGACCGGGACGGAGTTCTGTCTGTAAATGGCCAAGGATGTTAAGAATTCCCTAACAATTGCTCCACAGTATTTTGAAGTGTCTAGTCGTGGTCCTTTTTTTTTTAATAAACGGAGTGTCATCTCCTTCAGGATGAATTTCCAGTCCTGTCACGCCACACGTTACCTTGGAGGCCAGCTTGTGGAGTATCGGGAAGACGTCCAGGTAGAACTTGATGGAGCTCTTCATCTCGTTGTAGGCGTCCCAGTCCTTGAGCTTGTCCGGAAGATTCTGGCACTCCTCCCAGTAATTCTCCACCTGTCATGGATCACAGTCAAGCACTTAACGGCAAAAAAAATCTGACATTTAAGACAGCAGACGTATACACAAGAGGACATTCTGCCTGGCTGTATAGCCTCACAGAGACATCTGGGCAGATCCGACAATGACTACACGCTGGATGATCAGGGGTAATAATATTATCCCACTGAGCACTTAAATCCTTTCAATGACTGTCCTTTATGAATCAGCTTTTTTAGTGGTAATTTTTATAGCCAAGTCGTAAGGAATACGTCTTGGATTCATATATACCTCTCGGTTTGCTTTCTCCAGATCCACGTCAGCCCACAGCTTGTCCCTGAACTGAGAGTCAAAGGCAATAAACTTCTGGAAGAGACCATACAGCAGGCCAAGTAGGTCTAGTTCCTGTAAGAAAAGAAGACAAATTAAACTAAAATGATGCACGGGTCTCAGTCTCAGATTTAATTGAAAACTAATATAGCTGAGCCAATATCAGTTAAGAAAAAAAAAGGAACTGCTAAGCAAACTTTCAAGCAAAGCAAAACACTTTGAATAACTTTTGAGGATTAGAAGAATGAGTGAAAAGTTTGATGCCAAGAGTTTTGAGGCAACTTTTGCAAAACCATTTTTAAAGTTGATCTGAAAAGAGGCAGCTTTAAACCCGGAATACTCAACCAAAAAATGCATGGTGCCGTACACCACCAACATATGTGATTTTCACAACTGTGTATGACGTGGGATTTCTAAAGATAGTACCTCTCCGGTCTTGTCCAGTTCGGGGAAAGGCTTGCAGATGATGCCAAACAGTCTGGAGACCGAGTCCAGGGTCCTGCGCTTGGAGTCGTACAGCTTGAAGATCTCCTGGAACTCGTGAAGTCTGGACACGGCCTCTGCTGGCTGGACACCAGGCACCGCCGGCCCTTGGGAGTCAAAACTGTTACGGAATTGAATGACCTCCACAACAAAGAGCTGGAAGGAGAAAAAGAAGAAAGATAATGAGATTACAGAATTCTGTAACCGGAATATTGGACGCTAGGGTGTGGATTTTCTTATTTCTTTGCAAAACTCTAATCTGAAACTAAATATGGAAAGGAAATGTGGAACGCTAGATTTTCCAGTTTGATTTCTTGATCTCTGAATAACCTGTAGTCTTCCTCTCCATTCCTGATTTCTTCCAAGACAAGGAAAAAAATTCACACTATGAGTCCAGGAAGTAAAACCTAAAACAAGTAGGTAGAACCTGCTAAAAGTGCTCCTCATTACTACGGGTAGGATGAGAGAATGGAACCGTTCCGTAGGAGACACTGCTTCAATCAACTTGTATTATCTTACACTTCTGTTGATGTAAGCCTGACCTTCAAACTGGTCAACTCAGGCAATTGGATGCAATCAGACACAACTACCGCATACCTTGACTTGCTTATCCAGCTCCTGCTCAAACGCCCCCCTGCGTTCCCGCAGCAGTTTGACTCGGCACTGCTCGGCAAGGTCAATGACCTCTTGCCACTTGTCTCTCAGCTGTTCAACCTCCTCCACCTCCGAGCGAGGAAGTCGAAGTTTGTAACTCCTGAAAAAACAATAACAAACAAACAGACAGCGGTGAAGACTGACAGACTGCACAGTTCATGATATAAATGCGAAGAAGAACTTCCTGCTGGCAATGCTGCACCCTGACCTCTGACCCTTGACTTCATCACTCACCTGAGGTCGGCATACATGGTCTCTATGGGTAGGTAGATCTTGTCCACTTTGTTCTCCATGTCTCGGACCTCCTCCAACCAGTTCAGGGTCCCATTCAGCTGGTCCAGGGTTACCACCTCGGCGGTCAGTCTGGCCCGCATGCCATTGCGGTACATAACAGCCTGGTCAAGCCGCCTCTGCAGGGGTCAGTGGAGGATCATTATTATTGAAAGTCAGGAATAAATTGACGGACGATGGAATACGGCACATTTATATCTTTAAAACAAAATGAACAACCAGACCCATTTCTGTAGTTGAGTACTGTGTACATTCTTCATGCGTACACCAATCACAATTACGTAACTATAATTATTTACAATTTATGTTTTGTCTCCACTTTTTGAAGAATCAAAGCAAAGAACAAATTCTTAAACAACAGGTCAATATTATTACTTGAGTCATACAACTTATCTGGATTGTAAAACTTCAAACTAACAATACAAATACACGTAGGGGGACTCGCTGTAAGAAACTGTGATTTCAGTTTAAGTGACAACCTATTTATGGGAATTGCAACAAAAACATTCCTTTGTAACTACTGGCCTAGTGTTTGCAGTAGTACTTGTGGTAAACTGTGAAAAGTACTAATGTAGTACTCAACTGTCAACCTGACCACATCGTCAGTCCACAAACAACCCCGGTGAGCAAATATTGTACCTGAGCAATGAACGCTATCATGCCAAACTGTTACTACTCTGTGAAGCCAAGACAGCCATTAATATTTCTTGCATGCCACTTCCCAATTCTGACCACAAGAGGGCGCCACACACGCGGAGTCTATACCCACCTTGGCCTCCTCATGCAGCACCTGGGCGTACTGCGTCTTCCACTGCACGGCAAATCCGTACAGGGCATCAGTGATGGGCGCGGTCCCCAGGCAGACCGAGCCCACGGGCAGCACGGCCGGGACCGCCCGGATCTTCTCCTCGATGTGCAAGAGCCGCTCCACTTCTCTCTTGACGGCGAAGGTACCTGGATCACTATCGATAAACTCATAGTAGGCCGCGTACATATCATCCTTCCAGAGGAAATCGTAGAACTTGAAGTGGAAGAGATGCTTGTCGACGACGCGTTGAAGGTCTAAGGTGAAGTAAGTGATGATTGTGAGGTGATGATGACGATGATCAGAACATTTTGCAATTGATTAGTTGCAGAGAGCTGCTCAGTTATTAAGTGCTCACCAACAGTTTTGTTCATCATTAACTTTTTCTACTCTATTCTCATCAGTGGTAACAAAATTGCCCGACTGAATTTTGTGACTCAGGTGTCATTTTGTTAGAGCAGGCCGAAAACTACTCATTGAGATGGGTAAGTTTTACAAGCAACATGGAAAGCAAACTCAGATGAAAGTTTATCACCTTCAACGACGCCGTCTAGTTTCCTCATGGTGCTCTCGATGGCCGGCTCCTGAACCACTTCGGTCAGGAAGGGTTCCCCGATGTCCCCTCCCGCCCACCAGCAGATCTTGTCGGCCGTGTTCAGGACCACCTCGGCGATGCGGGCCAAGGCAGTCTTGACGGCATCCAGGGTCGGGGAGATGATGATGTTGGGGATGGAGAACTTCACAGCGACCTCAAACCTGAGACAGTTGAGGACAAGCTGATGGTTACTTTCAAGTCATCAATACAGACGTCTTGACTTTCAATTTCAGCAGATTCTAATGAAACAAAAATCCATCAGAATTCCAGCTCATTTCTATTCTAAATGTGCTGCTCTACCGTTTTACTAGCTTTCTTAAAGTTGGTCACAAACTCTTCAGACTTTTTTTTTCAATTTTGATGGATTCTGATTAAAACAAAATATACATTAGTTCTAATGAGTATGCCAACACTGTCCACTCAGAGAGCACTGAAAAATGTATTTTCTCATCAGCAATGACCCCAAATAGTGTGAGCTGGAAGATGTTATTTGCAGATGAATAGATTGGATTGGCATTCCTGGGTGTCTGTGGATACCAGATTCTACGTTGATGATTATGCAGTGCAGCACATAATATTTTCTTAAGACAAGTATTTGCCTTGAGCAGAAGCACCCCCTCATTGGTTGAAGACAGCCATGCTGGTCGGGAGTGTTCGTTTTGTTGGTAGTGATGAGCACACAACGCGCATTTCGTAGTTGTTCGTGAACCATCGAAGTGACGTTCCTACCAAAGGAACCGCTGTTGCTAGAAAAATTGCGCCCTCTCTTGGACCAGCTCAGGGCTCATCAAGGCGATTTGGAGGAATGCAATCAGGCAAGGGCTAAAAACGTTAACAGAAATCTGCTGCGCACTTGAAGAATCTTCGGTATTAGGGCTAAGATGTCAGGGCAAATATGAAAACTAGTTTTACTGACCTGAGGTACGTGATCTCATGCGTCTTCTCTGAGGTCCACGACATGTCCGACAGGAAGGACAGTGAGGACGTGGCCCTGCTCAGGGCCGTGCTAGCCCGGCTGTGTCTGCCGCCAGACATCCCTGACCGGCCCGTGCTGGGCCGGCTGCGACTCCTGCCTGGGGTGGAGGGGAGATGGGGGTCGTCCAGCCGGCCGTCTGGGGGCAGTGGGGAGGAGGATCCGGCCAGCTCGCGACTGATGGCCTCGATGATGCCCTCGCAGCCCGCGGCCTCGGCAAGGGTGATTAGAGTACGGCAGATGGAGGACGTGACAGCCTGGTAGACCAACTCCGAGTAGTGGTCTACAGAAAATAGAGAAACAAAATCAATGTTCAGATTGGAGCTTTAAATTGCAATGCTGTACACACAGTCTTGTCAGAGAGTTTGTAAGAAAAAAAACGTACAAGCTTAAAAGTAGAACTCAAGCCCACGACCTTCTGCTTACAAGTGCAGGTGTCTTGGCCACTTTACTGCTCCCAATGCAGGAGTTGGTGGATGATAAATGCTTTCTGAACTATTGTGTTGGTATGTAAAATGAACCTTGTTCTCCGAGGGTAACTTGCGCAATTCTGGCATTCCCATACTTTGGATTGAATGGTCGCTCACCCCTAAAAATGTAACGTGATAATTACTGAAGGTCCATGCAATGGACATGTATAACATTTTTCTCTGTGTGACTCCGTTTAATCTGAAGGTGAATTGGTTATAGCAAAACTCTGATGCCAGCGAAATGACTCAGAGGAAACGTACAGAGTATGTCACTGATGACGATGTCGTCTCCGGTGTCGCCACTGGACGCCTCGGTCCGGGGGGTCAGGTTGACTGCCTGCTTGCCCGAGTGGCGCCTGGAGCTGGCGCTGAGGCTCTGGCGTGGACTGTGGTGGGAGGGGCTGGCGGCCCGGCCAAGGAGGATGTTGATCAGCTCATGGACAGCCTCCTCGATCTCGGTGGCCAAGTCGTGGAGCTGGGCGCTACGGTCACCGACACTGTCCAACATGGCCTGTGTGAACTCCTCCGGGGGCTGTAAACAAGAAAGAACATGTGGACGTGAACCGAGACCAATGGAATGCAAGTTGAGTGCTCTACAGAGCCACTGAGACCAAAACGTGGTGTTTCCTTGACCAACAACAGATGTCAACAGTCTCATTCCAAAGCAACCCCTGACCAGCATCAAAGGACGGGTGTGAAGATGTCGTTTTGCAAAGCAAATGATTTCGAGATGCCGTTTGAGCCTTAGCATGCATCTTACTACACCGCCTTGTGGCTACGGTTTCCATAACGTGTCATTGGCGTTTTGTGTTAAATAGCCACAGCTTCCTAGAGAAAGATCAGCTTGAATGGAAATGGCCACATTTTCTTGTAATCATGTGAGAAATTCTTCAAATCATGAAGTGACGTTCTGATGAGTCTTACCCATGACCTGCTGAAGGCCAGATCGGTGTCAAAGAGGAAGAGCTCGCTGATCTTCTTGAGCTTGGCGTCTACCTTGGTGTCAATGACGTGATTGACAGTGTCCACCTTGTGCTTCAGTTTGGCATTCGCTGTGAGAAGATAACAGATATTGTTCACCTTCTTGCTTATGACTGGGCTCGCGGCATGGCTTATGAACGAAGTTGTGACTTGGCTTGTGATGGGGCTTGTGACTGGCTTGCGAATGGGTTTGTGATGCGGCTTGTGACAGGGCTTGTGATGTGCCTTCTGACTGGGTTCGCGATGCAGCTTATAAATCGGCTTGTGACGGGGCTGTGATGGTCTCGACCACAAGGCGCTTGCACGACCAACAGAAAATCAAATGACTCACCAGTGTGGACTTGGTGCAGGAATGCATCGATGTTCATGGAGTTCCAAGCCAATGTGGTCAAGCCGGGCTGCAAGGTGACCGTAACGCTGTTGATGTGGGGTTTGAACAGGCTACGGATGGGGTCTCGGATGGAAGCCACGATGTCATGGAACTCCTTCAGGCAGAGCTCTAGGTGGTTGAAGTAGCTCTTGAATCGCTGCTCCTAAAGATCCAAAATGTACCCCAACAAATCTCAAAAACTCATAATGCAAATGGAACACGATATAAAATTGTTTAAAGTTAAATACGCGGCTTTCTGTGACTTAATGTACTTTTAATCCCTATTTCTTGCCTACTTTCAGTTATAGAGATGTCCTCTCAAACCTCTTAAAGCAACAAATTGCAGATCCTAGTTAACTTAACAGATCCTGAAAAGAGTTATGGACCAAAGCGCAAAATGACTGGGTAACTTCACTAAGTTGTGTTGTGAAATCATGTAGTCATGTCAGACGAGATCAGTGTGAACGAACTGATCACAATCTATACCATCAAACCTTACTCTTAATGTGGCGTACCTGTTTCAGAACCATCTGGGCCGAGTCTGGTATGTCAATGCCAAGCCGCTTTAACCAGCGGCACTCATGGATCAACTGTAGAACCCTGCAATGAAAATATATCCTTAACCCTAACACTCCTCAGTCCTCCAACAGGTGAAGGATTGAGGAGGGTTAGGGTTAACGATTTTCTTATTGTAAAAGCATGGCACTGGATAAAGACAATTCTTTTGTCTAGCGGAAAGCACATTCACCCAAAACTTCAGTAAACCTAAATGATAGGTAAAAGCTCAAAGTACCTACCCTTCATCTGCGTTGACCACCACCTGTCCTGTCTCGGGATGGCTGATAAGTAAGGTTGCCCTCAGCCCGGCCTTGGCGTTATCGATGTGCGCCCTCCACTGGGCCAGCCACAGGCTCTCAAATGTCACCAGGGCCGTGGCCACGCGATTGTAGAACCGCACCACGCGGGAGAAGTCCCGCAGGTGGGTGACGGCCCGGTTGTCGCGAAAGACCTTCATGGGGTCCTCGATGCGCTGGAGGAGCTGGCGGGACCAGGAGATGGCGCCGGCTACCGGCGGGGCGTTGCGGATCATCGGGGGCTCCTCCTATAGAAAATGAGAGGGGAGGAAAGGTGATTGTAGAAACGAGATTCACAGAAAATAAAACCAGGTCTGGTCCAAATGAATGGCTCTGGCTGACGGTAATGCACATGTCTGTGGGAAGTGCCAACAGCCTTAAGGCAGCAGCTTTCAGAGCCACTCATTTACATCCAGATGGCTCTGGCTGACGGTAATGCACATTTCTGTGGGAAGAGCCCACAGCCTTAAGGCAGCAGCTTTCAGAGCCACTCATATTATATCCAGCCACAGCCATAACATTCAGACAAAGCCAAACGACTCGCATCAAACACTTGGATCCAGTCATCACTGGCCGGAACTCAGAAAATCTATCTGCACCTTATACTTCTCGTAGATGTTTTTGACCTCCTCCAGATCGGCCTCGTACCAGTTGAAGATGTCCACGTATTTCTCGGCGATGGCTCTCTTCATTCCCTGACGATACGCAACAGGGGTGAACCTGGAACCAAACAGTGCATTTCAGTATGGATGTATTCACGTCAATACCAACAGCTTTAGATGTGTCATCAATAATATGAAAAGTAAACAGAAAAAGCTTATTGTAAACAGAGGCCAATTTTAGAGAAATAACAAAGAGACTGATTAAAACTAATTGCGGAGTTAGGGTCAATTCAGACATCCAAACTGCGAAGCCAACTGACCTCGTGATGACGTCCAACGCCTCGTGTGTCTTCATCCTTCGAAGGAAGACGGCCTGCAGGTAAGCGCAGAGGTACATCTCGATCTGCTGAACGGTGCCGAGGAACTCCTCGTAGGTCTCGCCGAACTTCTCCTTTTCCTTGCCCTCCACGTCCAGCATGACCGCCGTGTCCACGTGGGAGGACAGCAGTTTCTTCATGGTGGCGATGTGGTCCTTGACAATGGAGGAGATGCTGGGGCCTTCGTCATCGGCGTTGTCTGTGCTGTAGAGCTTCCCTGGAAGAAACGCCATGAGGGGAGGGTATTGTATTGGGTCTTTCCATGAATGATTGAGGACGCCGTGCTGGCTGACTAGGTGGCTGGTGCACATTGTGTGAATCACAAAGCCTCACAAAAAACCACAATCAAACAGGTAATACATACTGTGCATGTGAACGTGCTCAAGGGCCCAGCCAATCACAGGACATGGCACAATGACAGTAACCAATGAGATGTCCAGAGATGGCAGGTCACTGCCTGTCTTTGCCCTGTTAGATCTGGACCCAATTTCATGGAGCTGCAGACCAGGAACAAAATGCTCAGCAGATAATTGTGTTGAGCAAAATTGGCAGGTGAACCAGACTAAAATAATTTACTTTGCAGGGCACTTTGGATGGTAACCTAGTTGAGCTAGCAATATGTTTTCTACACTTAGCAACTTTCTGTATTTAGTAGCTCCACATATCTGCATCTGGTACCCATATTGATGATGACACTTACTGAGCAGAGCTGCATTGTGAGCAGTGATACCCGTACTGCCGTGGATGAGGTCATGAACTTCGTCTGCGTTGGACGGCACCTCGCTCTCCATGGGATCTTCGGTGTTCTCCTCCTTGCCTCCCTCCTTTGTTCCATGCTCCTCCTCTTCCTCATCCCCATTGAGATTCTCTTCTTCCTCAACAATAGGGAGGATGCCCGGGGCATGAGGGTAGGGGGTCTTGGTGGGACTGACTGGTTTAACGGGCGATTCCAAGGTTGGAGTACCTGAGGAAGAAACGGTGTAAGGTCATGTTAAGTGACTACCAAATTTATTGTGAAGTTGAACGAGGTCATTAGGACATCATATCACAGAACATGAATCAGAGAGATTTGCGCTTGTCTGCGAATGTCACATCTTGGCTATGAGCAGATTAGAGGCACCTGGAAACCAAAATTGTTACAAAATTGAATATCTTGATCAAGTTACTATAGAATGATCTTGTGATGATAATAACACTATCACTGGTCCAGCCAATGGTGGTAGAAAGCAGTGTGATGTCTATTGTACGGAGTCACTTTTCTGTGTCCGTTGCTTCAAACCCAAGAAAGTGCTTTCCGCCATTAAAGGGGGCCATTGGGAATGTCCAATGAAATGCTACAGGATTCCTCTGTACATAACTTCTTGGCTGAAACAATTTCTCCTGACCTTTAAACCTCTGAAACTGATCTCTGTTAAGCGTCTGGACTTACTGCTATGCTCTGAGGGATTGGTCCCTCCTCCTCCACCTCCCAGTGCCGCAAGCTCCGCCCCGTCCTCCGTGGCATCGTCGTCGACCACCAGGTCCTCCTTCCGTGGGCGGGGCAGGCCCTCGGTGCTCAGTCCCAGCTTGCTGTACTGCACCAGTGTGTAGATGGCGTCAATCACCTGCCGCAGGCGAGCACAGAAGGACTCCATGTGGCCGAAGATGGACTCCTCGTCGGTGAAGGGAACGCCATGGCCGTGATCAGAGTCACCTAGAAGTGATTTAAACATGCCTGTATAAGTGTTTGGAACGTGAAATAGATGCCAGGACCTTTGTACACATTCACACAAAAACTGGTGGCGTATACAGTATGCCACACAACTGCAAGACAGTCTAGGCACACTATTCCTTAAAAGCTTGCTTCCATTTCAACTGTCAACACCAAAGCCAGGCTTATCACCCCTAATACTTTCAATACTTCTTCATTTAGAGGCTGTAATCATTGTTAATGGAACGCCCAAAGCCTTGTTTCAAGTTCATTTGCTTCTGATCTAAGTGGGGCACCAGATGAATCACAAATTTCACAGAGGCACTCACCAGCCACCGAGGGTGTCTTGGAGGCCTTCCCCATCAAGGTCAAGGCGCCCCTGGAGTGGGCCCTCACCCTGGAGGTAGGGGCGCCCAGGGAGCTGATGGAGGGGAACTGCATGAGGGTGTGAGCTCCGCCCAGGTTGTCCCGCAGGGTGCGCACGGTGTCCCTATAAACGCTCTGAGAATTCACACAAAAAGAAAAGAGAACGATTGGCTTCAAAAGCAGAGGACAAGATTGAAAGGTCAGTGTGCAATATCTGTGCACAAGAGAAGTCCAAGGTCCCATTTCATGGATGTACAATATAGAAAATCCTACTTAGCAAATTTATGAGCTAAGCAGAAATCAGCTGGGAACCATAACATTTAGGCTGCTGAACTAACATATTCCATGCTTAGCGATTTGCTAATCCACACTCACGTAGAGCTTCAGGCATGCCTTGAGACGGCCTAGCAGCGTGTCATCCTCAGGGTCAGCCTTCTGGTCCTTCCCCTTCCGCCGTCCAGCCCTGGACCTCCCCTGCTGATCAGTGGAATGGACCCTGCCCTCTATCTCTGTGTAGAACTTGGGCCACAGCAAATCCTCCTGGGAGGGGGTGATTGTCTCAGCCGTGATGTACTCCTTGCAGGCGTTGACAAGCTGATTGGTTATCTACAAACAAGTGGTTGATTGAGCGATATGTTGACCAAAGAGTTTACAAAAGTGCATGCTCGTAACACTAACATCACTCATGAATAAATTACCCCAAAAATTTCTGACAACAGTTGCTGATTCAACTTTAAAAGTTTATTTCTTTTTTAAGAGAGTTATGAGAAGAAATCAGAAAAATATCATTAACTGTTGCCTGGAAACCACACACACTTCAAAAACTAACTAAGGGTGGCATGTATGTTTCTTCTGCTCTCCATACCTTGGTGAAGAGCAGCCCCAGATAGCCAGAGCGTGCGTAGAATCTGGAGATGGAATCCATCTGCTTGACGTTATTGGCCAGACCGGGCAGGGCCGTGTTGATGATGTCGGCCGGCGAGGCGCTGTGGTAGAGGTGCTCGAAATGCCGACGCAGGGCCTCCAAATACTTGACTTTGTCCTTAGTTTCGTTGGCTGCATCAGTGATACTGTGACAAAGAGAAACTACTCATTTTTAAGCTGCAAATGAATAAAATGGCTTAATTTACTCATTACCAACTCCATCCAAAGAAAAAAGTGAAATGCCTGGATTTAAAGATTTGATATGGCAAAAGTAGAACCATCAATATGATAAAAAACAAACCAAAAGTTTCCTAGGTTGAAGGCAACAAGTAAAATTGCGAAGCCAAGAACTAAACAGGAAAACATACCCGTCATGACGGGGGACTTCTTTTGGTGAAATCTTACTGAATGAACTCTCCCTCCCTTCTCTTAAAATATTGTTGATTTGCCATTTAAGCGATTAAAAAACTGAGGGATGCCAACGGCTGGTTGGAGCATTACCTTGCATCGATGGCCTTCCATTTTTTGAGGACTTTGGACTTGGAGGTGATGAGGACCCCGATGACTGTCTTGCACTCCTTCCCCTTCAGCTGCTCCATGATGTTGGACAGCATCCTCTGCCGTCTCCTCCATCGCTCCAGCTCGCTCATGGGGCCTGAGGTGGGATCCATGAACCTGCAACAGAGGAGACCATTTGATTAAAAATATCAGTTTTTAAGGAAAGCGGCCAGTGAGCCTGATCAACGGCTCCTCTCTGAACTTAGATCCATATTCACCTTTCATCCCCACCGTCAGCCAGGGCGTTATCGATGGTGGAGATCCACTCTGTCACTAAGGCCTCATATTCCGTAATGATACTGTGGTCGTAAGACGTCGTCCGATGCTTACTAAATTCCTGGCTCACCATGTTATCCGGACGTCTCAAGACCTGTTGAACATCAACCGAATACTCACATTTAGCCTGTACACTCACAGGTATACTTGTTGTTTGGAACTACATTCTACATTTCAATGGTAGGGCTAAAGGCTTGAGTACATCCTGTAAGAGTGAACGATGGCCTTAAAAGACCTTTTATCTGTCAAATGGTAGAGATTGTCATAGAATTGTCATACAAAGTCTGAGAACTCAAGTTTGCCTCCACACATCTTCCCTTGTTTTGGTACAATAACTATCTTATAGACTGATGTTGGTTCCAGCAACAAACTGTTACTATTAATCAAATTATCAGGGAAAAAAGCTCAATGCCTGTCTATTTACTTCCAAAACAGTTTAAGAAATCAGCACTACAGCTTCACTCTTTCCAGGTCTTGGATACTGCATTTCTTCTAACAGTCTTCTATAACATTAAACTTAGTTTAAACAGCAAACAGCCTCAGACCAAACTGTTTGTGGAATTCTTGGCTTGGCGGTGATATACCCGGCACAGGCCTCATTCAGATGCACATCTAATGGAACAGCTTGTACAACTTGCAGCACAGCACTTGAAAACTTCAAACTCCATTTGCAACATCCAGTTTCCACGAAATTCTAACAAACTGAACAGTCTAGATGAAAACTTTCCTGAAAAACATTTTTGGCGGCAGATTTTGTGCGATGCCAAAACTGATGTCACTGTTTACATGTTGATTCTCCATACTGTACCGCTAACTCCAAGACTATATTTTGTTGATAGAACAAACGCCAAGCATGCAACAAGCTATGAACACAATGCAACCCTGCATTCGATACGTGCAACATAAAAGACACAGCACATTTGGATATTTCGCATGACAAGGTAGAGGTTGCAAGCCTACATTTTTGATGACCATGGGAAGTGGATTAATAAGACATGCCAAATTGCATGAATAACATGGAAATGTTCAAGTCCAATCTCACGTTCCACTGTATGATTCAAGGTCCCATCCTTCCATAACTCTAGCAGCTCTATTGAAGTCTGAATATTTATACATCTCGATGTTGCCATTTCCAAGGGTATATAGGTGGACGAAAAGTGAGAGATTGGGAGATAAACTACATGAAATCATAGAAAAATGAGACAGGGATAGGATGAGGAATTTCAGAATCATTTCAGCAATAAACAGTGATGACTGGTAGGATTTTCCCACACATCTGGTGAGATCCAATTTGAGAAGAATGACCGGCTACATGAAAGAATCAGGGGGAATAGGCATGCAAAACAACTACAAAAAGGGTCTTGCAGCTACGGAAAAATCTACAAATTTCAAATGAATTCTGCTGGAAGAGAAGAGGAATGTGCAGAGTACAAGGCATGCATGGATCAGCGTGCGGTTTGCCCTCACCAAGTCCACTGGAACTTGTCGCCTTTGACTCTGCGATAATTGAAGGGTTAGCAAAATATTAGCAAAGCCATTTGTTTTAACGAACGATTTTTGTCAATGAAAATATTCAGCATCCAAGTGGGCCCTAGGCCTAGAAATCATCTAGCCCAACACAGGCCCTAACAAGTAAAAATGCACCAATAAAAATCATTGAAATCAATTGAATTGAACAGGCTAACAACTAACATTAGGCTTACACACAATTTGTTAGCCTATTCTTGATTCATGCATGCTATCAAGTATCATAACTTATAACGCGTTGGTGTTATGGAGCACTTTATCAGATTATTGGGCCACACGTATTGTGCCACAACCCATACATTAAGTAGGCATAGGCCTACCTGCTGTCTTCCTGAAGCAGGAACATTGACCGTTTCTGCCAGTGCCCCGGCATATTTCTCCAGGCTATTCAGACACTGCGAGACATTCTCCTCGCTGCACTGGCCCCAGTCCTTCTGTGCTCGAAGCAAAGGCAAGTAAATATCAGACAGCAAGGTGTTGAGGTTGTCCAACACGCTGTGCCGCAGCTCCCCGCAGAAAATGTCCTTCTCCATGTGGACGGGGTCCACGTCGTGGTTGACATGATGGCGGAGGAAATACAGACAAGTCGTGTCCTCGATGTTCACCTCTTTCAACGCGGCCAGGGAGCTCACGACGTGCAGCTGTCTCGTGCTCTGCAGCCCGCTTGGAAAGAGAGAGCTCGTCTGGGGTCTGTCGGAGTAGAAGAAGAGCTTGTTGGGCCCTCCCGTGCCCAAGAATTGGTTGATGAGTTCGAGCGTTTTGGGCTCGCAGAGAAAATCCTCCAACAGCGTTGGGTTGTCGTGAAACCCGCCGATATGGAATGATTCCTGGATCTTCGTAGCGATCCACCAGTGTCTCTCGTCCATTTTGTCTCAATTTTCTCAGCACAGCACGATTTACAAACTCTGAAATAACCCTTCTCGGTAATCCTACTAAAATGCAACAAAATTCTACTTCATGAGCAGCAAAAAATGGAGCTAAATCACGTGTTGTCAGCATGATAAAGTTTTGAGGAGTTGCCGCGGATTTGTTGACAGCGGGCCGCCATTTTGGAAGTGGTCGTCAGGAACTACGAAGTTCCCGGATGTACCAATTAATTACGGGTGTTTCTCGGGCCAATGACATTTCGCCCCATGTTACGTTTCGCCCCATATGAAGTTGCCATTCAAGTGTGTAGACATGCTCAATCTGGGGTGTAATATATTTTGCTCCAAACGATCTAAGTCTTCACCTGAATTTTGCCAATGGAAACATCGCACCAAGTTGTCATGGCCCAACTTCAAATTGTCAAGGCCCGTGCACTATAACTTTTCTACGAAGACAAAAACTTTCGTCACTCTTAACGAAATAACCTAGGCCTATATGGAGTAAATGAGGCCGTTACAGTTACATGTAAAGTACAGCTCAAAAAAAAACCAAAAATCATAAGATGCCGGATTTTAATCGGTATAATCCTGCTCTGCGGAATTCGCCCGTCCGATTCGTGTCCAAAAATCATGCCGGGCCCACAACGGGTATGAGAACTATGAAACAAACACAAATTCTGCACAAATGGCCTCAGGAAATGAAGAAGGAAAAGGGCATATTGTAGTCTAAAAAAGAATAACAAATTTCAAGTATAAAGCAATTTGGTCCCGAGTGATCCTGCGAGTCGAATCTTCACACAGACTAGTTGTGTGGAGTGACCTAATTGGAAAGTCGCGCGTACAATGTACTAAACGCGCTATGGATTGGTGCCTCGGAAAATTACCGTGACAAAATTAAGCCAAACAAAAAAAATGATGAAAAGCCGGATGGTTGAGAACAGCCAAGATAACGCTACATATTTTTGTTTCAAAATTATTTGAAATGCCCTAGCCAGTGGGTCGATTCTATCAGCACTATAGCTGCATATACGGTGAAATAATTTAAGTGAGACTACGGCGCGGCACAGCTCTAACCAGTTGTCCACATTGTAACGGTTATCGGCATTTACTGGGAATCGAATGTGCAGCAAAAGTTTTGTAGACCAAGCACACCCCCCCCCAATAAATCAACAGAAAGTTAGCATGCTATCAGGGGCAGATCCGGGATTTTCCAAACGGGTGGCTTGAACTAAGGCAGTAATGGTCAATGCCCGTATGGGTCCGGAGCCATTTTGGATTCTAGGAGCTCTGTGTTTCAGTTTCAGACAGTATGCCCTTCGTTTCTCTTCTCCCTCTCTCAATTTCATTTTTTAAATTTTATTTATCTATGTATTTTTTGGTGAAAAGAAAGGCTGTGCACCCCATGGCCTCCCCCCGTCCGCCCTCTGGCTATAAGGGTCATAAATCCGTGCTTCCTTCTTTATAAAATTGTTTATTTATTGTTATGTCCCACTAAACTGAAAGTTAAAGGAACTACACTTTTCACGGTGTATTGGCATTCATGAAAACAAAACGAAAATAGCTTGGCAAAGTTTGTGATTTCCAGCCCACAGCGAACAGCCACCCGCCAAATCCAAAACAATCTTGATTTATCGCTTCTTTCTTGTAGAGGTTTTTCATAAAAAAAACATTGTTGAACGCAATTGTTGTTGCTCATATTTTCACACACAAAATTCTTGAAGAATGGTTTATTGAACAGTTCTCACGGTGATTTTCATTCCATGGACAAAATTATTTTAAAAGTCATTTATTTTCCAATTAATCTAAACCATTTTAAATTATTTCAGTGGCAGTGAATAGGCCTATCGGAATAAAGCTGATCACAAAATAAGGAAGGCCTGACGTTTCGATCCTAGCAGAATCTTTCTCAAAGGCAAAAGTAAAACTAAATTAAAATATGATCACCAAAACCCCCTCCTGAAAAATCCGCCCTCACAACCCATTGGACTTTTTTACGTCATTCGTCAATAAATTGATGTTTTGTTATGACAATAGTTTGGCCTCGAGCATACTAATCGGACCGGATCCCACCCTAGAGAGTTAAATTTTGCATTCCCCAAACTTTGCGATTGCTACGTAGTCTGCATCAGGTGTAGGTTGACGTTGGTGCCCCTTCAGGAAGGCACTTACCCGGGGCAGGGACGAGATCTTGCTGGTGAATACCTAACGAAAGATATGACGGTAAAATATCACTATTACGGTAAGTAGAATGATAAAACTGAAAAGTTAAGTACTTTACAAGTAACTCTGAATTTTTATTTCAATATACATAAAAAAACTAGAGTGCCCCCATCATTTCTGTCTCAAAAGATTTGGGTGTGAGGTTCACTCACGGCCACAGCGGGAAACTTGACAGCAAACTCCGGTTCAAGCTCGTGGAGCCAAAGGAGAACATCCAGCCAGCCAAGGTCAGCGAGGGAGAGAGAATCGCCAACCAAAAAGCCTGAGGTGCTCTGCTTGTAAACCTGCATACCACAAGGAAATTTATATTTCGGGCAAACCATAAATTCGGTTGCATCTGAAATATGCTACTCGATAAAACTGACGTTTATGATTAGAAATTATATTTGACAGATGTACGCGTAGCTGGTTGACACAATTCTGCGTGTCTTCTTTTCGTTACCACTAAGTAGCGTTATCCACACTGATTTTCGTACTCAGCCGGACTTTCTCAGCAAGCATCCTACAGCTGAAGCGCTTCTTTCGGTTTGAGTGACCGTTGAATCTCTACCTTTTCAAAGGCAGGAAGGTATCGATTGTTGGCCTCCCTCTTAATCAGTTCCAGGGTCTGTTGTTTCTCCTCTTCCGTGTCCTTGAAGGCGGCGGTCGCGAACCCAAGGCGGTAAAAATCTCTAGAGCCTTCAAACATCATATCTACCCTGAAACGAAAGAACGCACGCTTAACAAGGGATGTAAAGCTACGTGCTTGCACTACAAACACTGGAAATGAGAAGTCGTTTGAAATCTGAGATGATTTGGGGGATATATTCATAGCTTGATAAACAGGGGTAATGCTGCAGTTCAATCAAAAACCTCCTTACCAATGAATAACAGATAGCTAGGCAAGGCAGACTGCTTAGTTAACTAAGCGTATAATTAACCACAGTTGGACGTCTTTACATGCATGCTAAGCAAAAAGCACTTTAGCTCAGCCGGACATGCTGGACCTACATTGCCTGCTCTTCTGGAGTCTTGCCGGTCATCTTATACTTGTGTGCAACATAGCGTGCGATGGCGCTTGACTGGACAAGCTTCAGTCCGTCAATCTCTAACGAGGGAATCTGCCTGAATAAAAGATCTCCATCTGAAATAAGAAAGACAAGATCTTATGTTATTGATATCAAACGTCTTATTCAAAATAGCCAGATTTAGTTATTTTCTACGTCGCAAGTTGGGCCTAACTCGCTTCAACGTTTGTAATTTATAGATGTAAAAGAACATCAGCTCTATTGCTACTCTGTTATGGACCAATATTAATATGAATAATTACTATGTTGTTTTTCCGATCAAATCAATCATGATACTAAAAGAATGTTTGGCAGAATAATTGAGTCAGGTTGGCGCAGTGTTTCTTTCCTCGCCTTCCACCTCTGGGGGCATGGGTTCGAATCGGGCTCGGTCCACATGTGGATTGGGTTTTCAGTCATACATACCCGAGTCCGTGGGGTTTTCCCGAAACATGTATGGCGGGGGTTTTCCTCCCACCTCTACAACTGAACATTTCTACATTGTCTTCTTAATTTCCAGTTCATCCTGGGTAACTGGAACCAAATGTGTTGTTGGATGATCAGATATAGATGAAATAAATTTAAAAAAAAAAGTGAACTATGGAGCGAAAGAAAGTTCAACAAAACCTGCCAAATATTTGGCCTATAGCATACACTAGGCTTACCATCTAGTAGTTTCTTCATTTGCTCTGGTTCTGATATGAAGTAATCTTCAAACTAAATGGTTGGAAGCAAAGAAGAGAAAATGGTAGACGGTTGAATCACAGTGTGATGTTAAGAAAACTGCTGAAAAGTTTACATAATGACAATCAAACTGAAACCTTGAAACCGCGTCCGAGTTTCCATGATCATCGTATGTTGTATGCAATACCTCCACTCCAGCAGCTGTTAGGGTTAGTCGGATCACTTCAGCAAGGCCTCGACCCTGGGTGTATGTCAGTTTTGCTTTGGATGCCATCTTTCCACCACGTTAGGAGAACCAAATTGGCGCTCTTTGTACAAAACTGATTCACTCCAAATTCCAACATTTCAGTTCAAGTGGGAGAAGTGCAACTCCTTGTACTTTGATCACAATAAAGTGCATGATTCTACATTTGCAAAAATCTTTTTAAAGAGGTTTGCATCAAAATAGCAGAACTTATTTGCAAAATTTTGAAAGGCCATTATATTCCCTAAACACTTAGTTTTCACAAGATCACATAAAGTATGACTGAAATTAATGTTATTAATGTGGCCAGTTATTTAAATGTAGTTAACAACCTACCCCAATATTCCAATGTAATTGTCCGCAAGTTAAATAGACCATATAAAGCAATCCACCTTCGACCGCACTCTCGAAAATGTTCTTATCAGTGAAGAGCAGTGACCTTATAACCCTTATCCTATCAAGAGATTGTTTATTTACACTTAGTCTTGGACAGAACGTGAAATTTTACTGCGACGGTAGAACGAGAAAAAAGTCATTTTAGGCGAAATCGGCACTTTTTTAACTCGAATGTCCGTTTCCGATGCATATTAGGGATGGAGTTTTACCCAAACAAAATAAGTAATAATGATTTGTTCCTACGTTTCACTCGAAATTTATCCGCCTTCTCAGAGACCTGCACTTTTTAAGTCGGCTCTGTACACTGCTTCCTACCAGTGTATCTTAAGTCGCAATATCGGTCACCCGCTCAACTCACAAACTTTGTTTGGGTGCGCAAAACACACCGGCGCATCCATCGGGGTGGTAGACAAACGTCAAGTACCCGAAGTAAATGTGACCAATTTTGCTTTTTGTTATTTTTTTGTAGGAAGCAGCACCACTATTTCAGAAACGGTTCGACTAGCAACTCCGGGGAGGGGGGGCTTAAGCGCGCGCTACCGTTGAAAGATCGGAAAATCTGGGATGAAGGCTTTACAAAGTTCGGAAAAAAGGCCAAACCACATGGGTGTATTTTTGAAAAGGAAAACTATCCGGCAAAACTAACGGTGGAGGCATGGAGACTAAGTTCAAGAAAAACGTAATCTTTACAGTAAGTTCTACACTTGTAAATCGGAAATAAACATAAATGCGGGGAACAATTTAATGATTAAGGAATCACTTTTTTGTCTACATGCAATCTATCATACATTTTGTGTGCACAAAGCCCATGAAACACACAATACTCAGGCCTACCGTGATTAAAGTGACACATGTTGTTTATTGTTTAAATATTTCTTAATATGGCACTTGGTATAATGAATTTGATTTCGATGGCACAGGTCTATTAGAAGCGACATTAATTCGTCCAAATTAGTTGTTTGTAATAATAATAATACGCCAGATTTATACTGCGCACGTATCCACCCTGCTCATGTTCTCCGTGCTCAGAGAACTTGTTCCCCTTATTGATTCACGCGGTACATGTGAAGAACTGGTCGTCGCACATAACTAAATTCTTGACAGGCTTGTACTTCACCCATTTTAAGAACGTCTGTCTTCTGCCAAACGCTTACATCTTTTCCCCTTTTGTTGGCACTGTTGGTTCACAACTCAATGCTCAGCACAAGTCTTTTAGCTGGTAAATTGTTAAAAAAATATACAGACAAATTTATGAAACTCGCAAGGATAAGCCCATTTACGGCATAATTCAGTGTGTCCTTTGATGACGTAAATATGTTAATTACAATGTGAAAACTGACTTTAATTCATATTGTCTGTTATTTTTTACATCACGTCCCAGCGATGCTTAAATCCCAACACTTTGCAAACAGTGGTGGCATAGTCTTCCGTAAGCGAGTGGGAGCTGTCTTCGTTGCAGCCCTTTCAGAAAGGCACTCACCAGGGGCACGAAAGAGATCTTGCTGGTGAAGGTCGGGGGGGGGGGAATAGCACCCCAAAATGAAACTTAGCAAAACAGTTTTGTTTTGCATACTCTGTATTTGCTCTTACCATATCTTGCTCATCAGCAATAACAAGGTTTTCAGAGGTATACTTACAGCCACTCTAGGAAACTTAATGCAAAACACAGGAGCGCTGAATAGCTGAGAAAACCGCAAAGACTAGTGGCGTACCTTTCGGGGTGGGGAAGAGCATTATAATTTTTTTCTTCTGGAGGGCGAAAGAGCGCCAACGTTTCAGAAGCGGTGCTACCGGCGCCTTCCTCCTTTGGGGAGGGCTTAAACGGTGCGAGCTAGCATTAATACATCTTAAAATCTAGGATGAGCTCTACAGGGGTAGGAAAACGGACGATTTGTGTATTTTTGGAAAAGACTAAGATTAACACACACACATTGTTAACGCACTTGTGAAACGGCAGAAATGAACGCTAGAAACAATTTAATAATCATTTTTAAAAGTACAATCTGACATCCATCATCAACCCCCATGGTCATTTGATGACATGGGGAAGTTAACTACCATTCGAACACCAAACTGTCATTATTAACTGCTATTCAAGGTAGTCATTTCAGTACAGTATAGTAGACTGAACATCTCTTGCCAATTTCCATGTCTAAGCACGCTGTCTGGACTACTGCAGAATCCCCTACTCACATCAGTGGTTACTTTGGATTTCTATGTAGCACGATTTACTCTGATTAAAACCAAACACAATCTAAACATTTCCAAATGAAAATTCGTAAATCACAAAAAGGCGATGAAAAATGAAGTACATCATTAAAAGAGGACCAAATATGAAGAAAGTTAATGTGTCACACAGGAAAGCACATAATGATGGGGAAATGTTACTATCTTTACCGATTATTATGAAATATTTTGTTTATTTATGAAGTAATATGAAATAATAAGAAGAGTTAAATGGCATATGCTAAAAAATGCAAATTTTTAGCTGTTTCTTAAAAAGTAAAGTGCTAAAAAGTGTCAAAGAATTTCCTGATTAGCTTAAATATGTAATGCACATCAAAAACAAGGCAAATAAAACAAGCCAATATTTTGGGACAGTATATTTCTAACACAAAGGCTGCCAGTCTTCTCAAAAAGGGTGGCCTCCTTCGCCTGTGCCCCTTTCTATAGGCAAGGCTGATTTAGCCCTTCTTCATCAATCACAGTCCACCTATGATACTGGGGACTACTTCATTGGCAAGTCTGTACAAGGCAATAAAGGCAATATAAACTTCTTTTGGCAATAAAAGCACTGTCATACGGCTATCCGCCCGGAGTTGAAGAGCACCCCCAAGCGGCAAAAGAAAGACACGTGGTAGTACGTTTCCCGAGCGGGTTCTTGTATGCATTCTGCATGTACGCAGAGACCATACATTAAAGAATAAATTTGTTACGCGTACTCAGCGTGCTCCGCGTCAAACGTGCCACTGATCTCCATTATAAATGCCTGCTTACGCAGTGAATATAAAAAAAAAAAATTATAATAATAATAAATAAAATAAACGCCCTCTTTTGTTACGCTCGAAGCGGACAACTGAGAAATATACACATTTTAAGCAAATATGTGAAGAAGCGTCAACTGCATATATAATCTACACGTACCTCGTTTCTTGTCGCTTAAGTATATCAATTAGAAAAACAGGGATCCGATATTATACATGTACAAATAAGGACGCACATACACGCAGGGCGGATCCAGGAATTTTTCCGGGGGGGGTGTCAGGTCAGAGATTTGGTCTAATAACTCATTGGCCGGATTTCATCCCACGGATGCTAACTTCCAGCACTTTGCGAACGGTAGTGACGTAGACATCATCGGGCGGAGGCTGCCGTTGGGGCCCCTTGAGGAAGGTACTCACCCGGGGCAGGGACGAGATCTTGCTGGTGAAGGCCTGGCCGGGGGAAAAAAATTGCATATTAATATGCCCATGACAGGTAGCATGCCCAACTTGGTAATGTGCCACACAGAGTCATTCAAATGCACAACATATCTGACTATAAAAAGAATTAAACAAGGATTTTGTTCTGAAACTGTCTTCCCTAAAGTCAAAGAAGGGCTGTGAATCATTGACTAATCCAACAATGGTATTATATGAACCAAAGAATTTTAGTGCTTGGGACACATCATGTACTTGCGCTGGTGTAAAGTGACTTTCCAAACACTTACTGCCACACTAGGAAACTTGATGCAAAACTCTGGTGCAATTTCTTGGAGGCACAGGAAAACCTCCAGCCAGCCGATGTCGGCAAGGGAAAGAGACTCACCAACCAGGAAACCAGAGGTGCTCTGTTTGTAAACCTAGAAGCCAGAAAGGAAGTCAACCATTTGGGGGAAAGTCAAAAATATCCATTTGGTCTTATCTGATACACATTTCTCGGTAACATCCTTGTGACTAGGAATTTCATTTGACAACTGCATGTTCTTGTTTTTGCTGTTTCATGAGGGACTGGCACAAAGCCTCTTCCGTGATTCTGTGAATTTCACAATAAAGAACAGGCACTGTAGTTACAGTGCTAGCTGGTTTATCTATAAAACGATATTAACGACAATATTCACAATTGACTATGTTGAATTTCCAATTAAGAGCTATATGTGTTTAGGGGAAGTCAGAAATTCATCAAGCACAAAAAATTCTAGGATGAACCCTGCTACCTTGTCAAAGATGGGAAGGTATCGGTTGTTGGCCTTGCTCTTCGCAAATTCAAACTTCTTTTGCTTGCCCTCTTTGGTCTCTTCGAAGGCAGCAGATGCAAAGCCAACACTGTAGAAATCCCGCGACCCCTCGTACAACATATCGATCCTGAAGTGACAGAAAATATGTGGCAATCCATGGCAAGTTTATAAAGAGTCCTATGCTTCTGTTGCAAAATATCAGTTCTCAAGAAAATGTTCTGACTTGTTTAATGTTTCTCAGGAATGAGATGGGCAAATGGACTTACATTACATGTTCTTCTGGAGTCTTGCCCATCATGTTGTGCTTGTGTGCCACATAGTGAGCGATGGCGCTTGTCTGGACAAGCTTCATTCCATCGATTTCTAACAAAGGAACCTGCATGAACAGAAGATCTCCGTCTGAAACATGAATAAGAGAACCAAAATGACTAGCTTTACAATACCTGTAGAAATCCCTTTTGAATGAAACTAAAAGAATGATGGACCTGTTGTCATATTAAAAAGGGAGTTGTTTTGACATACCATCTCGAAGCTTTTTAATCTGTTGTGGTTCTGTAAGGAAGTAATCTTCAAACTGAAAAACAGAGAGAGAAAACAAAACAGCTTTAAAAATGCAATGAACTTGAATTAATTTACACAAAGGATGAAATATGTTGATGGCAAAGCAAGTAAAAAACCAAAATATTCAAGGATGGATGGAACATTTGCCCATAATTAATTGCATATGAAAAATAATTGGAGAGAAGCTTCTCAGTGCCAGTGACCTTGGTGGAATAATTTCCTTTTCAGAGCGATCCTTCTGCTGAGGCGTGAATTGAAAAAAAAGACGATCGACAAATGGCATGACCAATTGATAGAATACATTTTAAAGATGTGCATTTGCAACATGAACATCACTCCCAGAGTAGCATAACCTCCCCTTCAAGTTTTCATGGCCGGACAAGTCATTCCCCCCATCCCCCACCTTCCCAGTTCATGCGGTTCCTGGCACAATTACACCTCAAGATCGCACCTCATGTCTCTCCCACCTATCTATGTCTGTGATCACAAATTCAGATGTTTAATAATGCCTAGGAGGACTCTAGTCAGCCCCAATAAGCTTGGCTGGGTTCAAGTATTAGATTCACCAAGACACAACGTATCGCCTCTTTCAACATTTAGCATGGGTGTAAATACCAGGGCATGGGGGTATATATCCACCCACTTTTTTGTGGTGAGCCAAAAATTGAAGTGGATTGTGAAGAATTGTTTGGGCTTCGTAAAAACCGAACTTTTTCAATATCACTCAAGAACGAGATTCGAGAAAAGAAGTTTAAAAAGCCATCATGCCAGTCTGATTTAAGATGTATTCTGCATGAATGTAATGCATATTACAAATGTAGATCTACATCATGAACATCACCCCCTATAGTGTCATATGGTTCACCCCCCTCCCTTTAAAATGTTCATTTCCAGGCAAGTCATATGCCCGCACCCTGTCCACAAATCCCTATTCCAACCCTATTATTATTCAATAAGTGTCATCCAGTCACCCCACACGAAGCGTGTTCTAAAAGTTAGTGGGATGTGTCAGAAGATGTCAGGTTGCTAACTACAGACACAAACCCCCCAATTTGCGGCACAAATTTACGCCACTGACTGACGTTTTAACTTAAGACACTGTCGGTGATGGTAAAAAGAGGCGATTCGTAGAGTCCTAGTTAAATTAATCAGAATATTGATACCCTACCTCCACGCCAGCAGCCGCTAGGGTTAGTCGGACCAGTTCCCCTCTACCTCTGCCTCGAAAGTAGGTCAATTTTGCTTTGGTTGCCATGGTTTTCCACCAGTTCAATTCAAGAGTAATTCACAACCCGTTTGAAGTGCCTAGTACCTACGTGCGCTACTACGCCTGAATCCTGAATTCTTAAGTGGGGGATGGACCGCGGCCGGCGAGAGAGCCGGGGCGTGAACACGGAGACCGATTGTAGTCCATTTTAATCGAGGGGTGTTTCCTCCGATAGATACCTCATCTGCAATGTTTTGATTGTTTTAATATTTTAGTTTGTATCAGGCAACTCGGTTTTCTAAACATCAGTTTGAGAAATAAAGGTCATATTATTAAGAAAAAGAAGCTAATGTTTTCAGTGTCTCTACAAATACGCAACTGTTGTTGATAGAACACTTTTCCACCCCCATCGTTTTAATGCAATCGTCTAAGTAAATTTAATCAAAGTCATCTAGGCCAGTGTCAAGCACGAGCGCATATTCCTGAACACCCCCAGATCTATTTGCCTTGTCACGTTAAAAATGCTGACTAACATAATAATTGCCTTTTGTCATTCAGATATCATTTTACAGTCGAACCTCATTGGACTTTTCAGATTCACATTGTCTACAGGAACTTTTATTACCAGGAATGACAACAATGAATATCAAAGGGGCCTGACATTTTCCGAATAAGAAGAATATTTTATTAACGGTGGTCCAATTACTGAAGTTCGACTATGTAAATTTTCCATATGGGTGAATTACAGCATCAAGTTCAATTGTGAAACAATACAGTAGATTAGTGAATTCCTAAATTTCACTGGAATTAAGTTGAGTGTCATATCATCGCTTTCCCCCATTTATTATTTCATTTTTCTTTCATGAGACAACTAGCTAAGTCACATGGGTTATCTCCGCTCAGTTCATTTTTCATTTGTGGCTTCTTTATTTTTTTTCTGGCCGAAGTAACAAAAAAATGAAAACATTTAGCCTAAAATGATTAATCTAAAATAACGCTTTGCTAGCTAACGCCTGTGTCACTTCAACAATAATAATTTCAAACGTTAACCTTCCCAGCCGAACGCTTCACCCCGAAATGTTGGAATTTTGAAGTAGTATCGCGCTGGAAAGTTTTTGCAATGTGCCCCCCCCGGCCCCGAATGCCAATTTAACGCACGTGTTTTACAAGCTTTCGCAATATAGTCTTGTTCCCAGTCTCCCTAAGCGTAATGTGTAATCTTTTTTTTGGCAGGAAGTCAGACTTAAACAAAATGGCCGAAACCCAGGCGGATTCGAGCGTCGATCGCGACGGAATGGCACGGAAAAACATGATAAAGAAGGCTAAAAAGTCTTTAAAGAGTACCCCGTCATCAAAGGCTTCTGATACAGGTAATTGGGAATTTCCATGATTGGCTGATTTGAACAGACATCGCTGAAAATTGCACGATCAAAGATGAGCTATTAATTAATTAGGCCTATGACCATGATTACCACGCGTTAATTGAACGCACATGGGTAACAAAATTCTTTTTTGTCAATTCAAAATTGATTCCATCTCATCGTTACAGGGTTTTTCAATTGTTTTGGATTCTTGGCTCTGGAAGATTTTTTTAAGGGGAAAAAGTTGGAAATTAAAAATGTCCTTAACCTAACTTGTGAATATGCAGTTGAAACGACTATCGCAGTTTAGAACCAGACAAAGATTTGTCATGGTAAGAATTTCTAGGTCCAAAAAACAGCGACTGCACTTGTGCCCAGAAAAATTGCCTGGTAAATTATACATTGACAAAGAAAATTGTATTAGTTTTTACAGTGCACAGATTCCTATTTCATGTATTTACTGTGTTTGCGAAACAAATATTGTTTCCCGTTTTAAGGAATGACACAGCCTTCATCAGTCACAAAACCCAAATCAGCTGCCAGCAAAGAAGCCAGTCCATCTTCAAACCCTAAGAAGAAAAAGATGAAGAGGAAGTCAGCTCCGGAATATTTCAACAGAGGTAAAGTTTAAATTGTTTTCCCTGCAAGTCAGTCAAAAGACTTCAAAATTGTTTAATTTTATGTCCAACCTTAAACCCTAACGATCCCAACCCAGCCAAATTCCAACACCAGGGTTTGTTGGAATCTGTTGGGATTAGTCCTGCACTGGTATACTGGCTGTGTTGATGTGGGATTTGGCATACGGCAAATAAACAGAGTCCAACTGTTTGTGGGAACAGTTTACTACACAGTATTAAGTATTGCAAGGATGTGGAAGGCTGCCATCACCCTAGGGAGTTATTGCCGTTGTACCAAAATTAGGGGGAACGATAAACTTGTATTCATTTTTAGACTATGTGACAAAATCTGTCTTCTTTTCAGAAGTTAAAATTCCCAAGACATCGAAGGACGGTGAAAATTCTCAGGAGGATGCAGTCATACGAGACGGGGGAACAAAACCAACTTCAGAGCAACACACTGAAAAACAGAAGAAGGAGGAAATGCGGCGCCTGGCAGGAGACAGCAGGGACGATGATGACCCACTTGATAGCAAGGAATGTGATGATGAGGAAGAGCTAGAGTGGGAATCCGACGACGATGATGACACCTTGGAGGATGCTGACGACGACGATGAGGAAACAGACTCAAAGAAAGATAAGAGAAGAGGAGATGAGAACATAGAGGAAGATGAAAATGACACGGCCAGCGAGGAGCAGACACAAGCAGAGACATCATGTGAGTTTCTATTTTTTTGGTCACTTTTGCTTTATTTTAAGCGAAAATTCTAAGCAAGTGTGGCTGTAAAGAAAACAGTTAATTTGAAGCAGGGAGCTAATTTACTTTTTGGAGGTGTTTTCCTACCTCATTGCAAATAGTGATAGCTGTCGAAATTTTTTTACATGATGAAAATGATGAGAACATTGTCATTCACAGGTGTGAAGAAGTCCTTTCTGACCCAGCAACTTTTGCAACATCCCAGTCTCAAGGCAAATGTTGTGCAATGAATCTTTTGAAAATGTATGTAAAAAGAATAGATTCACAAGCCATAACTTTCACAAATCTTTTGGGGAATTCCAGAAATTAGTTGTCCATTTTTTTTCTGTGTGTCTGTCACATCTCACATATGATTTTGCAAGGTCAGAACACATTTTCTAATTTCCAAGAGTGATGAATTAATGCAAAATACCTGCCAAACAAATAGGAATAGTTTGAAATTAATTTCTGGTGATATGTCTATGTCAAATAACAAAGGTCAGATGCAACAGGGACACAGAAATGTCACACTTTTGGAACTCTAATTTCTAGAATTACCCTTGTACAGAATCTTGACACCCACATTGAGCAAAAGTACCCCACCGTCAATTGAAAGGAGCCATGTTGGTGGAGAGTGTTCAGAGGGTAGCGACCACATCACATGCATTTCATAGTCGTTAGTGAACCAAAGAGTGCAGTTCCCACCAAATGAGCCTCCGTTGCTTGAAAACGTACGCCTTCTCTTGGTTGGTCCCCCTCGGGTCTCATTAGGGACTCTTCTGAGGTGTTCCAATATATATTTGTTTTGGGGAAATTTCTTGCAGTACCAGGCACAAGCACCATTCTGACCGACACCAGCTTCAAGTGCTTGGAGGGCAAGGTGTCGGACCTGACTCTGAAAGGCATCCAGGACATGGGCTTCACCCATATGACAGAGATCCAGCACAGGTCCATTCCCTACCTCCTTGATGGCAGGTTAGTCCCCTGGAACCGTTCAGCAGAAAAAACTTTGCTCTTGTGTGTGCTAAATGAATGAACAGTGATGTTTATAGTTTGGTTTTCTTCTCTGGTACATGTAGTTTTTTTGCAAAGTAAAATTGCTTTTGGCCAAGGAAAGTTGGGCATTTTGACCAATTTATTTTTCAAGTTAATAAGCAAAATTTTGCCAAGCAAAGGAAATATTTGCATTTCAAAAGTGGATTACCAGCCAAAATACAATGCATTTACATTTCATGGGACCAGTTCCATGCTAATTTTTACTTGGCTCATAAACTGGCTAAGTAGAGTATTCTGCTATCCTGCTCAGCCGCTCTGCAAAGTTAACCACTTTGGTTAAACCTAACGAAGCTGCTCATTTGAAATATTGTTTAGCAAATGGCTTTTTCTGTAATTGCTTTTTGTATTTGTTTCCTCGTCACATGCTACACCTCAACCAATAAAATTGCTTTGGGTTTTCTACCAATTAGGGACTTGCTTGCAGCAGCCAAGACTGGTAGTGGTAAGACCTTGGCGTTTCTCATCCCAGCCATTGAGCTCATCTATAAACTCAAGTTCATGCCTCGAAATGGTAAGACACTCTCTTCACTCAGATCTGCCCAGAGTTTCAGTCCAAAAATTAATTCTTTAATTATGTATTCATTAATAGGTCAGTCTGTCTCCCTATTGTATTCAACAATGTGCAGTTTGACCATGTATTAACATTTGATAATACCTGCTGAGAAGTGATAACGCCCGCTGCATAAACCACATGCTGGCACCTGGATACGAGACAGTTTAATTGATTCTGATTGGTCAAGAGTCTGTGTGCATATGGCTTGCCACATGCATCAAGTCCACATATAAGGAGATTCTATTGGACAACTTGCAAAAGGAATATACCACAAAATAGGGTGTTGGGAGAAAATGAAAGTGAAATTCTAGAACAGAATCGTTGGAAATCCATCATATATGTGACCTCAGTAGAAGAGATAAACATATATGTGACCTGTCACCACAAAATGAGCTGAAAGTTGGATTTTTCAAAAATTGAGATATTGTTATTTTTAAATCAGCAGAAAGAGAGCTTTTCAATGGCATGTACATGGAACACTTAGGGTAAAAGTATAAGGCGACAGTGTGGTATTATTCTGGCAGCTGTGCGTCTTTATTTCTAACATTGTTTCAACATTTTTGACCGGGCACAAATAATACTATCATCAAAATTGCTGAGAAAATGACATTTGTAAATATCTGATCCTGCTCACAAAATTGGAATTAAATGGAGGGGTTAATCTTTCAAAATAATTACAAAATGCCAAAGTTGACCTCCACTTAATATTTGACTGTGAACCCTCAAAACAAGAAAGAGCAGAATGGGAACGCTTATTTTGTCGTGCCAGGTCACATATTGTCTTCTTGTGACTCTTTGACTAAAAAGGTACTTGTATTTATGAATTGGAATAAATATGTGCTTGGCCAGTCTTCCGTTCAAGACCGGCTAAGCTCGTATTTATTCCCTTATTAACCAACAATAGGCGATGAATGGTAAATCTGACAAATTTGGCCTATTTGAGGAACTTAATCATTCATTTGCTGTTAAAGGGACGAAACCGAGACCTTTACTTCCCTCCTTCTTTCCCGTCTGTTTCTAGTAAAATCTCAGATTATGCTGCCACCATTTTCAGCAGATTTTTGGACTGAACTATTGTCACCGTTGTTACTCTTTGTTCTTTGTGTCCCCAAAAGCTGTATTTTACGAATACATTTTATTGTGACACCTTTAAATTCCTCACTTCTACCCGTCTAGTTTTTTCGGGGGGGGGGTATTTTGTTTTCAAAAAGCCTCACTGCACAAAATCATTGTCCTTGATTGGTTGGCAAAGAACCAATCTGAGCCAAGGAATTGCCAAATTTAATAATTCTGTACAAAACAGCTCTTTTATGTTGTGCAACGTGACCACCTAGAAGGCAAGTAGACGAGTGCAGGCTTTTAATACCCAGGGCAATCTCCTGCATCAGCTTATGTCATTAATGCGATGATAAATTAATAAGTGTGGCCAAGTTACCATTTAGGGGTTCAATGCCTTTGTAGGTACGGGGGTCATCATCCTGTCTCCGACCCGAGAGCTGGCCATGCAGACCTACAGCGTCCTGAAGGACTTGCTCAAGCACCACTACCACACCTTTGGCCTGGTCATGGGAGGTACCTGCCGCACGGCTGAGGCCAAGAAGTTGGCCAAAGGGGTCAATGTGTTGGTAGCCACTCCGGGGAGATTGCTAGATCACTTACAGGTAAGCATTGCTGCGACTAGATGCAGCTGAATGTAAATATGAATCAGCGCGTGAATATTGGGTGCAGTTGCTATGACACTGCAGTCAAGGGTCAGTGTTCATGAAGCAGAGAATGTTGCGGGGAAAATTCACGGGCTAAGCAACAATTGGCTGGGAACCAGTCGCAGGTGGTATGCACTGCATCAAAGTTTGGCCAGTAACCTGTTGTGGCTTAGCAGATGCTTTCTGGTGCTAAGCAACTTCATGTGGTCAACAGGTCTATGAATTGGGTGCTGGACTCCCAATGTTAGTCATGCATGACCAGTTGGACAAGAAATGAATACGGCAGAGACTGGTAGGGAACACGCACAGTTTTCCAAGTCACTCTTGTCCAAGAGGTTTTTAATGTGTGTAACAGTATTATTTTTGAAATTTGTTACTATTTTTCTGTTGTTTTTTTTTTCCAGAACACTGAGTCATTCATGTACAAGAATCTCCAGTGTCTGGTTATCGATGAGGCGGATCGTATTCTCGAGGTGGGCTTTGAGCCAGAGATGAAGCAAATCATTCGGTTGCTTCCAAGTAAGTCAGTCCAGTCGTTGGAGAAGGAAATGTCATTTAATGTGCATCAGATTTATGTGGTGTAAGCTCACAGTAATAGCAGTGTTGTCGCCGATTCCTTTTTCGAATTCCAAATACTGAACTGGTATGAAGGGAGCAGACCTAAGAACCTAGACAATGCATTAAAGTGAGATAACAAAATAAAATGATGACTTCAGACCATCACTGTTTAATAAGATTGAGTTTTTATGATGAATTTTGAATACTTTACTCTTTAAAACGTTATCTTACACAACTGTAAGTGTAAGTTTTAAATTTTGATTTTATAATCTTCCTTTTGTGCATTACTGTCATGTGTCCACTGCTCTGTAGCTTTATTCCCTTTGAACAAGTTCAATATTTGAGTTCGTTACTCGAAAAGTACTGGATTACAACACTTAGTAATACATGTAGGGTTGGGGCTTATAGTATCGTCGACATTTTTTTTTCTCAGAGAGCTGAATGTTGCCTGTCCTTTCTTGTGTTTCCTCAGAGAGACGTCAAACGATGCTGTTCTCTGCCACCCAGACCAGAAAGACTGAAGACCTAGCGAGGATATCCCTGAAGAAGGAGCCCATATATGTTGGTGTTGACGACAACAAAGTAACGGCTACAGTAGAGGGCTTAGAACAGGTCAGTTAAAGGGGAATCCTTCTCCTAGATTTGTTTGTTTCAAATTTGGACAATGAGTATCCAAGCCGTTGAAAGTGTTCAAATTTTTTTCTCTTTTTGTTAAATTTTGCGAATGCTTCCGTTGTCAGGGTTACGTGGTGTGTCCTTCAGAGAAGCGTTTCCTTCTCCTCTTCACTTTTTTGAAGAAGAATCGTAACAAGAAGCTGATGGTCTTCTTTTCCTCCTGCATGTCGGTCAAGTACCACAGTGAACTGCTCAACTACATCGACCTGCCCGTCATGGCCATACACGTCAGTTACTTTTCTTGATCCTTCCCAAACCTCAGCATCATCCGTGGGCGTTGTCAGGATTTTTTTCACCCTGGAGGATACTGATTATTTTCCCGGGAGAGGGGAGGGAAGGCTAAGCACATATCTTCTAAGAACTGATAAAGTAATCAATACTGGGAGGGATTGATTTTTAGGTGTTTTCAAGCAAATGTGTGATTTTCATCTCCTGTCATCATTTTTCCCATTTATTGCTTTTTTTTTTTCTATTTTTCAAATTTTTGTTCCGGGGATGGGGGCAATACCCCCCTCCGCCCCTTCCCCCATGATGCCCAGGGCATCATCTTTTTTGTTGCCTTTTCACCCTTGCATAAGTGAGAGAGGTTTTTGTTTACACGTAATGACAGTTTTAAATGATACTGTGATTTCATTGGCCGACAGAAGTCTGGTATCAGGTCTACAAAAACAACTGATTTCCCAGTGCATCATACGTAGAATTTTGATAGTACATGTGATGGTCATAATGACTGTTTACGATACATGAGCAGTATGATTGTTACCCATGTCCTTCAGGGCAAGAAACCCATTTTGGCAGCAACCATCAACACACATTCAGTCTCTGCCCTCACTGGTGCCCGTACTTCGGGGTTGGGAGAGGCAAGTAGGGGAAAAGTGACTTGCCGGAGATGACAACATGCAACCAGGTGGCGCATTCGAACCTTGGACCCTACAATCGGCAGTCACAAACCCTAACCACTATGCCGCACGCCCTGGTCGGGATTCAATACCAAGTTGCTCGTTTCTTCCACAGGGCAAACAGAAACAGACCAAGCGAACGCAGACCTTCTTCAAGTTCTGCAACGCGGAGAAAGGCATCTTGCTCTGCACCGATGTGGCTGCGAGGGGCTTGGATATACCGGAGGTGGACTGGATCGTGCAGTACGACCCGCCAGACGATCCCAAGGTCAGTGCACGCAGTTAGTTAACCTCTGACCCCCGTCAGGGGACAGGGGCCGTGCTGCATGCCAACCAACATCTCATATCCACTACTGTATTCAATATCATATCAAAGTATTTGCCGATGTCGAAGAAGCTAGATCAGCTAGTATGCTCCCCAGGGAGCTGAGACGGTTTCAGGAATGCTCAGTTGTTTTGAGCCTAATGTGCCAGGATAATGATAATACAGCACCTTGAGCAGCAGTTGTGATGGATATGTGCGCTCTATAAATATCCTCCATTATTATTATTCGTTTGTATGAGCAATTCTCTATGCACTTAAAATGAATCGGAAAGCAAGTAAATGTCGTCCAAGCAAGCAGCGTATATATTGGCTACAGAGTCAGCAACGCTGTGAACGCAACTATAAATTTTGATTTACTCAATCCAGTTGTGGTTATTACGAGCAACTGTACTGTCTTTTCTGTGTCTCCACGTCCAAGATGGATGCTGTCAAAGATTTAGGTCTCAACATCTTTTTGCCAGAGCTAGGCCTGTGTCGTTGCTATTTGCAAACGCTGACCCCTGTTGATGATGGACTTCATGTAGCTCCAGAGACCCATTTCTGACAGCGCTTTGATGCACACCACTTACAACATTTGTCATACGTCCGAGTGCATTACTGCACAGAAACAATTAGTACCTTGGTGCAAATCAGACTGGTAATCAATCTGCCGGCAGCACAGTTCACCAGTGCTCCCTGAGGACAGTGGATTGCAGTAAGGACAATGGAAAGCATCATTTTGTTTTGGGAAGAGCTTTCAGAAATCCTGATAAATTGGCTACATAGTCAAAAAGGGAGGGAAGCCAACAAGATGGGGATGGATGGAAATTCAGAATTGATGTGACTTTGTTTGAAAGCGTTACCCCCCTCAAAAAAAGTGAATGTTGGACTTACTCCTGTTTTACATCTTGTATAAGAGAAGCAAAAAATACCACAGCCAATTGTAGAAAATAAGGGAAAAATTTGCCGTTCTTATTGAATATCAGTTTTGTCACAAGTTTTAATGTAATGCCTTAAAGATGGATGGATGCAGATGGTTATAAAAATGCTACACTGCTCCTTTGACTTACAAAATCAAGGACACTTCTCTAATTCACAGTGGCTCTATCGTTGCATTTAGTTCAAGCTGACATAGGTAAATTTACCAACCTTAATCTATTCGCCCCTTCAATCCATCAAAATGTGTTGGCTAAGTGCCCTGCAAGTAAACCACTGACGCTGTCGCCATGGTCACCCCGACAATCCACTGGACGGCCTGGATTCATAGATGGCATTTATTAGTTTCTGTCAAACAATGCAAAAAGCCAGTTGGCTGAAAGCCTCTTGAGAACCCGTTTTGGAAAGCAGCCAAGAACCGTTGTCAACGTCAAATCACTGCCCACGTAATGAGCAATTTGTGAGGCACAGCAACACCAAGAGTTATTTGTGGCCTTATCATTAACTTTGATATTTAGATGACCACTTTGAGCTGTTTGCTTCTTAGAGCAATAATTGGCGCAAACAAATAAGGTTCAAGGAGGGAAATGATCAGTTGATATTTCGCTCAAGATTTTGGAAATTAAAGCGACACTTGACAGACGTGCATTGAACTTGACGTGTGGAGGTCGTATGCCTAACTGGACAGGTGCAGTGTCAGCGTTAGCTGTTGAAGTCAAACTTGTGTATTTCAGCATCGGCAGGGACGTTAAAACCAGCACTGAATGCTGGCTTGTATCCAGCAATAATCATCCTGAGCTCGACATCGATCAACATACACGGGAAACAATGGCTTCGTTCGTAGATTTTGGAACGAATAATGCATCGACGGAAGCATACGGTGACAGTGGCCAGTCACGTGTGGCCATGGGAATCACCATTTGCATTTTGGCAACATTGGGAGTCTTGTTGAATTTTTTACTGAATCCGCTCATGCTGTTGGCTTTACGTCACACCACCAGCATTCAGCCGACAACCAAAATCTTCATGATGTCCCTGACAGTCTCTGATCTCTTCATGGGTGTGATCTGGCTCTTGAGATTACCCGAGTTGTACCTCGGAATGTGGCCCTTGGGCAGTTTTCTCTGCGCGGCGTGCGGGGCAGTGGCTTTCACAACTCGTGGAATGGGCATCTATTCCCTTCTGCTGATAACAGTAGACCGTTACATCGCAATCTCCCACCCGCTCCGCTACCCCACTCTGATGACTGTGTACAGGTCAAAGGTCATTGTCTGCATAAAGTGGTTGGTGGTGACAGCATTCAGCATTTCTGTCTTTGGAATCTACAAACCAAAACACATTATGGAAAAGGGTCCCCTTATGTTATGCATGTGGAGAAATGACTGGCGGATACACCTTTCGATTTTCTGTATTATTTGTGCATTGTCTGTTGTGTTTGTGCTCTATTTGCATGTTTCTTTGATTGCCCAGCATCAAGTCCGGCGTATTGCCTCTGAAAACCAAGCAGGCAATGGCCTAGGCATGCCCAGGGCCCTGCAACGTATGAACACCCGGTCGACCACCACTGTCGCCATCATCACTGGTACCCTGACCATCACTTGGATACCCATGGTAATTGTCTTGGCAAAGGTGGTTGAAAAGGGGGGAGTCTTAACTTCTGACGACTTCCTGCGAATCAGTCTGGTGGATGTTCTGATGGCACACAACAGCTGGCTGAATGTCGTCATCTACTATCTCCGCAATCGGGACTTACGGCAGGCACTGCATATCTTATTGTCAGATTGGCACAGGCGTATTTGTGGAGAATCACTACCACAGAAATAGGCTCGTGGAAAAAAAAGGGAACAGACTGTTCAACCTATCAAGAAAGGAATTTTTATCACAGTTAATTTTAGCGTTATTTTTAATACACAATGATTACCAAATCTGGAAATATGGATGCTATGCCTTGGGAGTGAAACAGACACCATTTGTTTGCCATGCTGTTGTCATGGAAACCATAAATCAAAGATACTGGAAAACAGTTTGAAACTAAAAGCTTCCTGCGAACTGTTTTTGCCGTGACTAATAAGGTGCAGTTGGAAAGCATGCCAAAGCATACACATCTGAGACATTGTGGAACAGAGGAACTGATTCTTGGACTTGCATTGGTTGTCGCAGTCCCTCTGTGTGCACTTGCATTGCATATGTACTTGCTACGTGATAGATTTTTAACTTTCACAGACAGCTCTCTTCAGTACACTGTAAACCCATGAGAGTGTAGTGGTAAGTCTCTCGCGATTATAAATACTTTTTGTCATGTCAAGCCCATTTTTTGGGGGAGGGGGCAGTCTGTCATACACTACAAGTCCCGTAGTGAAAGGAGTTAAATCCTTGTCTTCTCTCCAGGAATACATCCATCGAGTGGGCCGCACAGCCAGGGGGTTAGAAGGCAGAGGTCACGCCCTCCTGATCCTGCGACCCCAGGAGCTGGGTTTTCTGAGGTACCTGAAGCAGGCCCGAGTGCCGCTTAGTGAATTTGAGTTTTCCTGGACCAAGATCGCTGATATACAGTCGCAGGTATGCATGTTCAAGTTAATCGTAAGAGAAACAGGAAGTGGAGGGAGAAATATTTATCTCGTTGGCATTTGAAACCAAAAAAATGTTTTGGGCCCGTTGTTGTAGTTGAGACCACCACAAGTCTAGTCAGAAGTCCTTTCATAAGACCAGTCGCTAGTCATACGATGACCATCAACAAAGGAATGCTTTTGTTCATCTGAATAGCTTGTGACTTGGCACAAGACCGGACGGCATGTGATAGACTTGCAAGAGCTTGTGAGGGTCTCGACTATGCACAACACTCTTTAGGTCATTCGAAGTAGCGTTTCAGAAAATAGTCTTGCATTACACCCTGTACCAAATTCTTGAATGCTTGAAAGTTACGTTGATCGTGATTTTCGGAAACACGTTTGCTCTGCGCAGCTCGAGAAGTTGATTGAGAAGAACTACTACCTCCACCGATCGGCTCAGGAGGCCTACAAGGGCTATGTACGGGCCTATGACTCGCACAGCCTCAAGCAGATCTACGACATCAACACCTTGGATCTGAAGAAAGTTGCTAGGTCCTTTGGGTTTAAGGTTCCACCGGGCGTCGACCTCAGTATCCTTTTATTGTGTCAGTTTTACTGAGATAGACCCGAACATTTCTCTTCTGTTAAAAAATTCCCATCAAACTTTGTTCAAAAACTTATGCTGTTAATTTGACAAGCAGATGAAGGTTGTATTCCAACACCGACAAAGTTGCCCAGCCATTCAAAGTCACATGAAGTTGCTTTCCTCACTGTCATTCTGGGCAATACTGTGACACTGCTGATGTTTGGAGAAGTAACTATTCAGTATTTTTCATCTGTCCACACCAATTTTCCAGCCAGTACGTACCCAGGTATTCAGCTTTTCATCTGTTTACCCATTTGATAGCGTCAGTTATGTGCTAGTCATGTTTGGATAACGCTATACATGTAATCAATAAGCCACTTTGCTATCTTTTTAGAAAAATTCCTCCGTTTGGCAATTATTGCTTGAAGTTAAAAACACAGATATAACAATAGCATCCACGAAGCCGGAAAAAAGTGTTCTCCTTAACCACCATATTTGTAGGTATCCACGCGAGCAAGAAAGCCCAGAAGAAGAGGACTGGTTTCACTCCAGCTCAGCTGAGCCAAAAGATGGCCCAGAAGACCAAGATCTACAAGCACATCAGCAACAGCAAAGATAAACGCCAGTTTGCTAGATAGGAGAGAGGAGATCGGAGAGAAGGAATGGAGGGGGGGGCATGGGCAGATCGTGGTTACCTGGCTTGGACTACAGACACATAATAGCCGGCAGTCACTGAATCCATCCCCTGCCTGTTACAATCCAGGACATCCAAGTTTAGTCAAGTTTGTCTGGTGTACCGATGTTTTAGTTTGTATCAGAATGGTTTTGCTTGTAATAAATGAATTTTGAAGGTTTACTTAGAATTTGAGACTTGCAAGTACCTTCAACTTCAAAGAGCCGGTAAGCAAAAATAATATTGCCAAGCAACTTTACACGCTTAGCAGAGTTCAACTGGGAGCCAGTGGTAAGTAATATTTACCTTGTGGCATTTTGGCTGGTAACCTGTTCTTACTCGGCAGATATTTTCTGCCTGTAACAAAAAATTGGACTCATACACTCCATATAATCGGACTCGTTGCGTAGCAGGAAAGGCCATGCTGTGTAATTCCCAATGATGACCGAAAACTTGGTAAAACTACAATCATATTCTTTTGTCATCTTATTAAAAATCGGAGATAATTTTTAAAGAAGCTTTGTGTGTTTTATTTGTTTCCTCCTGTCTGTGTTTTGACCGTCACGACCAAAAATAAGTTTGTTTCTCACAGGGCTGGGTATGTAATACTGGCATTATGTGCGGCAGAAGTGGGGGGGGGGGCATGGCCCCTCACTTTTTGCGAGACCTATTATAGGGTTGGGCTTAATGGATCGACATGTTAATGGCTCATGCCTGATGGCCTCACAACTGGGCCCCCCCAATTTGTAAACTGTAATGCCACTGTCAGTATTGTCATGGTCAAGATCTTTGCATGTTAAAGGTTGTTACTGAATTATAGCCGGCGCACTTCCCTGCACAAAGAAATCCCGCACAGATCTAGAGTCTTGGAGGTTGTCGGGAGCTGCACTTTGTCTTTATTTGTTGTTTGTGTACATACCAGCTTTGCGACGGCAAGCAGCATTCATCCTGAAGTGCACCCTCAATTTCTTGACCAAGACAACTGTCAGCATTGCATCATTACAAATGTAAATTTTGCCCAATCAAATTTGCCTATCTTTCGTGTAGTAGGCAACTGATGTCCTGTTAAGCTGCCACACATTTCTTCAACTTAACATGAAGATTGAGGTGTGGCCTTCAAGTTATGTTCAAGCTTGGAGGAAGGATACAGAAGGAGTTTGAACTGCCGGGGCTATAACATCTGGCCAATTACCACTTCCTGGCATGCAGTATACCCATAGCCAGAGCGTAGGGAGCGCTTGCTAAGCACCACCTGTTTCACAACCATAAGCCCCTTTGTAACCTATGATCTACATCCTTAAAACGTTGTGTACTGCAAAGTAGGAAGTTGAATTTCATGTCATTGTGCTTGGTATGATCTGACAACATCAATTTAATGCTTGCGCAAATTGTTTATAAGATATTGTGTTTGATTTGAATCATTTTTATTATGGCCTTTGTACAAAAAAGGTATTTTATGAGATCTCATGATCACTCCTTGTGATAAAATAGCGCATTTTGTTTGTTATGAACTTAACCATAGAGGAAGGAAGGTCCTTCCTCTATGACTTAACTGTCTAGATTTGGTCAACATGTTGTTGGCCAGTCTCAGCCAAATTCGTACACAGACTTTGAAAATTGATGTTTTGGCGAGATAAAAATACAATTACAAACAATTTACACACAATTTGCTATGGGAGGACGCTATATTTGCCGATGTTTGATAAATCAAACTGACTATAGGTTACGCGACTAAGCGGGCGCAATCGGTCTATTATTCAAAAACCGAGAAAATGGAGGAATTTGACCAACACCTTGAATGGATGACATGAAGCACGTGGTAAAAATGAAGAAGTGATGAAGGCGCGCAATGGTCCAAGAGCAAACAAATGAGGGCGCCAGACATATACATGTAAACCGCACAGGTGCATTTACGTACGTGTGGAAGTACATGTACATGTACAGTGGATTGTCCATGTACCGTACATGTACTCGTACATTGTGGAACCAATTTACGCATGCTCATTCACAGTAGTTGGCCCTTTTGTCCGGAGAAAAACAGTACACGACAACATTCATTTGTGAATACGTGTACGACGATTTGCTGAGGGAATTCTTTGTTCGGGAACTGGATATGGGGCCTTAAACTGCGAGATCCGTGGAAAATAAAGACGTAAGCTTTAAAGATTTGTAGAGTAAAACGAGATCCTTTTTTTTTGCTGCTATTCTGCTGAGTTGATGCTCTCTTGCAAATTGCATTTCTTCGTAAGGCTTAACATGCTTAGCCTGCTTTAGTCTGTAATCATGGAGGTCATCATGATCATGATGATGTGGTTTATTCCTTAATGACATCATGAATCATGGAGGTAGGATGAAGGAATACTCAGTAACATTGGGCCTGTTTGTTTCACACGGATCATGATCTATGATTCACTGACATCAGAACCCATCGAATAGTGCGAACCAGCTTTTGGATCACCGTGGAGGTAGGAAGAGATCACTGATCGCGATCCAGATCTGTGTGAAACAAACAGGCCCATTACTCAACATGCTCAAGCACGAAACCCGTTTTGTCTGTCCATGGCACGATTTACTCATTAAGGAGCATGAATGAAGGCATTAAGCCAGTTACGACCTTATCAGTCGCTCTGCAGGTTAGAAGAGGAGTGTAATTTCATGTGCTTGGCTAATAAGCCTTATTGCAAATACTGCATGGATGATTTTGCACAATGGTAGAAAGGCATTGTGGGAAGGGAAAAGGGACTCCTTTTACCTTCCCACAATGCCTCTTTATTTACCGGGCAAAATCACCTGGATGTAGCATTTGCGATAAGGCTTAAGGATAGGCCTACTTGTGTCTAAATTTGACATGCTACTTTTCTGTAGGCTAGGGCTATTCGTAGAAATTGTTTTTGAAATGATCCTAGTTCGAGTAACTCCAGTGAACATGCTTGTGAATTTCTGGATGTCAGAAGGGCTTGAGTTACTCAAGCTACCTGTATAATGACTGTAATCAGTCTATGCTGAAGTCATTCTTTGGGTCATTTGGTGAACACCTCAAAGAAGCACACCTGTGTTGTGTTGTGCACTGCACCAACAGTCCCTCACAGGATGCACTTTAGTGCTGCCCAACAACTGTGCTTCACTGTTTCACGTGCATCATTGTGCAGTAAACCAAATGCAGTGAAGAGGACTGCACAAAAGACCCTGGGTCATTTTGTGTTGGCAATCTACTGTGAACACACTGAACCTGTGCATGTTTGAGTTCCATATAGAGAATACATGCTCACCGGTTTTGAAAAGGTCAAGATGTCTAGCCCAATTCCTTCAAGATTGTCATGGTCAAAGGCCATTTGGAAGGAGTTCCATATACGGATGTCACTTGACACCCTGTGCATAAACCCTGTGAGACTGGTCTTAACATTTCTAAGTGTTTTCTCAGTAAACGACATGGTTTTTCCCTCCTAAAGAGAACTTTTCTGGACATGTTTTTGCTATCTGATGCTTAATAGGTCACTGTAGGGAATAATTACTGGCATACGTATATACTGTATATGCATGTACATGGAACTCTTCCCATCCATTTGTGTAGAGAATGTTGCACATGCAGCATTTTAAGTTTTGAAACCAAGTTAGAGAGATGAATTTGATCCATAATGATGTTATTAAGGAGTGTCCAGATTCTCTGAATTGGGTCAAGTTATTTTAGAATATTTGATATCATCATTTTTTTTGGTCATCAAAGTGTCAAAGTGATTGATTTGTGATGGTAAAATCCAAATGTCCCATAGGATCTACATTACAGGGGCCACAATTTTTTGATAACCTTTTTGACAAATACACTGGCGTACCCATAACTCAAGTTACTTCAATCTGTTTCCACGAGTAATGTGTCATGTTAAAGGCTTTATTAGAAAGCTACAGGTGTTCATCCAAATTTGTCCATTTAGGTTTGTTTCCCTTGTCTGGGTCACTCCGAGGTCATCAGGGCTCACCACAGATGAGCATTGTGGTGCGAGCAGCCTCTTCAGGGTCAAACCATTCTATGAGTCCTTTACAATCAGGCCTTGTTTGTGAATAGTTGAGTCAGTGAGTGAACAATGCTGTTGGTTGGGAGAGGAATGCCCTATATTGTATGCAAAATTAAAGCTTTAACAACAGAGAAGGAAAGTGAGTCATGTCATACATGCAGCTTTCTTCTGCATTGTTGAAAGTCCTGCTGATCAAAATGTCTAACTCGGCCATGAGCACATGTACCAGGTATTTGAAGTAATCTTGGTCATTTTCATCGTGTGTCAAGTCCAGGTCCTGTTTCATATAATTGGTAATTTCCAACATGTTCCCAGTGCGGTGGTCGCTTTCACAGCAAAATAACAGGAGAGAGTTTTATGTTATAATTTACATGTTTGCATAGTGTATGTACAAGGTACATACATGTACATGTACATATCGGTAGAAATGCCACATCAGAGCAACACTGTTAGTGGTATTGTTGAATTAAAAAAGCTCATCAGGCTGATTCAAAGAATCTGTAGTTTTGGCTTATAATCAATTATTAGTGGCTTCATATCGACATCTCATTCATTAATTAATCATACAGGTGAAGTATGGTCATGACCCTTTTGACCCTGTATCAGAATCCTTGACCTTTTTTGTTTGAGTCTGTTTGTGTACATGTGTTTGTAACAATTTTGGAAGCCATTTGAATTTCTTAACTTGAGGCATTTTTATTTGCAGTGAAGGAAAAGTACATGTAGCTGCAGCCAAATCAACTGGCTGAGGCTAAGAATAACACATGTCTATGGGAAGTGACTGTGGCCGCTAGCCAGCGGCTACCATAGACTTGTGTTTTTATTTCCAGCTGCAGCCGTAAAATTGGCCGCAGCGTTTGGGAGTCGCAGTGATTAGTGAGGGGTCGCCGACTGCAGAACTTTTCCCATCAATTCTTGCCTCCCTCCTGAGTCTCGTTTCTGGTTTCTGTTCCTCCCCAGGCCAATCACCAGGATGTGACTCATGGCAAGCGAGCGTTCCTCTCTCCTCCCTCTGAGCAGACCCTGCGAGTGCCCCCCCTTCCTCCTCCCTCTGAAGGGGTAGCAGAGGAGGCTAGTGGCTTCTGACGTTCTTCTTCCTACCTCACGCCCCCTCACGTCATCCGCGGCTCTGACATCACTACTGTGGTAAGTCAGTCAGGCGTTACTCTGATCTTGCTTATATTGATTACTCATGGTCGTAGTTTGTCATCTTGCCAAGTATCACCCCCCCCCAAGAAATAACCCTCACACACACTAGGAACTTTTTCTTGAAAGTGCCATTACTTCTTGACAAAACAGGAAATTTATCTAGTGTGACCCATCGCAAAATGTTATTATTATTATGAATATTATATCACAATCAGAACAATGCAAAATATAAACAACAGTACGGTAGGACAAGCTAGGGACACATGTCGGGAATGAAGAAATGTTTACTTAAAAACTGTGCCCCGAAGGCCTCCAATGCCATTAGTAAAATAAAACTAACAAACAAACCACACTTTTTAAAGAAATCTTGCACTATTTATGATGTTACATGTAAATCAAAGAAACCGGACTGTATTTACGTGTATCTTCAATATTCTACACCCTCATACATGTGATGACCATTATTCTCAGGGTGCCAAAATGAGTCATGATTCTTCGGAACAAAGAGCCCCGCAAATTGAAACAAAATTACTGAAAAAAAGTGGCCTTAGGATTCATTTTCTAGGATTTGGTATATTCAGGGATTGGCGGATCATGTACATGTATGCGTAGCAATGCATTTTGAGGAAGTGAAACTTGCTGTTTTATACACCTTCTATTTTTGAAGGGGTTGAATGAAATAGGGGCGATGTTAAGTCAATTTCCAGGCTGACTTGTGTGAAGGGCAGGCCCCTGTGGATGGCCTTGGTCTCGGCCATGACATTTGCTCAATAAGCAGCCATAGGAATCCTTGGTAGTGCCCTCAAGAAAAATTCTCTTCACAGCTTGTTCATCGTCAAGAAACTAAGCCTTGCTCTAAGAATGATATTGACGCCTTGGAATTCTGAGCAGTTCTCGTTACCATGCAACACAGCTACTCCATAATGTTGTAGTTGCCCAGTTGTTGTGTAGAGTCGATGTACCGGTCCATGTACATGTACTTTCGAATATGATGGGTACGTGTACGTGGTTATTGCCTATTTCACGCAAGAACAGTATTTTTTGACGTTAGTTGTTTTAAGGATAGCCCGGAACTACATGTATTTAAAATCATTTTAAATTTTTTTGACGATAGTTGTTTTGACTTAAGTTGTTTTCATGATAGCCTGGAACTATTTAAAATCATTCGATCCCCTCCTACAAAAGTAATCAAGTAATGTTTCATTTTGCCAAAAGTTGTAAGCTCAGTACAGAAATAGTGTCCTCATTCATACATGTATCGGGATTGACATTTTGTGGTGAGAAAAATACATGTACCCTTGTATTGAGAGAATGACTTTTGTTGAATGTTTATCTCTTTGCCATTCACATTCTTGACTCAGGTGTATTACATTTTACCAGGTACAAGTAATTTGCACATAAGATGACCTCGTAAAGATCAAGGTGAAGTTAATGTATTTACTGCCCAATATGCATCCCAATGAGAAGGTTCTCTGTGGGCTGCCAGTGCGCATAATCGGCCCTAGAAAGTGAGTCAGGCGTAGTCGCGGCAGAGGCTAATCCACACACCCGAGGAATGTGTGTCTGTGTGTATACACACACACACGGCATGTGCACCCATCGTTGGCAGCGTTTGATGACACCAGGGTTAGTCACAGGAGGATGAGATGACAGGCAGCCCAGCGCTTTGCAGCATGTAGTCTGATTTCTGTCGCATTGCGCGTCGGGCAAACACTGATGAGTGCAGGCCGGAGAGACTGCAGACAAGCGGGTTTCCTGGATACCTAATGGCTTCTTTGACGTGCGTAGAATTGGGCATGGTCTTTTTATTCCCTTCTCCTCAAAAGTCAACCATGGCTTTGGCTGGTTGAGAAGCATTGTTAAAATCAACTACATGCACTGGTATGTTAACGAAGTTGTGTACAATGTGAGTGAAAAAAGCCAGGTGAGATGCTAGAAAGTGTATCTTTTCATTTGTTGGTAAACAGTAATTTAGCCACTGATCGGTTCTTGATATGTACTGTACATGCTGGATTGTATGCATGTACTGGGCAGGGCTTTGTGTTCACGAGCATGCATATATATGTACATGTACGTACATATACCGAACATATATCAACATGCTTCCAAATGTGAGCTCTGTGTACACATACATGTAGCATTGTAGTACCCCGACTTGTCAAATCTGTATTTCTTAACAGGGGCCGTCGCCGATCTACATGCAAAGAAATGGCATATGTACATACATGTACATGTATACTCTGATGCGTTCTGGACAGTTCAAGCCCGGGCAGTGTACATGTTGGGACTTTTAATTAATACAAAAAATAGAGTTAATGCTTAGCGCAGGATGTTTGCACAAATCCAAGAGGCTTTGCCAAAAGATCAAAGGGAATTAATTTGAAAGAGATGCATTATACGGCAACTAATTACTGCAGCTAAATTCCCTGAAAATTCTGACAAATGCGCGGGTACGTGACATGTACATGTTTCAAAGTTTTTCAAAGCGCCTGGTCTTTTGCTGTAATCTATCCCTAGCCATCAAGGTGTCATTTACCTGTACCTGTAAATCACACAGTCAGATCTTGTCAGTTTTGGAAACTCCATCCATTTACAGGTGGGTAATTCCAGAAATTAGGGGTCCATTTGTTTTTTTGGTCCCTGTCACATCTGACATATGATTTTGTAAGTTCAGAACACAATTTCCATTTTCCAAGAGTGATGAATTAATGCAAATTACTGTACCTGCCAAACAAATAGGAATAGTTTGAAATCAATTCCGGTGATAATTCCATGTCAAATAATAAAGGTCAGACGTAACAGGGACACAAATAGGTCACACTTGTGGACCCCTAATATCTGGAATTACACTTGTAGGTACACGTGGTTAGGGATAGGTTTATTATGAGATGATGTTACTGTGGTGGTGGTGCTGCATGCACATGTATTCTTAAATGAGTGTGCATTTGCAAGTCACCGTACGCTGTTGGTTGAGAGGCACGGAATGCTCGCATGCCACCTGTCTACGAACGTGGTGCCACCCCAGTAACGACCTCTCATCTGGTTCGCTGTAGATTACCGTAGGCATGCATTGGACCCAAGCACTGAACAGTTTTGTTTCTTTTCCGTCGTCCCACCACGCAGCAGCCACGACTGCCATGTACGCCGTGCTGGAAAACAACCCGGCGGCCCGCAGCGACTGCACCATCCTGTCCCTGTCCTGGAAGGGCACGGTGCCGGACAGCGAGAAGGACAAGAGCTACACCCGCAAACGGTGCTACACGGAGGGCTGGCTGGCCACTGGGAATGTCAAGGGGATCGTGGGGGTCACCTACACCTGCAGCCATGCCCGCAAGAATGCCGCCACGCCCTCCCGGACCAACTTCAACCTGCGAGGCCACAACAGTGAGGTGAGGATGGCTCTTCTACACCTAAAAACAGGCCAGTTTGTACTTGACGGCAAAAGCAAACACGGGTGAAAAATTATTGCGTCTCACCAAAAATCTGTATCAAGAATTTGCAAAAGTTGAATGCATTTCAGCTGAAATCGGTCTCATTACAAATGTGTTATCAGGCTAAATTTGCCTTGCTGCCACTTTGGCCTGAAGAATGAACTGGCCTGAATCCACATTGTCAGTGAACTATGACCCAATGTTGTCGTGGACCATTTAAGACCATCACATGACCTCCAGTCTGAACTTCTCTGCAAGAAGTTCTGGAAAAACTCGTTTGTCCTGGTCTTGTAACTGGTTCTGTGACCAGTCTCCGATTGGGTCTTGATGTACTCATACACTCCGATCCTCTCTGGAATAACCCCGATGACCATAAAAATTTATAACCTTCCCCTGAAGAGTATGGCGTGGTGTTCAGGCTTCAACTACATTTGTGAGTCCAGTGACATTTGTTGTAGCATCAATCAGGCGTACCTTGCCCTGAAAACCCCAGGCAACATTTGTCTCCGCGATGCAGATTCTAGACTTGGAACGCTCGCGTTGTTAGTGGGCAAATTATCTTTGTTTGCTCTATCATCCGAGCACTGTGTGGCCATTAATTATCTCAGGAACTGCACAGCTTAGGGTTGGTAAGATGTCTACAAATAATTTCAACCGGAGCGGTTTTTCAAGGATCTTTCGGACTTTCCTGTATTGAATTGGGCTATTATGTCATTTGTTTGTGCATCCTGTCTCGACTGTTGGGCTTATCCTGTTCTGAATTCTGTCATGCTGTCGCGAACATAGGCTCCTTGTCTTAACCTGTTTTAGTTTAGTTTTAGTTTAAACAAATTGTTTTTTTCATCTCCTGGGCCAATTTCATAGCGCTGCTTAAGCAAAACATTTGTTTAAGCATGAAAAAACCTTGTTTGATAAATCAGGTTACCATCCAAAACTTCTTGTGATGTATATTGTTTTGGAATGGTATTTACCTGTCTTTTGGTTAGCATGACAATCACATGGATATTGAGCTGGTAACCCTTGTTTATTAAGCAAGCTTTTCCATGTTTACATGTAAGCAAATTCTGTGCTTAAACAGCTCCGTGAAATTGGCCCCTGGACATCCAAATCCCTACTTCTATGAATCTGCATATATGCAGATGCTTACCATTAACATAAACACATAGAAATTTCACATTCAGAAAAAATTAACGAAGCACGCATGAAATGTTGGGGGGGGGGAAAAGTTAGTTTCCCTCGATTTAAGAGCTCATTTCACTGATCCATTTTGGATCTACAGGCTGCATGTTGGCTTTTTGTCATGTCCCGTGCTGAGTGCCAGGGAAGGGGTGGTAAAAGAGAAATAAAAAAAAGGAGAAAGATAACGAGCAGAAGTACATGCACTCCAATAGTTTAATACCTGATGTACACGGACATGTTTATGCACTAATTCAAGAAATGGCTTTATCTGAAATGGACTTTCTTGTCTCTGGCTGTGGCCATGTTCACTCGCATGCTAATAGAATATTAATAAGCCACAGCCTGAAGTTAACCCGATTCTGAGGCAGTCCATTATGCACGTGTCGTGATGATTCACTTCTCGCCCATGACCCACACAGGCATGGGACGAATGACATCCATGTAGACTGTACGTGTAGCTCTCATGCAGTGCAAAGAGAGATGTATCAGCAGTCGGGCGTGAACAAAATTGCCGGCGTGAAATTTCCTCCATTCAGAAAAATTAAGGGCCTCATCTGTCATTTTTTAGCGGTTGAATACGTATTGAGGTAAGCGTTCACAGTGAACGACTTTGAAAACGAAATGTTTTGCTTTCTTTTGAAAATGTGCACAATTCTGATCTGTACATGAACACGTGTTGGTATTAAAAAAAATGTATGACATTTTCAATGCTAGCTTTTATTGCCCTTTCTCGTACTTTTTTTACACTTCAAGGAACGGACATGAAATGGAAAAAGCTTCTTTCTCTCATTACTTTCTTTACTTTTCTTCAAACGTTTTGTTGGTCGGGGGAGGGGGTCGGAGGACGTGGCCTCTGTTGGTTGGCCAGTGTACCCGTCATACTGTAGTCGTCATGAAAATGTCTTGTGTGGTGTACAGCACAAACGTAACAAAAGGTACTCATGCTATTGGTACGTGTACTCGCAAGTCTTGTGCCCGTAATCCATGATTCTTAAAGACGTCCGTTCACGTTCAAACCCATAGCACAAGAGTTTGTGTACCTGCTTTGCCATGGAAAGACAGTACAGGTTCCTGCCAGTGCATGTAGTCTCACAAATGCTGCGGGGGAAGCTGCGGGGGAAGCTGCGGGGGAAGCCACAGGGGCCAAGAAATTGTGAGGACGTTTATTTGCAGGCAAACAGCAATTTTCATTCAAGTTGGCGCCAAATTAAAGGAAAACAGCTCTCAGCTTGTGCATAAAAGAAACTGCCAAGGAGAGACATCAGCGATTGCGATCCAATTCCGGTGTTTCTTTTGTGACGTCCGTTTCAATCCAGTGTGGCACTGCACGCCTTTGTTGTAACTGCCGCACGTGGATGGAGACAAACAAATTGACGTGTAGGAGAAAAAATTGCAAAAAAAAAAGGATCACATTGTGTCGCTGGAGGGGAAATTCTCTGGGGGAAAATATGTTGACAACTTGTCTAAACAAAATTGGAGGAAGTGACGATTGCCGTGATAGTCCCTTTTTTCGAAAGGAAGCACCCCTACGCCAACATGGTTTCTAACTTGATAAAAACACAATAATTCAAAATATCCCCTGAGCATGATCGAACATACACACTGTTTTCTGTTCTTCTCTTTTAAAACAAGGCCTCTGTTGGCTTCAATTTCCCCTAAGTCATCCATTCCTTTTTTTATCGGCACAATTTGGTAATAGGTACTGCACTTGTGGACTGGCTCTTGCTGCAGTACGCAATTATTTCCATCTAAATTTTACCATATTTTTCCCCTGGCCTTGAAACCAGCTCCACCTGGCCCTTCTCTTTTATGGGTCTGTCTGGCAGCACAGATTGAGAGATTATGGTGGGTAGTTAATCTACCCGCCATAACGACTCTAGGAGCTCAAGGGCTCTAGTTACTGGCCTAACACACACCTGCAGTTCTGAAAGTGCTTGAATACTGCTGGTACATGTACATATGTGCGTGCCTCACCCGTGAGTCTTTGTTCACAGGTCGATCAAGCAGGTGGCAATTTTTTTACAAAAGTGAAATAGTTTTTGTCATTTAGTCGATACAAGCCTGCAGGGGAGAGTAATTATGGATCAGAAGTGTGGCATGTTTTATGAACGGTTGAAAATGTTGAGAACGACAGGCGACAGGATTGACTGTAGCAGTTTGGCACTGAGATCATGTTTGTGTGAGTATCCACTCTCTGACAAAAAGCGAGACCCTCATCGGCAAAGACGAGACAGCCTTGTGGGCAAAATTTCAACTTTGCACACAAGTGTCCACATGTCAACAGTGCACATACTATATAACTTGTGCTCAGTTTGTTCAAACCCACAAACATTTACCGAGTTTGGACATCCTTGGTTTTTCTGTCGTTGGGAAAGGTCAGCGAAAGTACTCATTTTTCTTGTAAACACTGTGAGCCGGCCTCTACACTGGATTTCTATTAATAGTTTCCTCCACAGTTCCACTTCCTATTGCAACGGATAACCCTCATGCCTGGCAAACTTCTTCCAGAAAAAGGGGGCCTCTAACCCCTGTGTGGACCTAGCCCAGGTTGGATGTTGTCTTCATTTCATTAATGTAGTACGGTCAGGGAGTCCACCTGGGCTAGTGTGGACCCAGCTCAGTCCGTGCAAGGTTTGCGCAGCCTGCATGTAGGACCTACATGTATTCTGTTCACGGGTCCACACTAGCTACACGTACATTTGTGTAAGACTTTGCACACCCGAACCTGTTCCTGCATGTGTTATTTTGCCCATCAAAGGGAAACCATTCCCATGCCATTTCCAAGTAAAGCCCACACCATCTGTCGCTCCTGTGTTGGGCAATGCAAGTACATGTACGTGTATACATTGCTATCACTGGACTGGATATGACTAAAAGATCACACAATGTGTGCCATACATGTACATTCAACATTCCATGAGGTTGGGGCACAATTTGTGACTGTGTCCATTGTTATGTGGGTTCCGTAAAAATGAAAAGTTATTTTCCCTGCATGTGTTGATTCCAAATTGACATTGTTATACAACTTGCAAGGCTGAATACAGAGGTGTGTGTTATTTTTACAGAGTAAATGAAATACTCTACAGGTCATGACAGGTGGTAATAGTACTCATACTCCTGAAAGAAGATAGTTTCATGCAAAGCTCGCAGTTTACATGTATGTGCTTGCCGGTGCTGCGGAAACTTGAACCAGTGACACAAATCCGTACCTTTGGACTTTCATAAGATGCTGCATGATACGGTATTGATGGGTTTCGGCTAACCGGAGCGAATAAACATCTCCGCAATTTGCTGTGTGTCCCTGAGTGCCTTGGCTGAGTGAGCTCTTGTGTTGTTCGCGTACATGATAGCGGGCAGACAGCATCTGTATGCCGTACATACATGTATGCACTATTGCCGGCCTCCTGTAAATATTGAACCAAGGCCCACGCCGGATGTACACGTTTGCGCGTTAACCCTAACTGTCCTCAATCCTCCAATATCCTCCGAGTGCAGTGGTTTTGGAGAATTGAGGCTGTATGTATCCGGCAAAAACTTGTGGCAGATTTGGAAGGACGCCTTCTGTCAAGGTCTTGGGCCAGACCGTACCGTACCTTGTGTGATACCACACTTGAAATCCTCTGCTTTGCTCCAAGATATCATTTTCTCAGCCTCAACTTATACTGACGGGTACTGCTAGAGGACTTCGTGAAGGCAAAGTTCCGTACATGTGCACACGTAGGTAAACCACGGGAGGGTCAAGTGCAGCAATACGGTGGAATTTATGGACCGTAAACTGTCTCGTGAAAAAATCGGCTCAGTGTTTTTCACGGGTCTAAAAATCAGCAAGCCCGATCTTACTGCGGGATTTTGCAGATCTATGCTTTGGAATGTGCATAAGTACACACAGTACACATGTAATGTTGTACATACATTCACGTATGTTCACTGTACCATTACATGCACTTTTCAGTATACATGCCCATCAGCTTGAAATGCCCGCTAAAGTCAAAGTCCAATGACGGGTGGTATTGTTGTACACAAACAATAAATTATGGTGTAGGCCTATGTAACCCCCGAACTCAGTCTAAAATACTGAATTTAACAGCAAGCTTCTTCATGTATGTACTGGTTGTATGCTACCGTACTCATACATGCAAGTTTATTAGAACATTATAACAAAGGTTGTACCTAAATTTGTAACGCTGTATGTGTGCTTTGGTCATCTACAGATGTAGGTTCATTAAAAATTGTGAAAAAGAATTGGGTGAACTTGTAAAGCTACTAAAGTGTTTAAAGTATATTAAATGACTTCGTAATTTCTTTTGTCAATGTGTAACGTATCTTTCCAGAGAACGATGGTGCAGGGTGAATTTGGTAAATTTGGTAAATTGGAAGCGTACAGTCAATTAACTCTCCTGGTATTTATAAGGGTTCAGAATTCCAGCTGACTGCGGCAGAAATTTCAGTGAAAATGGCAAAGGTCGCTTTTAGCCAGGCAAACTGAGAGAGACAGTTGGCAAGGGCCCACTCCAGAGGTAGTCCTCTTGCTCTCTGCGTGGTGCTAATCTGCGGGTAATTGAAAAATGCATCACAGACACAAACCTGGACCTTGCAAGTCAATGTGATGTTCGAGTGCATGCAAACGCATTCAGTCCTCTTTTGTCATAAAGTTAACAGGATCAGACAAATTTCTTTGGATTTTGTCATGAAAGGAGTGGGAAAACAAAAGAAAACACAAGAACTGAAGAAATTGGAATTCTCAAAATTTTGCTCTTTGTAAACAATGTTCTGTTGTAACAGTGTTCTTTAGAACAAGAGTCAACTGTACACGTAGGCCTATGTCCATTTTACATGTAGCCAGTACATGTACTCAGTTTTAATGTGTTTGGGATGCATCCTTTGGGCGTTTATGGAAATGTGTGTAATTGACACCATATGTATCTAGGTGCATGTACATGTACGTTTAAAGCACGCACAGTACTTACTCACAAACAAAGATGTTGAAAGGACATATGTGTATATTGGTGACAGTCTGCAGCACTTTAGGAGTAAATACACATCCATGTCACGTTTTCATGAAACAACAAACATAGTGTAGGGGGGGTTTACAGAGTTTTCCCTCTGCAAAAACTTTGAAGAAACAAGAGCTACCCGGTACAAATTACAGTATGACTTTTTTCCCCACTTGTAGCAGCAAAATATGCAGCATGCGAAGATTTGCTGGTGCAGTGCGCATAGACACATACATGTATGTTAAAAATGGACTGCGCAACACAAAACAATTTTACATGTGTCTTTTAAAATTACCCACTAAGCCTACTTACATGTATACTGTACCATCCAGGCCTGTGTATGCACATACATGTACATGTACTAGCCTACACAACATCGGCTGCAGCGTATGAGTGTATCATTTATGTACATACATTGTACAGTATGTTGCGTATGGATTGTTCATGTATAGGATATTCATCCTCTCCAACATGTCCAATCTAACCTTTCCCTTGCCCGGTTTGTTACCCCCAGCCATGTAATTCTAACCCTGTATGCAGTAGGCATCTGCAGCCATCCAGCGGTATATCTATATCCCCTACCAATTTCTAACCTAATCAAACAGCGTATAATTCGACACTTATTAGATCTACTGCAATAATTCAGTGCCAGTTTAGAAATCTGCCGGAGAAAAAAATTAAGATGAAGAAGACGGAGAGGGAAAAAACCCGAAAAGAATCTCCCTTCGTCTTTGTCCTGGGGCCAGTCGGCCCTCTCCTGCAACACTCGTCCAGCAATCTCTATCTCTTTAGGACAGGCCCATGACTCTCGAATTGCGGAGCATTGCAGTGTCGTCGCTGAATTGGCCATAGAATCTAATATTCCCATGATGTTCGGTTTCCAGACCATGCGTTCTTCATTTAATTTTGCTCTCGCCGGCCGAGGGCAAGTAAACAGAAACACACTGACATTAGGACACTCATTTTTTTTTTCACTGCCGTCATGTTATTTCAGGAGTCGGCAGTCAAAAAAGTCTCATTGATAATATGTGATTCATCAGGAGAAAGAGAATACTAACCATGTATTTTTTTTTCTGGGCTCGGTTTCCTTCACTCAAGGGCAGAAGAGAAAATTCTGTCTTCCAAATGCAGATTTTGGAGGCCAATATACAAGCATCATTACATACCTGTCCTCACGGAGCTTGCCCTTAATATGAAGTCGCTTGAATATTTAATGTGTCCGTAGAATTACATTGTGATTGACGTGCAGGTACTCGTATTTAGTTGGAAAAATCACATGACCCTCCCACGCAGAAACCATCCAAGTACCGGGAGGGGAGATAATTACTAATTCTTTTCCATGGCAACCAAAAGTTCTGTAGGGAGTGAAGCCACATTAGTGCCATACCCAAGGTAAACCCAAGGGATTTATGGCCATACTGAATTTGAAGTACGTTAATCTCGATAGATGTTCTTTAACCCTTTTGCCAAACACAACAGGTTCGAAAACCCTCAGTTGCCATCAAGTATTGATGCTGGGATATTGTCAGCGGGATTTGTGTTGGCTTCTGAACCATGCCGATCCTGAGATGAGAGTCAGTTGCTCCAAATTTTTTTGAAAATTATAGCTTCTCCCCTTAAGCCGCCCGGCATTATCATGATCAGGATTGTCTGTGAGAATGATAAATGGAGACTTTGAGTCTTTGTCAGGAAAGGCTCATTCCTTCAATCATTTCTGGGGCACCTGATCCAGGAAATCTTCCAGTACAGTTCTACCCTTCAGCTTTCACAGTTTTCATCAATTTATTTTCAGGCCCAAATCCTCCTATTTCTTCTCCAATCCGTGGGTTTGGGGTTGATAGGAGATATTTACATCATTTACTTCCCAAATTCATGGAGTGGCTTAAGTTATCAAGGTGCATAACGCAGCAAATCCTTCTGGAAAAGATTTAAAACTCAACAATTTTAAACTTCAAATTCAGGTGTGTGTATGCAAAATTGAGCGAGCTTTTCTCCTTGTCTAACTGTAGATCAGATATGAACAGATGTATGTTAATCGTTGGTGTTACAAGGCATTGACATTAATTCCTAATAGTTCACTTGTGGTAGTTAGTACTTTGCCTTGATCAGGTTTAGATTGATTTGAGACAACTGGAGAAATAGAAATGATTCTTTCTTTTTTTTTTCGTCTCTCTTGGTTGTTGATTTGCAGGTGGTCCTCGTCCGCTGGAATGAGCCCTTCCAGAAAATGGCAACATGCGACGCCCAGGGTGTGATCTTTGTGTGGATCAAGTACGAGGGCCGCTGGTCCATTGAGCTGGTCAATGACCGTTCCTGCCAGGTAGGCCAAGTCGCAACCATTGCGCCGAGGAGGGGGGGAGGGAGACTGTTAATAGCATGATGGGGGCGGGAGGGGGGGATATTTATTCATGGTATTCGGTCAGGCTACTGCCAGAAAGAGGGAGAAAGGCAAATGGTAAACATTGACATCCATTTACGAGATGGAATTTAAAGTGCTTATTTAAGGTTGAACAGCCTGTGTGCATACTTTAAAGAGGCACCCGGAACTGTCCGTGGAAACTGTTTTCTTGTGTCGTGTGTGAGTTGGTGAAGGATGACATTGTATGCAAAGTTAAGCAGTGTGGACGTGTCAGTTAACTTGTGCATATTTTGGAGTTGACGTAACCGATGCTGAAGCTTGTTTTGACGTTATCAGGGATTTTTTAGAAAAATGGTTAAATATGGTAGCATGGGGTTTACATGTAACTCAAGTCCCAGCTGTGGTGCACCGGCGTGACTTTTCAAAATAATGGATTTCAGGATTTTTTATCCAACTTTTGGGATTTTTTTTTTAGAGGTTTAGTCTTCCAGATTTTGTCTAAGGCTGAGTCAATTTAATTAATTTACTATTGGAATATTCGACTTTCAATTTGATCGAATATCCGATTATTTGGTTGCACCGACCGGCAGATTGTTGATGAATAATATACAAAATCACTTGTAAAAACACACACAATTGTACATTATGATCAATATAATAGCTTTCCACATCTAGGAGTATCTCCAGCCACGATTTAGCAAGATTTAAGAGATGAACAAGACTTCTTGCCCTGTTAAAAATTTCTATTCCTTTTAAATTATTTAATGAATAGTTTACTTTTTACATCATAAGATTTCTGACACTTTTCATTTGAATCTGCTAGAAACAAGCCTCCGTAGAGTAACTTTTCTGACTTAAAACAAAAGAAAATTTCCCCATCCTTTTCATGAATTTTGCATTCAAATATTCAAATTCAAAAAATGATACGTTCGAGAATCGATTGAATAGTCGGTTATTTGGATATTCGGCACAGCCGTAGTTTTGCGTTGGTAGCCTAGCAAAAAGAAAAATCGGAGTGACATTGTTGGTACTGTTAACCCCACTGTTGGATGCTTTGCTGACTTCTTTTCCCAATTTCACTCTGATAATCTAACGCTGGTACCTTTGACTGAAGACATTTCTTCTGATTCTTGATATTTGAAAAAGTTGCTGGGGGAAAAAAAGTTCAAATGACAAGTAAAATTCCTGTTTCTGGCTGATTTGGAAACCCCGCTCATTTCTCATGAATCGGAACTAGACATAATTTTGGGGGGAGTACACTACTTATTCATACAAAGAGGCCAGCTTGTAAATTCCGTCATTACAATTCACGCCAGCTGTGTGTGGAGTCACGCAAGACTTGCGCACAGATGCCACGCGCGTGGCCTCTCAGAGTATCTTCTGTTCTGTGGTCACATCTAGAGACAGCAGGAGTTTATTTTCATTTCCCACTGTCCTGAAAACCTGGCCAAGGGATGAAAAAACAAATTTCTGTCCCTGACAGCTGCCGTGGCGTAAACTTGAACGATTGGTGACTCATTCCACACACTCTCTTTTCCTCATTGCTGGTGATCTTGTCAGATTATCGGCAAGCCTGCTGCGTGAAGCAAGTTTTGGCAGGCACGTGTTTGAGTCACCTCAAATCAGTAAGATAGCTTGACGATTGCTTTTTTTTCCCCTTGAATCTCATTTTTCCAGGGACTAAAGATGCATATGGTTGCATCATGATGTTTTGTAACGGGATATTTTCGGTTCGGCAATTTCCTGTGACCGTAGGAGTAGTTGTCAAATGTGCTGTTTCTCGTCAAGACACATGAAAGTGTATTGACGCACCCCATTAGGTAGCCATTTGCATGTACATGTAATTTAAAGTGATCACACAACTGTGCTCGTAGGCATACGGTATTACAAAGTCAATTATGTTTAGTGCAAATGTACATGTAAGTTGTATCAGAGGAAACGATGCTGTACAGAATTTTTCCCTTTCCTCCTAGCCAGTCCTTTTAAGAGCAGTCATTCTCTTGGGAATTTTGTTTTAGTTACCGGGATGTTCCGGGACCGGTATATCTAGAATGCGAAATTTTTCAACCGTTTCCCTTGCTGCACAAAAGAGTTATTTGAGGGATCTAAAATGTGGGTCTTGTACTAAGTACATAATATACAGTATAAAGGATGAAAACTTGCATTGCTTCTAGTTTTGACTTCTCTCTGGAGAATGAAACAGTGGGTCATTTGTCAGTCCAATTTTCACCTTTCACACAGATGTCATTCCCACTCTAAATAGAAAGCACTGTCAGGGTTCATCTCCGAAATGTCACAGCTTACCCATTCAGAAAATAATTTCTACTGTGTCAATGCCCTGCCATGTACATGAGTGTACCCATGTACTCAATGATACAGACATTGTTTAATAAATGTGTATATAGATTTGCCTCTACTTGGCCACGGATGCATTTATGGAGAAACGTCTTTACAGTCCCTGCATTGACAAAGGCCCCCCACTGCTAAAAATAAAATGATGGACAGCATTGATCTCCGTCAATTAAAGAACAGATTAGGGTTTGACCGCAGTAGGTGTACATTGTAGATTGTGGTTACCGACTTCCCTCAGGCTGCATCTCTTGTCTAGAGCCAGGTCTAGGTCTTCGCTCCATTGGAAATGTATGGAGACACATAGACAATAGACCTAGCCGTAGCTCTGGAAACCCGTTTTGGACACGGACTCAGCTAAGCCAAAGCAGTTGTCATCCTCCTCCAGATTCCCGAATTTCATCCCCCTTGAGCTGTGTTCAGTGCCTCGCCCAGGAAAGTCCCCAACAATACGGATCTCCACTGATACCAGGTATCAGGCTCCGAGTCCCTTCTCTAATGGTGAAATAACACAACTTGAGATGAGCTTGTTTGTAGGTCCCTTAAAGGAATAGCATTGCAGTAGTAGGGCGGTTACCCCCAAAACTGTGGGACTGATCATCCGCACGACTACAAATCCCACAGTTCTTGGGGCAGGAGCAGTGGTGTAACGAGGGCTAAATGTCCGGGGGGGGGGAGCTCCCGGGATCCACACATTTTTTCAAGGGGACACCACAAGAATGTAGGCTGCAGCTGCATTTCAGTGGAGATTATTCAAAGATTTCAAATGGGTGTGTGTGTGTGTGGGGGGGGGGAACGGGCATCCGCTTAGGGCTTGTCCCTCTTACCCCGGTAGTTACTTACGTGGACAGACCTGTTACTAAAGATTGATTGCCTGTCACTGGCACTCTTTATTGGCACTTCAGGTGCTTATTCGTGTTTGATAGACACTTGAATGGTCATTGGCATTAGGACATGTACATGTACATCTGCTTACCTGTACAGTGTACCGTGTACGTAAGAAGTTCTTCAAACATGTACATGTACTTTACATGCATGCTACACATGTACACATGAATAGTGTAACTTGTCAGATACGTGCACTGCACATGTACAATTGTACTTGTGCACATGTGCTTATTGATACATTTACCACATGTGCGACATAAATTGCAGACAGCCAGCCTTTCCAGGAAATATCACAGAACAGCATAGGAAGGAATATACATATACATGTACATGTATGCACAGGTGTGAACCAATTTCCTCGGGTCAGCCAATGCTCATTTTCCCATATTTCACCACCTCATCCAATAGCGCAGTGCACACTGGTACACTGTACATGTATGTATGCACTGATGGCCCCAAACAATCGTGGATGTTACACAAAAGAATTAATGACCGTCCACGATTCCCGATACGTCCACGATTGCCAAACGTGTACAAAACATATTAGAGGCCTTCCAAAAAAGTATGAAGAAAAGAGGACAATAGGAACGTCCACGATTGCCCCCCAAAACACGTTTATACATGGATGAATGCGCAGAAGTTACATGTACATTGGACAGTGGGTGATGACACCTGGGAACATTTTTTTTTTTTGAATTTTAAAAACCAGAACTTCAACAGAACTTCCACCAATTCTTTGCCCTTTTTATTAAGCACTCTCAGAATGTGTTCATTAAAAGAGGAAAAGTGATCGTTTTTTCAAAAAAACGCGAGAAGGACATGTACTGGTGTGGTAGTGTACATCCTATAGCTGTTGCGTACACCCCTGTATTGTTGAACGAGGCCCAGTCTGTCTTTTAAAAATTGTCTCAGACAACTTTTGGGGATCCAATTTTCAGTGGCTGGAACCTTTAGTTCATAATATACTGGTAGAAACGTCACTTCCCCAAAGAAGAGATTGTGGTTACAGAGCGTCTGTTCTGCAGTGTTTTTCCTTTTTTAGAGACTTTTCCTTTAAACTGACAGACTTGTTGACACAGAAAGCGGAGCCGGTGACAGTGCAACATCTTGATCTGTCCCGTTGTTTGTCAGGAAATCATTGCCAGGAGTGGTGGGCATTAACGATACTCCAATTGGTGGCAGTCATATCCCTTGGCTTTCCCACTCACTCCCCCCCCCCAAAAAAAGGGAGAAAAAAATCAAGGGCTTCATTATCCCCTCACATGTCCCCCATCCGTAGTTCTGCTGCTGCCTGCCGCAGGGCTGCTCCACAAAAAACTAAACAGGAATTCATGACGACGTTAATGACCCGTCGCACGTCATCATGCACACACACGTACATGTACACCAGGGCATTTTTCTCCCGAGTCTGGGCCCAGACAGTCTACGGGTGAATCATGGAAGGCCCAGCGAATCACCATACAAGTAGGCTGCCGCAAAGCTTGCTGTGCTGCCGTGCGCTATCGGCGATCAATTTTCTGCTATCATTGGAACATCAGAAAAGGGAATAATGGCACCTAACAGCAGCCACCACTTGAAAAGAGGTTAATGCTCCATTTCTCTTACCTGAGGCCACCAGATGGTCTGGTTTGACTGGGAATACATACATACATGTAATAAGCATTTTGCGAGTTAAAATTGAATTAAATCTGATACACTGAGTTATTTGTTTGCATTTAAACATAATTTGAATTCTCCAGACTAAAGACACTGTTGCTATACATGAACCTTGTGATTCAGAGCAAGCTTTTGCATGGCAACCATCATCTCTGGAATGGACTGGTTCCTTTGTGCAAATCACGAGGTGTGTCTCTAGTATGGAAAATTCATATTGTTATGTTCGTGTGAATTTAAAGAACTCGGTGTACCAGATTTTTATTCAAATTTAATTTGCAAAAGGCTTATTACACCTCTCCCTCTCCTACTCAGGCTTTGCAGATTTCATGGAGGATTTCTAATTTGATTTTAATTTATGGGATGGCAAAGCTACAGGATTATTATAAGGTGTCATTCTACCTCAGAGTTTGAAAAAGGTGTCTGTGTATTGCATAATTCCTCTGTTTATCCCAAACCTTGGACCTGATATTTCCACCCGAGAAAATGTTTCATCGGGCAGCCTCGATACCCCGGGATTTTTCCCCGCTGCAGAAAGTATACAGTCCGTGTGTACACGTGTATAATATGTCTCTGTATATAACGCAGTGACATTAATTCATCCCTTCATTTCTTAAATCCATTATTTTTTACGTCAACTTGTACTGCGCTGTTGATCATTTTAAGGGAATGGTGCATAAGAACTTTTCCATTTTTACTGTTATTATTATACATGCCAAGATTTCCCTACACATACATGTATGAGTACCTTGTAGGCCACTGCTTTTGTAACAAAATGACTAAGTACATGTATTGTATGCTCAGAAGTAAACTACAATGTAATCAGGTTGAGAGCAGTTTCAAAAGTGTGGTTAAAAATACAGTGCAGTGACCTAAATTTTTGAATGGAAAAAAAAAGAGATTACTATTATGGAGGCCTCTAAAAGACAGCTGACTAGATGATGAACCTCTCTCATTTGAGCATGCACACATTTATGGTGTTTATACATGTTCCTTGAGTTTCTCTCGCCAAGGTTCTGTGGAAGTAAACACAGTGAAGCAGGGTACAGCTGTACCCACAGCGTTGAATGGCAGTGAAGTGCTCTCACCTTGTCGTAATATTACCGCTGGCAGGTGTTCATATGCAGATTTATGTAACCGCAAACTTGACTCTGACATTGGCGCGTCAGTTGCGATGGCGTTATCATACCGGAAGCCTGTGAGGCTCTTCAGATTGTTTCTGTGCCGTTCGCGAGTGCCGAGAAGTTTTTCTGATCAAATCGGGCTAAAAGGAGGCGAGCACATACACGAATCGGGTCACGAATGACAGGCGACGGGACCCCTCAGGTGGCTAATTGAATAAGTTATCAAGGGAGGCGTGAACGGCCTTTGCAACAGTGCCCGAGACGGGTCAGCGGAGAAGACGGGCGGGAGGAAAAATCAGACAACCTGGGGAATGTTGTTGCCCTCGGAATGCAGGGACCAGAGGAAACTGGTTCATATGCACGTGCTTCTGACTTAAACCATGAGATAACTGCATGGTTCATTGAGTTTCATTTGTTAGGCCAAGGGGTAAATTGTGCGCTTGTGACATTTCTGCAGCATTTTACATGCCATGTGAGTTTGAGAAAACCCTGTTGTTCTCATTCACTTCCATCACTGATAGATTCCCTTAATAATGCAGATACACGGTCATGCGTTGGTTCTTTCTTCCTCTGTGAGGTCACAGAAATTTTTGCTGGCTCCCTCTATCAAAAATTCAATGCGCAGTAAGAACGGCACAAATTTTACCCAACTGGGGCCAAATTAAGCATGACATAACTCTACGAAAAGACTTAATAATAATAATAATGTAGATTTATGTAGTGCACTTATCTGGGAAAACCGATCGAGGTGCAATTCCAATATTATTACCCCTGCTCACTGAGCCCATGAAACATTCCAAATACCCTCTCAGCTCCCTGGAGAGTATACAGCTTAGTGCTGCCATTTCAACACAACGCAGCTAAATCAACCACAATCACCATCTCGGTCCTAACAGGGTACCCAATTACTCCTGGGTGGAGAAAGACAAAGCGCCATGACCCCAGGCTGGATTCGAACCCCCAACCTGCGGCTTTACCCGCCAACTACGATTCCGATGCTCTTAACCACAAGGCCATGGTACAACCAAGTGCACAGTTGTACTGGGGAAGAAGGTGCAAGGGGGGGTATTGAAGACGACGGTGTAGGGTCAAGCACAGTGTCTTTCCTATTAAATGGCAGGCTAATCCGAGGGGGTGCTGCCACTGCTGTGGCCCCGCTCTTGTGCAAATGTCACATGAATTCTTTACGAGTTGCAAGTCTACCGTTGGGCATCTCAGTTGGCTGAACAGGCATTTGATGTGCTTGTGACGGACTCCCAACGTGTAGTAATTACGGTTGATGGTTACTCTGTACTAAAGCTTGCCTTCCACCTCTGTGGCCCAGGTTTGAATCATGGGCAGCATGTGGATTGGGTTTTCACTCCCTGCTTGATTCCGTGGGTTTCTCCTGGACTATTTATTCAGGGTTTTTCTTCCCACCTCCGAAACTAAAAATTTCTTCATTGTCCTAATTGTCAGTTCATCCTGTATTTGGTGCCGAATGCATTGTTAGAGGCACAGAAATAAATAGATAGATAATAACAAAAAATAAACAACGGAAAGCTTGAACTGGAATTAGTTTGAAAACCGGCAGCGCCCATGATCGTGAATGAATAACCAAATACAAGGATTAACATCTGTGGGAGAAAGAGCATAACTGTTGACTGGATATTTCCCAGGGATCAAGGCTAAACATGACATGCCAGGTCAGAAATTGTTCAACGGGGCACTGAGCTGAAAATGGGAAAAACAAAAATTAATGAGCAAAGGTCCCCAGTGATGTGCAATCGTGCCATTCATGTGTCTGACTTGCACTACACAGCATTGGGGACAATGGGCCCCCCCCAAAAGTGCATGATTGTGCCGTGACCTCCACAAACGCTTTGTAAGACTTTAAAGGGTGCACTCCATTATTTCTCTGCATGACTGAACTAAAACACTGTTTTCGTACACGTACATACAAGTTCATGTACGTAATTGCCATTAATCAGCTGTACTTGATTTCCTTGGAGAAAAATTCCTAGTGCGTCTGTCTGGGTGGCATGGTGGGTTCCAGTGTCATGAACATGTAGCACCCAGGGAGTTCTGGGCTTTGGGAGCTGTGTGTGCTGAAAGGATTTGTAATAGAACTTGGTATTTTTTACCTGTCTTGGCACAGTTGTATAATTGACAAGTGTCAGCAAAGGCACAGGTGTCACTGGAGCCTGTTTCAGCAAAGGCACAGGTGTGACTGGAGGACGTACAGTAGAACATTGCACCACTTGTACTAAAACAATTACTTTAATACATCCTGCCACAAAAAAAACAGTGCCCATACAAGTGCGGTGCAGCCCATTAATATAAAAACTTTGAACATACAATTTGTAGATGTGGGCTTACAATCGGTTTATTCAGGCGGATATTACTTTGTGCCTCAGAAACATAAGTCTGCCACCACGGTTCATTTCTTCAGGCAGCTTATATTTTGAACAGTTTTCCTCGCCTGTTTTCTTTAATCGCAGGTGAGCGACTTTGCATGGAGTCACGACGGCCGCATGGCCTTGATATGCTACAAGGACGGCTTTGTCCTGGTGGGATCGGTCACCGGTCAGCGCTACTGGTCATCCATGCTGAACCTGGAGGCCAAGCTGCTGTGTGGGGCCTGGGCACCAGACGACAAGCAGGTAGGTGTCCGGGATGCACACTCCAAAGGCTCCTGCACGTGGCCACTCAAGGGTGCTTTTAAGGATTCCAGAATACCTGTTTGTTGTAACTGGATATTTGCACTCTCTGTCACAGGAACTGTTCCCGAACAAATTGAACATGAAGGGAAGTATTGCATCACCAATGAATTTTGTTCATGTTTTTGTGGATTAACACTTGTAAAATCTTAGTTTAAATACTTTGAACAGAGTGTAAGAGGAAAAAATACAATTTCAGTTTGAAATAAATTAAATCAGTTTACGAAAAATAGAGGGAAGGCAAAAACTTTCATATTTGTAAGACTTTAGTACAAAAATACATTAACTCTCTCTCTCTAATAATTTGGGACATTACATCTTTAAATGAAAAAAGTAGGATTGGCTATGTCTACACTATTGTTGGTGCACAGGTATTGCTTGGCACATCAGATGGACAAATCCTGGTCATGGATATCCATGGAGCCATCGTGACCCAGTGCACGCTGGCCGAGGATCGGCCAATCAAGGCCCTTCTCTGGTCCTCGGAGAAATTTCGTATGATCAACGTCAGCGACAATGAATCAGATGAGAAGCCGGACAAGAAGAAGCGAAAAGGTGAGAATTGATTCCGTGGCTGCGGAGATTCTCGGTGAGATGGGTTATGCATGCGTGTGATCTCCTTGGCTCGTGTCAGAGAGGGGATAGTACCGGATACATGTTTGTTTATTCTTGTACGCGTGATTCATATATATTTCAGGGTCCTTCGGCGAGCAAGGATGGCCTTAAAAGATTAAGAATTAAGTACACTTCGCTTGTATGGCTGAAAAATGGCAGTCAAGTCAATAATGGGATGAAATTTTGAAGCCAACTAATGAGGAAGTAGAGACCTTCAATCAAATAAGGTTTCAGAAGTTCACGAAAAATCTCCCCCCCCACTTTTCAAAACGTTCCAGACATCATTATTATCATTTATTCGGCCATTCAGAGCAGGCACTGGTTGGACAATATTCAACAAATATAAAAATCAGTGGACTAAACCAAAGGACATTACAAATAACAAGAACAACACATTGACAAATCTGCAGTGCACGTGCATATTTTTTCCGTTTTTAGATGAGCATATCATACAATGTTCTTGTACACCCTTTGCTCGTTTCTGCTGTTGGGTCGTTCGTGTACTGTTACATTCAGGTGAATACGCGTTTGGGTTCAAGCGCACCGTACATACATGCACGCCAGTGCACGTGTAATGGTACTAATTCACCATTGATTCACCAAACCACGACCAAATTTTGGTCAGGCAGTCAGTTTGTTACGGTGGAGCAGGTGACGAAAATTTGATCTTTTCTCCAAAGAGTCTTCTTCAGTCTGCCGCCTAATACCTTTGGGATGAGATAATTCCAACTGGAGAGCTGACAAAACTGAAACCTTAGAATCTGCACATGTATTTCTGAATGTGGTCCGGCCCCAGTCTAATTTAGAGACAAGGAGTAGAGAGAGAAAGTAGAAGGAATGAATGATGTGGCAGTGAATTCGTCATTCACTTTATACTCAAGAATTTTTTGTTCTGAAATTTAGGCTATTAGGTTCCAAGGATTGGAATAGGTTTGCGTGGATAAATTGATAGCATTTTACACCCCCCCCAAAAATCATCTTTGGTATTAGGATCATAAATTTTACAAAAGCTTGTCATAAATTTAGGGTGTGTAGGAGTGTTGGCTAATTTTAGTGCATGACACTGCTCAGGATATTTATAGGGGCTGTTATTTGTCGTAGTAAAGCCCCGATTTAAAATTGAATGACGGTCTTCTTTGCGCACATACATTGCCCTCTCTGTCATATGAATTCCCCAAAGATTGCAGCTGATCTTGCCAGTTTCCAACTGCCTTTTGCCTGTAGATGTTCATGCTTATCAAGGGAGAATAGATGTGGGGAAACCTGTCAGATCGTAATTTGTTCCAGTTTGATGGAATGGCTCACATAATGCACGCTCGGCTCCGCATGTTTGCATATAATTGGCAAGACATCGCGTCGTGTGGTGATTGACTGTGCTCGGCACGTACACGTGCAGTATCCTGAAGCCTCGGGGCGTATTTAAACTTTAATGAGGCACTTTGGCTTGTCATTGTCGTGGTGCGGGTGTTCCTGTAAATTTGCCCGTCGGGCCGGGGGGGGGGAGACGGGAAAGCCTGCAGAGAACAGGTTTTGACGTACATGTATTCCCGGAGCAGGGCTTTAGGAGCTTGCTCGTCTGGTGAGGGTTGCAGGGCAAATTGTGCATGGCGTACACGTCTGCCGGGGAAGCGTTAATCTTGGATCAGATTCAACTCGGAGGTGATTATATTGAGAGTGTCATTTGTAGGGGAGAGAGAAGAAACAGGTTTCCGATGTAGGAAACCAGCATCCACAAAGAAGAACATAGCACTGCTCCTCATTGGAAGGGAATTGAAAGTGACTTTTCATCGAAATTGAAAATTATATGCAAACGATGGATCTTTAAAATAAAGTGTAAAAATGGTAGGAGGTACCTGAAAATAACTTAACGAGACAAAGTTAACTAAAACAAAGGCTTTTTAAATTTAAGCATGAGAAGCCAGTAGGTCTAAAGGTTTGTACATGTACCTTTTGAGATAAACAGTTCTCACTGTGAAACCAGACTTGTTTATCGGAAAGCAAACGACCCTCATCGCATTTGTCCCAGGATTCATTCATCTCAGTTTTGATGAGCTGGTCTTCCATCACCACTGGCAGAAGCCAAAAAAGGTCGGGGGAAAAGGAAATGAGAGCCCATATGGGAGAGTTGCTCAGTCTTGCCAGTTTACAAGACTGAGACCTGAAGTCCTGAACGTCCCTCCCCCCCAAATCAATCCGCTGTGACCTTTGGGCCGCACCGTTGTCATGTGGCAAAGACAAGGTTCTGATTAACTCACAGGAAAGTGCTCGCCCAGGAATGGGCGTTTGCTTTGTTACAAGTGTTGTGCGCTTAAAGTAAAAATGGCCTACAGTGAAGTGAAAAGGGCTGAATGAACGTCGGATAATTGTCTGAGAACTTTCACTGTAGTTCATAACTTGTTGCATTGTACAGTGGAAATAGCAGTAGTCTGGTACTAATCCTCAAATCCTGCTGATATGCTCGGATAAAGTGTACTTCAATATTCCAAGGGGCCGTAGAAGAGGGGACAGAAATTATACAGAGTCATTTCGTGCCAAGAAAACTGGAAACTGAGTGACAAGCTGTATTGTTTCAGGACAGACTTCTCATCTGCCTGAGAGAAGGTAAAGTCAATGCATGTTAAACACCTGCATTGCACTATTATTATTCATGTGACTGTCTCCTTGTCATTTTGGAAGATTACCTGTCTAGAAAGTTAACGGATGCAGGTCAGTCACCCCTAGTTGCAGTCACGTAGTCTCTCAGTCTTTCGGGAAGGCATTTTGCACATCCAGAACGACTCAGTGCCTCACCTACAGGCTGCGTAATCTACTACATGTTGTAATCACCACTATTCACCGACCAATGTCTGCGCTCTGAGTAATGAAACTTCCTGCGGATTTGTGTCTCGCCGTCTTCGTGCCAGCACAAAGTCCTCTCACCCCAAACCTTGCACTTAGTTCTTTCTTAATTCGCCTTGGAGGGAAACTGATTAATTTCCAGAAATGTAATGTTGCCAAGCATGAAAAAGAAAAAAAAAGGGAAACAAAAATTCAAAACCTTACAAAAACAGAGGGGGAAAAAGTGCAGATGATGTGCTCTGGACAGCGACTTACGAAGTACTTTTGAGGGAAACTGATTAACTTTCCAGAGTTGTACTTTTGCTAAACATGAAAAAAACAAGGGGCATTTCCACGGTGACTCGCATTACATTTTAGTCCATTTTGAAACTTTAATAACCACACATGTACTGAAATGTAGCAGTTCGAAATTCCACTGTCTTTCTACTGCTGTGAGAGCCATACCAGCAATATCTGAAATGAAAAAACAGTTCTAGTAAAATTTAATGACTTTCCTTATGGGTACCGTACTTTTACAAAAATGAAAGGCAATTTATGACACCTTGCAAATTATTAAAATATTTAGTACCTACAGGCATGTCCTTGTAATGTGATAGGTGAAGTACATACAAATATGAACATTTCATGAGCTGTCACTGTGTTTCCTTGGATTGTTTGGCACTAGTAAACACGTCTAATGTCGTGGGCCACAAATTATCAAAGGTGACCCTGCAGGCACTTCTGCTGGGTCATGTGGAAAACCGTCAACAACTCTCAAATCACTTTATGTGTGGTTTGTGAAAAAAAATGCTCCTTAACCATTTTACTACAATACCATACAGCAATACAGGTATTTTCCAAGTGCTACGTGTAATAAGTATGCTGGACAGCAAAAGAAACTTGCCACTTCTGTCAAAGGTCACACATAAAAATTCACTCCTTAGAAATAAACAATTTTTGTACACAGGTGTGCTGCAATACCCCTTACAAATCACATGCCCAAAAGCAAGTGATTGTCTTTATAACAAAGAAGAAATTTGGTCACTGAATCAATCAATTAATATTGTCAACTGTACAAGTTTTAGGCCTAGTACATGTATTTCAAAATGACACTTGAAATGCAGAAAGAGAAAGATAAAACAAAATTAAAAATAAAAAAATAAAAAAAATAAAGAGAACAATCTCAAACTGGATAAAAGTTGGCAAGTACTTTTATTTTCCCAGACCGGCTGACTCCCGAGAAATCTGCTCCTTTGAAATTGATACAGACACTTGCTTCAACTGAAAAATTCCAGAGTGCAGCCTGCCTCTGTGCACGTGCACAGGCCTCTCAGAGCAGTCCGACAACCAGACATGGGACATGCGCATGGCTCCGGTGTTATCAAACACTGTCTGGGCTCTGTCAACAAAAACATGGGCTCCTTGTGAAATATGACACACACAGACATGCACGCACAGTATGTACCGTACCCTACTTGTATCTTTATGGTTATTCGCAAACACCAGGATAATTAAGGTGGGGGGGACAAGACTTGGTGTACATGTATGTGTTCACGTGCTGTCTTGTTCTGGCTTTACACTCATCCAAAGCTATGAAAAATTTGCCACACTGTACATGTAGATGAAGACCTGTGTCGTGTTACATGTGCGTGTTTGCCTTCCATTTTTATGCCAGGTATTTTTACATATTCAGTACACTGGCATGTACATGTATTTGTTGAGAATGTATTATTAAATATATTTGGATTAACACGTGTGTGTGTATAGAGCACTGGCAGGCTTTGCACAGACGCACCAGATGGCATTGAATGCACAGTTATAATTTTCCTACAAAGATGGCGCCCTAAGAGAGAGATCTATAAAATAATGTTCATCTGTAACGTAGACAAATGAGGGACTCATCACCTGTCCAACAATACTCCTCGAAAATACAGTCGTAAAGTTTACATTTGAAAGCGAAACTCAGTTGAAGCTTGACCAACTTAACAGGATGAGTTGACAGTCGTCTTATACCAGAAATCTTTTCTAGGTTTTCATAGTTCCATAAAAGTTTGTTCCAGACCAAAGCCGTCTTCGGTCCGGCTGTTACACTACTGGGCCACACATGTACATGTGTTTGAGGTACAATGTACATGTACATGTGTTTGAGGTACAATGTACATGTGCATGTACACACTGCACAGCTGTTGAATTCTGCTCCATATTACTGCCGACTTGAACCCATCGGTTTTTTATCTTTATCCCTTACAAGTTTCTTCCTGCTTGAGAAAATTGAGATTTCCTTCCTTATTGTGTTGGCGAAACAGCACAAAGTGCACTTACTCGTAACCTTATTGGGCCTGGTACAGCAGTAAACAAGAACTCTAATAATTAATGCTATTAAACTGTCCCTATCCATTTGTTTCATTTAGTTGTGTACATGTATTCAAATTTATGCCAAAAGAGAACCTGTAAAATGAATGTCGCTTTCGATCATGTCTCCAGGATACTTTTACTTGTGACTCCAATTTGAACCGTTCTGTCGTGTTATTGTACATTAGGGATGAAACAGTTCAGGCTTATGAATGGAAGTAACACCAAGTAGTGAGCGTAGAACTATCCAGTTGGAGTATTCAGAGAGCAAAACGAAGGCAAACTGCATTCGACTTTCCTGAAGCCGAGCAGAGTACACTGTTTGTCAAGACCTCCTCTCGCCAGCAGCTCTTCCCAGAGCCGTTACTTCTTCCTGAAAGAGAATGCAACCACAGTGTACATGTACCTGCACAAATATGGAAAATGCGTGCTTAGCAAAAACAGGTCACCAGCCAAAATTTCCTTAGATGCAACATGTATTTGCACTGGTACTCGAACAATTTTGGCTTAGCAGTGTTTCTTCTCAGAACCGGTTCTTCTCAGAACCACACTTACTCATAAAAGGGAATATTGTACATGGTGTAACCGCAAAAAATCCTTAACTGTCGATCCGCCATGCAAACTTTCAAGCGCTACCTAGCAGTGTTTTCTTTGTAGCAGCTGTGTAAAATATTGTCCCCCTAAATCCTTGACGTTGTTCCAGCAAATTTTGCATTTCTCCTCTAGCTATTACGGATTTTGACTTTCTCATTCGCCGTCGAGAGACTTCAGCATGGGCCCTGGCCTGCTGAAGATGGTGTGCATGCTCAGTGCATCACCCTACAATGAAAAAGTCAGACATCCTAAACAGTGAAGCCTCATGTGTGTCCTTGGGTACCGGCACGTATACCAGTGAATAACCTGCGATAAACTTGTGCCCAATTGCATCAGACCTCGTTGTAATTACTTCATTTGGAGAGAAAAAATGAAGGAAATAATTATCCAAGGAGCTTCCTTGGCTCACAGGACAGATTTGGTTTCTGGTCAACCAATTAAAAAACAAGAAAAAACAAACAACACCAAACTAGGAAAATTCTTTGAAACAAGTCTAAAGGTCATTTTAATCAAAGCCACCTGAGCCCGAGCATTGTTCAAGACCTGCATATGACAGAATTTTTTGGTTACACTGTTACGATCCTGCTACTTAATGTGTCTCTTTCCTTGTCCCCCAATCTTGCCCCTGCAGTACATGTACATGGATACAACTATACAAGGATGTATCCAGGGACGTATCCTGGTTCGAAAGCCCTCGTTAAAAAGCAAACAAAAATTTCCCGCTCCCTCAGAAACTAATCACCACTGCTCGGCTGGAATCCAAGATTGCTCTGCAAGGGGCCGTATCGGACAAGGCGAATAGTGGATCAACTGTATTCCAATACCCGGGTCCTGTAATGAGACCTGATTCATGTTTTCCATCAGCGATGGTTGACCAAAAGGCCTGGAATATGTATTTACTGCATCCCTACTTGCAATCTTTAGATAAAATAAATTACCCGGTACTCTCTTTCAAATATTCATCATTGCTGTGAAATGAATTTGCATTCGTTTGCACAGCACTTCCCAGTTCAAAATGATATCACTCTTCGGTACGGTGCACATCAACATTGAGTTCTTCATGTGGGTTTGCTCATTAAAAGTATGACAGAGGACATGTCAGAAGGGATATGAATTTTCTAATGTCTACATGGCCTATCATTGACTGCATATGATGTGTACATACATGTTTCTAATTCATAAATGTAATTACTGTTGGGAATACTTATGTGGGTTATTCCAGAAATTAGGGGTCAATTTTTTTGGTGTCCCTGTCACATCTGACCTATGATTTTGTAAGTTCAGAAGTAATTTTATAATATCCAAGAGTGATGATTGAATGCAAATTACCTGCCAAACAAATAGTAATAGTTTAAAATCAATTCCGATGATATTTCCGTGTCAACTAACAAAGGTCAGATGTAACAGAGACACAAAAATTTCACACATTTGGACCCCTAATTTCTGGAATTACCCATCTATGAATGTGGAAATTATGCATGTAAGTTACAATTCTTTTCTTTTGACATCTACCAGTACGTGTACTAGTTCATGTAGGTTCATCCTGATAAGACTTGTCTTCGCAATCACAAAGCAGGGCCCAATTTCACCGCGCTGCCTACCGCAAGCGAAAAATGGGTACTTCCTCCTGTAGCAGAAAATTCTTTGCTCATGGCAAACGTATCTCATGAGTTGGCAAGGAATTTTTTGCTTGTGCGCATGTGTACATCCCATAACTAAGGATTTTGTGCGTAAAGGGTTAGTGGAGAATGGAGATCCTAAGTGCGGAATTCTGCAGTAAGCAGCGCCATGAAATTGGGCCCTGATCTTGCTGTCATAAATCGCTTTAGTTGTTCACAATTTTTGCCAAGTCATAACATAAAACAGTTGGTCTTGATTTTAAGAGCTCCTTTAATGTATGTCTACATGTATATATCCTGATGTTTGTATTTAGTATGATGTCGGCCATGATGCATGCTCAGGTTTCATGAGCTTCTGGTTAGCAACCCGCTACAGAGAAGTTTAAGCAGGAGAATGTTATCATTGTGTGGAGACATGGGTCCAGAAGCTCAAATACTTGGTCACAGATTTGAATCCCCCTTTTTGTTTTTTTTTATGAAAGTTTAATTTTTTCCTCTTGTGATTTTCATCAGGAAGTGAGCGCCGGTCACGACTGTGCAAGAAGCGCTGTCCAGTAATGGCTGTGGACCTCGGGGACAGTGAGATTCAGCTGATGAAAGCCTATGACGACCTCACCCCCATCAGCATCAAGACCGAGATGACAGGTCAGAGATTTCTCCCCCCTCCCCCACCAAGCAGATGTTGTGGTCTTGAGCCCTCTTAATACAATGTGCTGCACATTATATTTCAAACATATTCCAAATGATACTCTGGTAAGACAGCCGCACTTAAAAGCTGTGGGTGGGAGGTTAGAATCCTGGGAGACCTCAGTCAGATACTCTGAAATCTGGAGTTTAAAATGAAAACCCCAAGAGTCTATCCTCTTAAATGCCGTTATGGCCTGAATAGTTTAGTAGATTTGTGGTGGTATGGACTAAAGTCAGTACAAAGTTTATGGACAGAACCAAGCAACAAGATGCCAACAGAAAGCAGATCTGAAGACTTGTCACAGCCTAAACTATTAACTTCTTGTGACTAGGGCTTAATTCACTTTTGAGCCAATGACATTGCTAGGGAGAAATGCAAAGCCACAGACTCCACTCCCATCAGACAACTTTATTAAAGAGAAGATCCGGACTCTCAACAAGGATGAGTTTTAAAGTGATAAAAAAAATGTTCCAAGATGAATGAGTTAACACAGCCTGTAGCTGCAGTCCTGCCCAAAGGCAGGTGGATTTATCCGGCATCCATCCTTCTCGTTGATTGGCCAAACAGACATCAAGATGGAGTGGAGTAGCTGCGGTGCCTTCCTTGCGGTTGGTGGCGCGCAGCCAGTGGAGAGCATCAGCGCCATTAAGTTCTACAACACCAACGGACACCTACGCTTCACTCTCAACATTCCCTCGCAGGTGAGCGACCTTTGGCTTTTTTTTTTTTAAAACTTGGAAGGAGCATTTACAAATGCGAGCTCAAGAAATGATGCAGCTCTTGAAAGAGACGGTTAAATGCACTCGATACATTCTGTTCCCCCGGGGTCATGAAAATCCAAGAATGGTTGAAATGTGGTCAGTTCCAAAGCCAGCTGGGGGCGTGCACCAACACCGTCTCTGACTCTCTTGCGTGTTTAATTGCTTTGATCAGAGTCATCAGCTCTGTCTTTGCAGTCGAGTGAGACTTTCTAGAATTCACCGAGATTTAGGTGCACAAAAACTGTGTTGAAAATAATGTGCCACTTCCATAAAAATAAAATCCTCATTCTTTTCAAGTTGAGCTGTTTTTCAAAAGCCAAGAGGGGCAAGACTTGCTGATGAATGTGTGTCGTTGTTCAGGCATGCAACTTTTCTTTGGACCAGCTGCTTTCCTGTTTTCCGAGCACTGTCGGAATCGTGTGCAGTTTCATGTATTTTGGCCTCACTCTTTGCAAGCCTGCTTGTGGATTTCCTACTTAAATATTTTAGCATTTGGAAGTTCTGTGGTCATCAGGTCTTTTTTTTTCAAACCTTGGGTTCCCTTCCACAGCGCCCCCTGTCGGCGCTGACGTGGGGCCACAATGACCGCCGTCTCTTCGTGGCCTGCGGCGCCATCCTCCACGTGGCCTGGGTGGAGAAGGGCGTGGCACCCCTGCAGGTGCTGTGCCGGGAGGTCATCACAGCGCTGGTCAGCGAGGAGAAGGCAACGGCCAAGCTGCCCCTGCCCGGCCGGCTGCGGACATACACCACAGACCGGCTCTCCCTCACGGTCAAGGTAAGCTTTGGCATTTGGGACATTTGTTGCGGATGCATGTGCCTTACTTATCACAGCTTTCACAAGGCACGCAGTATCTAACTATCTGTGGTTCAAAGCATCGATATCAAATCTTTACACCTCAACATTGGGCTCAAAACATGTGTGTATTGCTGAAACCATCTCTGTTCCCTTGGAAGTACATGTACTGTATGCTTGTCCAACTCCTTAAAAAGCTTAAACACATTGACCCTAACCCCCTAGCCCTTTTTTGCTAGGGACCCTTCTCAATCCTCCAGGATCCTCTAATTTCAGGGGTGAAAAATTTGGATTTTCCCTCATTCCTCCAAAATTTCTTGAAAATGTTACTTTGAGGTGTGCCCACTGCCTCAATCTTTCAAAATCTTACGGCAATTCCTGTCATTTGTTGAGGCAGTGTGAATGGCATTCTTGAGCAGTGCGGTTGGTTCAAAGGAAATATCGGGCTGAATTTATGCATGACTAAGCAAAAACAACACAAGGTCTAACCCACGACCTTTGTGCATGGCATCCTTTGCAATCAACTGTCCACCTTTGCCATTCACCTTCAATCCTCCAAAATTCTCCAACATCGCCCGAAGGATTTTGGAGGATTGAGGACGGTTAGGGTTATAATGATCTCTGCCCTCAAAGAAACATGTACACCCATTTCACTCCTGGATGGAAAGAGGCACGTCAGGGGTAAAGTGACTTGCCCAAGGTCACAGCATGTAACCAATCTGCCAGGACTCAACCCCCTGATCCTTACTATTGGAAGTTACAGACCCTAACCACCAGGCCGTACTTTCCTCCTCCCCCGCCCCCCCTTGATATTTTACTTTGTTTTTGTTGTCAGAATCCTTGTCAAATGTCAGATTATTGAAATGGGAATGAGTGGCACAGAAATGACCCTCTTAAATTGGGATAGTGATGCAGTTAGTTTGATCTGCATTGGTGTTATTGTCTCGCTCACGGCCCACAAAATCCACGCTGTATGAATATGCCACAGACCAGTTCACAACATTGTGAAAGCCTCAAGATGCTACAGAGACGGTTGCCATGAAGGTTGACTTGATTCGGCTTTTGGTGTGATCAGGAAGTGGCTGACAAAATTTGGAAAGTGTTTCTTGTGGAAACCTGCCTTTTTCAATTTCTTCAAGGGAAGTAGACCTTCAAAGAATATTTATCAAATACAGATTTTACATTCAATGTTTTACATAGAGACACATTATGCAAAAAAACTAGTTCAATGTTGAAAGAGATTCTATTATTACTATAAAAGGCTTTGATGTTGACTAATATTTCCTACAGTCACGAGAGTTTTGGTACCAGCTTAATTATCTTCCTCCCCTCCACCTGATAGCCGTTAGAAACATTCCTCCAACATGGCCATGCGCGATTTTTTTTCATTTCCTCCTTTGTCTGCAGTATAAATGTAATGAGATTTGCTTTTTTGAGATCTGCCGGCCATGCGGAATGATATGCCCCATCATGCTGCTGTTCAGTCTTACAATCCCCCTGTTAATGTGCAATCTTTACACCCGTGCACGACATCCAGCAACCCGTGCAGTGATTAATTTTCCCCAAGCAGTGCCACCCCCTTCCCCACTGCTCTGCAGCTATCGTGTCGGCTGGCCCTGCGTGATCATTAGCCCAGACGGTGTCTTCATTTCCCACCTGTTAACGTCCAATCGTAATTTCCGGTCTTTGAAAGGCAGTCCATCAGGAGGTATTATGGAAGATATGGCCCGAGCTTTAGAAAATTGAATAATGCCTCCCCAGGTGGCTTTTTTTTAAAAGTGTATTTTGCTGTAATAGTCTGAAATATAAAACAGGTTAATCTCACCCAATCAAACCAGAAACTAACAAGAAGGATATTTACCCTTGGCTTTAAAGCTAGATACCTTTTCTTGAATTATTTAGTTAGCTTTCAAAAAGTCCTGAAAATGCATTCATTGGTAAACATATCACTGGGAGCACAGTCATAGTGTAGTTTTGAACAATCTTGTCAACAAAATAGATCTCTAGAATGTTACATGATTGTGTATTGAGTTCCATGTAGTTGAATAAAATGGCAAAACTGAGAAATAAAAAACACAAACTCACAAACAATCTCTTATAAAGGACGTAAGAAGTTTGCAGGAAATTATGGGGGGGAGAAGATTTGTTTTCATCGACACGATGAGTGATTTTGAAGCTCATGTCTCCACAATCCAGACCTCTTACTGGTTGCTTGGGGAGAAAAACACAACATGACTGCTGTCAGTCAAGTGAATTACATGTACTGTACTTCCACTTTGAGGACATCTGTTTGCAATCCTCAAGACAAATGTCTGAAAGACAGAGAGCCGACAACCCTCGAGAGAACCATATTAGACTTGTATCTGTGTCGTTCCTCCTCACAGCTTTTAAGATTCAGATTTTTTTTGAGGGGGTGAGGGGATAACACCCAAAAAAGGCTGAAACCTAAGACGGGTTGAGTAGAAAAAAATATCCAGCAATTGATTGGCTCCCTGAGCGGCGGATTTGAGGCCAGCTGAATGGCCCAGGTCCCGAGACGGCGTTGAATGTCTGCCTGTCATGTGTCTTCCATTACTGTGGCTTTTGTACAAAATGTGCATTAGGCACTTGGTCGATGGATTTTTCCCGGTATTATCAGGATGTCCACGAGTTGTACTAGATTAGAAATTCCACTGTAACTGAATTGATTGGGAGAAATTGGAGGAAACTGTAAATGCTTTTTGACAATCCCCCCTCTTTTACCAAGCTGAAAGGAATGTTTTTAGTTTGGGACCAGTGAAATTGTATTTGTAGCATTAAGGAGGAGAGACGTTCCATTCTAGACATTATGAGATGACACTGGATTAACCAGAGTGGCAAGGTTGCTGTCCTCGTGAAAAGGAATGTAATTGAAGGAGAGACAATGAATTGACAATGGTCGGAGAAACTCCCGCGCTAACGAGGCAGGACATGTCATACTACTAGAATGCAAAAGCTCAGATACATGTATCAAGGCCTCACGTGACTAGTTGTAGCTATAACAGATGTCTAGAATTGTGGCCCAGTAGTGGTGTATCTTTGAGAAGAAGTAATGCCCCCTTCCGAAGAGGTTCTGAAGGAAACAAAAAAGTGGCACTCTTTTACTAATTGTGAGTCATCAGAATGTGTAATCGAAGGAACGTAAAAGGAAGTATTTTTGGTGCATGCTACAAATTTTGATTAGATTGGTAAAGACGGCAGCCAAGACATCCTGATGCATCTTTCAGAAATGGATTTATGAACCACATGGGAACAACCTGTGTGATTATCTTTTTTTCTCAAGAAGCATACTGTGGTACTGTAGTACTTACAGTATGATGCATTCAGACCATTAAAAATGCAGACATCATCAAAGTCGCTTTGTTTTACCCTCTTCCCGAAGCAGTTCAGTGTCAGCAACTTCTGCGGTCGAATTCTACAATTTACATTCATGCGTGAAGGCAAGCACTTCAATCGTTGTTTCCAAATTGTCTTTATTTGTGCATATCTTAACATGATTTTTGCATTCATTTTTTTTCTCTCTTTCTTTCTTTGCTCAGGGCTGTATTCCAGATCCAACCAAGCTGAGAGAATTCGGCAGCAGGCCGCCGCCAGGTATGGTGATATGTGGGTTCTCCGTGTTTGTCCTCCTGTGTCATTTTCTGCCTGTCTGTTTGTACACTTGTCCCTGTGAGGTGAGGGAGTAGATTGCAGGTTTCTTGCTGAGGTTTGATTCAAGCGACGTAAGTCAACTTAAGCAAAGTATCAAGAACTATCAGCTGTGCTTTAAACACACGAAGTATTCAATTTTATATTGGCCATTTTTTGCCCCTCACTGATGTATATTTATTAACGCTGTATACTAAGTGTTGTCCAAAGGCTTGTGAGAAAAATTTACAAGCTCATCTCTGTTGGACTTGAACCCACAACCTCCCGCTAACTAGTGCAGACATAAAAGATTTCGCTAACTGCACAAAGAGGGATTTGGTGGTCCAGTCAGATTAATCTAAAAGGACCTCCGGGGTGTGCGTGTTTCCCAAGGCAAAAGTTGGGGTCTTTTGATCTCGACACAAAATGCAAAAGTGCCATTGTTTTGCAGGCAACGAACGCCTCCACTGCACCATGATCCGGACTGGTGATGACACCAACCCCAGCAGCTCATGTTACACGCTGTTCCTGGAGTACCTAGGAGGCCTGGTACCACTCCTCAAGGGTCGGAGGGTCAGTAAGCTTAGGCCGGAGTTTGTCATCTACGATCCCAAGGTGTCCCTAGACCAGAAACAAGGTAGATCTTATTTGTCTGAATTTGAAGATTAAAAATGAAACAAGTGTAGCTTTTCAAGACTCCATAAATCCAACTATCTGGGTGAAACACCATTGCAGTGTTCCAGGGGTTGAAGGTTCATATCCCTCCTTGGGAAGCACGCTTAGATCAGCCTGACTCTTAAAGATGACATCATAGTCAACTGTAAGAATGAGAAGCTGTACTAACATGGAAAACCTTGACTTTGAAGCTAGTCACTTGAAACAGAGAAAAAAACTGTCCACCTGTAATATTGATCCTGCTGATTGGAAAAGAGACTCCCTCCGTGGTATTTGCCTTGCCCCTCACTTCTGTGACATACATGTAGATTCTAATTTAAACCAAGCATTTACCATTATAACACTCTAGAACGTATTCGTTTACATTTCTGATTGAATTTGTCAGTTTGCTTATGAGGCTGCCTGTCTTTCCCTCTTCATTTACGTTCTAATCCCACCCGCGCCTACGTCACATGACCAATTTTGTTCATTTGATCTTTCCATGCAGTCCCGGGCGAGGAAGATGAGCGGTTGCCCCTAGCAACCACCATCATCTCTTCCAGCAGCAGCTCCAGCTCGGAGGACAGTGAGGACGAGACGCTGGCCAGGATGATACGGCGGAATGGCACGTCCAGCGGCAGCCCCCGCCTGAACGCAGAGACGAGCAATGGCGCTGACTTGCCCAGACGGAAGGAGCGGCAGTACAACAGCCTGTTCCTGGACAGTTTACCGGAGGTGAGTCCGGAAGAATAGATCCTTCTCATTTATGGGCCAGACAGGTGTTTCGTTTGAATTTGAATATTTGCTAGACTCTAGATTGATAGGATTTATGACACTTCATCTTCACCGCTGACACGCCTAAAGGAACAAGCCAAACCCCTCCCAACCTCATGGTCCAGCCCCGCCCCCTTCCCGGTTTCATTATTCCACTGATGACTGTGGTAAGTCATTCTTTAAGAGTCTGACCTCTACTGGAACCCTCGTCCTCGTTTTTATTTGGAAGTCTCCCCGAAGACAGACAAAACCATCCCAAAAAGATTGATAAATAGGAGGAGCCATCAACACAGGGCTTGTGGTCAAGACTTAGAGGTCTTAGAGGTCAAGACTCAAGTCCTCCAAATTTCTATATTCATCTTGATAATTACCCAGGTCTTGGTTAAACTCATGTAAGTGACGATTCCCGCTGGGTAAATGGTTGGACCAAGTCTGACGTCCAGCCGGTAATCCCAGCCATGGTTTTACCATCTTTCGTCCCCGTATTGTTCCAGCAAAACCGGCTGGTGGAGGTGACGTCCAACATCTGGGGCACCAAGTTCAAGCTGCACGGCCTGGCCCGCTTCCTGCCGGCCAACCTGGGCCAGGTCCATTACCGGACAAGCCTGCTTCACCTGCAGCCTCGACAGATGACCATTGCGTTGGTCGAGCTGCGGCCTGATGCCAAGCCACGCCGGGATGACGATGAGGATGCTGACTTTGACCCCAACGTCTTTAGCGAGGACGAGGACGAACCGGGAGGTGAGCTGCATAAGATTTGCAGTGCCTTGAAGTCGAGTACTCCACAAGCACTTCAGCATTGCACACTAGTTACCACAAGCACCTCACTAGTACTTTAACTGCTAACAATAGGTCAACAATAATAGCTAGCACAGTTCAGATGAACATTAAGAGTTGGGGGTACTTAAGATTTACCTTGTAAGTCCTATGACTAAATAAAGTACTAATTTGCAGCACTTCAGATTAATCCTTTCAAATTTGGTGGCCAATTCTCAATGTCAAATAATGGTGACTGTAAGAAAGCATACTTTCCACATAATTAGACCTGAGAAGTGTTGTGTAGGTGCCTTAGCTTTGAGAGACCGATTTTCTGAATCTCGGAATCTTGTCTTCCCTCAATGCTTTGTATTAGCTTCGTGCATAAAAACCGGCCCTGGAGCTGCAAAGAGTACAATCATTGCTAAGATGGTGTATAGGTGTATCTCTGTAAACATTGACTGTCCATATGAAGAGTAGTGTAGAAATGTTTATTTACCTGCTGCGTTAAAAACGGGTCTACCAGCAGTGCATTTATTTGCCTCTCAATCTAGCGGCCAGACGTATGCGAGTTGGCACAGCCAAGTCGAGGCGTTAACCAGGCCATGTGTCCCCAGGCCTAGTCTCACACCCAACCACTTAACTTCAGCCGTTCATCGTTCACCAGGGAATCTAAATGGTTCACTGTGCTTCCTGTCGGGCCGGTATAATGGACTGCCATCTCCTCTAGTAGAGATTTTTTTTTTTTTGACTCTGCAATCCCAGTGTGTGGTTTCGATACAGCTCCCCCCTTCCTTGATTCATCAGCAATTAAAACAGCCTTCTAGGGTGTGCGACAGGAAGAGAAGTCCATGACCTGTTTGTTTGTCTACCTTCATCACGGATGTTGGGTTTTCTTTGGCCACGCCGTATTATCAAAGTTGCTATTCCTGTGTCCGAAAGATGGATCCTCCCTTGACTAAGCCATTACTCAAAGTAGCATTTAAATTCAGGATTTTCCTACAGAACAGGCAGAGCACACAGTTCTGCAAATCTGCGGATGCTTATTTATTGAGACTTTGAAAATTATGACTATATTTTTTTTACACATGCTTGATCTCTTTACAGGTGACAAACACTCGTGAGATTTGTAGGCTAATTTATTCAGAACATGTACAAGCACTTTTGATGTGTAAAGACAAGGTACCTCAATTTCTTAGTATTCCTACCATATTCATCAACATGCCCAGAAATAGGCCCTGCTTCCGATGCAGAATTGAATTCCTGGTTCAGCACAATTGCTACAAAATTTCCAAATCCATTTGTCATCCCAGTTTTCCGCCCCCGCTATCTTGGATCGGACTTTGGCAAGGCATTAAGTGGCGCCGCGGGTGCTGCCTCTGTCCCCAAGACCCGTTTTTTTTTGTACCCCCCAGATATTTATCGTCTGTCGTTTCTGAGAGACAAGGGCATCTGATGCCACCCTGCATAATTGATGAGCCTCGCACACAGCCGTTTGGTCACCCACGTGAAATTCGCAGGCATCATTTTGTTTGTAGCCAGCATATCATTGCTTTGCATTTGTTTTAGCTGAGACTTTGATAGTTTTTACACTTGCAATGAGCATGGTGTATTTTTGCACAGCGTTGAAAAGAAAAATTTCAGACAGCGATATTAAAGAGGTTATCTGTTAAAGAAAAATTCAGTGGACAACAGTGGAAGAACAAATCACAGAAAATGTTTTTGGGGTTAAATAAGATGCAAGAGTGTAAAACAAAAGATCATATCGATTGTATTAGAATAAATTACAGGGTTTACAGCACAATTCTGAAGAATTCCAATTTTTTGTTTAAATTTTAGAGCCGCCACCTCAACCACCCATGAATAGGGCAGGAGGCCCCGCCCCCATTGCTCCAATGAAATCAACGAATCGTAGTTTCTCAAGTAGCGATCTTGATGTTGCAGACCAGGAACCCCCTCCGCCAGCAATGGAGGTTTCCCAGCCACTGGAGGTGACCAATGAGAACATTTCTTCAACCTCCAAGGTCCAACCGGATCGGGAGCAGTTCATCCGGCAGGGGGCCATCCCCAAACGGCGGACTAGCAACCTCCTCAAGACCTCCCTGGAAGCCACTACCACGGTGGCAGGGAGGACAGGAGCCCTGGATGTGGTGGAGAATGCCCAGATCATCAATGGCACCACGGAGATTGTGGACGGGACGTTGATATCCAGTGAGCCCTGTGACTTTGACGAGCTGCAAACGGACATGCCCCGTTGGGCGGACAGCGCCAGCCAGCTGATCCCCGCTGGCGTGGCACAGCACCACGCTCCAACGGATGGAGGCATCGCAAACCAATCTGTGGACCACAAACCACTGCCGATGGAGGTACAAGAGGGAGTCGTGGTTGCAGTGCCCTCAGGCAGAAAACGCGACGTCCCACTACAGGCAGAGAAAGAACCTTCAGTGCAATCTCAACGGAGCCTGAAGCCACGGGAAAACCGGCCACGCTCCAGCTCCAGCCCAAAGAGTATAATGCAAATGGACACCAGGACGAATAGCGGCAGTCCGCAGAATGGCTGTGGGAGGGACAGCAGTCCGTCGGGGTCTGGAAAGTCCCCACAGGAGAAGAGGAAGCGGCCCAAATCCAAAACCCGCAGCCGGAGCGAGAGCAGTGCCGGCACCTCCCCTGGCGGCAGCGGTGCAGTCAAGCAGAGTGATAGCGAGATCGGGCCAGAACCAGAGAAAGCCAAGAAGGCATCCAAGGACCGGCGGACCTCGCTGTGCGGTGGGGGGAGCCCGTCCTGGAGCCGAATGAAATCACACGCGGGCGCCGTGGACAGCTCGGAGAGTGACGCCGATAATGCCAACAGCAGCGAGGAGACGCCGGCGGCCGGTGGGGGCAGTGCCAAGTCCCGCAGGGCCAAGCTGATGCGGCAGTATGCGGACTGTAAGTCCAAGGTGTTTGTCATGCGCAACAAGGCTCCACTCTGGAATGAGAGCACCCAGGTCTACCAGCTGGACTTTGGCGGGAGAGTCACCCAGGAGTCTGCCAAGAATTTCCAAGTGGAGCTCCACGGCAAACAGGTGAGTTTCTCCTTTAAAATCCAAACAAGTGTTGGAGAGTACCCTCTTTGTGCTGGAAAAGTACATTTATCAATCAGATGGCAGTCCACTGAAGTCACAATTTCAGAGATTTTCATACTCTCAGCAGTACGCTCTGATCATCTCAAGCTGAGTTCAATCAGTGATCATCCCTTACTTAACTACTGGACACGTGCCTGGTACCCAGGACATATGCTGTGCATAGGTTACCAGGGAAAATTGATCGGTAGTTGACCAAATTTTGCCTCGCATGAAATAGTAGTTTTTTATACTCACAGGAGATACAACCATTAAGTCGCTCTTTTGGGCTCAGTGTCGAGTACTGTCTGCCATTACTGGCATTAACAAAAAAAGTCAGAGTTTTCAGGCAGGGTGTCTCACAATGCTGACAATAATTCTTGTTCGGTTGCGATTCCTGTCCCACCCCAGGTGATGCAGTTTGGGAGAATCGATGGCCACGCCTACACGCTTGACTTCCAGTACCCCTTTGCGGCCCTGCAGGCTTTCGCCGTGGCTCTAGCCAATGTGACTCAGCGTCTGAAGTGAAAAAAAGCAGAGAAAACTTCTACGTAAAGTTTGTTTGCCCAGTGAGAACCAGCCAACCTTACTCCTGACGCCTTCGTAAAGGTCACATCCACTGCCACCCAGTTGGCCCAAAAAGATGAAAGCTGTCACTTTTGTTCCCATTCACTGCCTGGTCGCTGTAGCCACAGTCAAAGAATTTTTTTCCCAATAATTTGCAATGCAAAGAATTTTTCACTTATACAGCTCTATACCCTAAAGAATTCTGAGTGGATGAAATAGTGACTCACCTGTGTGACTCACGACCTACAACTCAATTTATTTCTCACAGAGTGTTTATGAGTGCTTCATTAATTAGTATTTAAAATCTCAGTATGTCTGTTGTGGACATGGTGAACTGTAAGTACAAGTTTTGAAATATTGTTTTGCAACAAGTGCATATTTTCTTCACAAAAATGGATTTTTGTCGATGGAGTTAACAATACGTTTGGATTTCTCACAGTGACATTAACTGCATGTATCTTTGAAATGAATAGTTTAGACAATTCATGCAGTTCATGCAGACTTTTGAACCCAGTCATGCTGAAACCAGTAAAACCCGTTGTGATTAAAATGGCTTTGTATTGAGATTATAGATTTCTATAAGATGTCCGCTCACCTGGACAGCATTGCAACCACAGTTGTATGTGGTTGGTGTTAGCATTTTGTGCAAGTGTTGTGAGACTTGTACCAAAGTGCCTCGACTACGCACAGTTCCACCTTTTGTCATCAAAATCCTTGATTTTTGTGGTCAGTTGACTCTTGGAATTGTAGAGTTGCCCAGTTTTCTATTCAACAGCAGATTTCATGTTCCTTAGTGAACACAAACAAGCACAAAAAACTGCCCGGCTGAGGAGAAAGTTTGGCCTAGCAACAGCAGGGCACTGGCTAATAGTCCATGTGACCTAGGTATGTCATTCCACGACTGGTCATCAGCAATACTCTGGGGAGCAAGTCAGTCTAGCAATCTTGTTTCTGTTGTGGTCACAGACAGTTATTCTAATATATAATTGAACATTTTCCATTTCTTTCCCCTCCCAAAAGCAAGGAAGAAATCACTTTTAAGCATGTTCCTCACCAAAACAGTTGAACTATTTCTCACTTGTAAGTTTTTGCAAGGCTGAAGGCATTATTTTGAAAGACTTAAATGATTTGTGTGTTTATTTATCACTCAATCCTTATGACAAAATAATCCAGGAATTTAACATTTAATATTTTGCTACGTATAAATAAATGCACTGTCTCACCTTGTTAATACCACACTCCCCAATTTCAGGTGCTGAAAATCTTCACCATCCTTAGGCAAGGCTATCCAATTTTGTCTCGAATTTAATGCAGTGTGTTTAAGAAGTGAGGAAAAAAAACGAGTCTAACGTCTAACCAAAGTGAGCTGTTTGAACTGTCATTCCTATGCAATCTTTGCGCTTGTAAGCTAGTGGACGATTTTCGTGAATTTTTTTTCTTTTTTTGACTTTTGGAGAAGTGGTTGTATAAACATTTGTTATTTATATTCGTCCTTTTCTGAAGGAGGTTGGTTTTGGGTAGAATGAGAGAGTAATTGAAGGTAGTAATGTGGGCCGGGTTAGACAATTCAAATGGGCAGTGTCACTTGACTTGATCGTTACTTCCACTGTAGGGTTAGGTGTCAAAATTCAGGAAGGCACAGTGTTACTTGTTACTGCAAAACAGTTGGAGAAGCACTTGTTTTGAATTCTGTTTTGGTTCATATTCTAATTCTCAAAGTTAGCTTTCTTTTTTTTTTTACATGATATGCATTTGATGCTGTAATTGAGTTGGATTAAAACACTGATCCACTCAAGATCATCTATGGGAACATCCCTGTGACATTTTGAGGTTTTTTAAAATTTCTCCCTTGTCAACATCTGCCTTTCTGAAAAAAAAATGCCCGTATGGACTTGTCCATGTGGACAAGTAGTCGTCAGTCTCAATATTCCAAAGTTCTTCAAATTACCCATAAATCACCTTGCCTTGGGAGAGTAACAGTGAATGCTTCTTATAGGGTGTTGTCTACAAAGGAGCTGGACAGGTTAACATGAACATGGGAAAGAAACGTGATACCAAGGGTACATGTACATTTATGTGCAGATCTGTATGAAAGGCTACTCTGGCTAAGGATGTACAGTGGTTAAATTTCCAGTTTTTCAGTTTATAGTTTGGAATGTATGAGGCTTAAAACAAAGTGAAGGCTGCCAGTAACTTACCCCAGCGTGTAGGCAGTGTTTCCCCGATGGTTTGGGGTAATTGTTTGATTTGTCCACGCCTTGAACACTCTCCTGCCTGTCCCTCGTGTGTTTTGGTGCGGAGGCTCTGACTGGATTGAGACCAAAGACTGTCCCTCTCGAAAGGAAATCCAATTTCATTTTAATGTCGAATCTGACAGGCAAAATTTTTGTTCCGTCCATTTTTGGCTGCAAGAGGGAATAACGACTTTGTAAGAAAACAGTCTGCCTGCCTATTCACAACTGTAAAATGTTTTGGGGTGTAACAGTTGCAAAAATACGTCAACATTGGAAAGCGCTGCTGATGTGACTTGCGCCCTTTACTGTGTTTTGCGTGGTGAGCTGGTTGAATGCATTACACTTAAAGTGTGTCCAGCAACAAACTCTGTTTGTTGCTGGACATACTTTAAGTGTAATGCATTCAACCAAGGACTGGCAAGGACTATTCAACTCGGTCATTTTTACCTACGTGTAGTTTCCATATGCTGCTCACTGTAAGCTGAAATAGGAAAGAAAGTTTCAGTGCTGCTGGGAAGTATTTTAATTAGTGTTTATTCTCAAGTGTTTGATCGACACTGACCATGTGCTCAAATAACGTGTGTCAAGACGTTGACTGCTTGCATCTGATGAAATACGTGCTGAAGTGTGCTAGAGCTGAAGATCTTGGTTTGCAGCAGCCATGTCTTGTTGTGTGGAGTACTACACATACTTAATTAAAGGAAGCGGAACTTTAAGCTGTAAACATGTCACTATAATTATTGGAGAGGGAAACGCCGAACCGTTTTCTCCTTTTCCGGTACATGCTGTAAGGAAACAGTTTTCATTCACTGCCAAAAACAACAACCAGAAGAACAGAAAGCTTTAGAAAAGGCTGAAGGTCTCTTAGTTACCGAATGCGTACAGTGCCAACGCTGGTTTGACTTCAGTCTTTTGGGACTCGGCATTGAGTGGATTGGAAGAGGGCTGACTATTTTGGAAGTTTAAATAGAAATGGTGCTATGACATGACGCGTTGTACTTAAAACTGATTTGTCCTTTCCATTGAGGGCACTAGTTGGAGGTTGATCTCCATGGGAGTTGATCCGTGACGTGAAGCTGTGTTACATTTAGTGGTGGTAACTTCCTCACACACATTGTTCTAATGTTCCTGGGCATTAATATAATTTCTGATGTACATCGTGTATGGCTTATGGATTGTGAGGAGAGTACCATTTAATGGTGTAGGGCTCAAGGTGGAGCCAGTGTTCAAGAATTTTGAAGGGGGGGGGAATGACGCATGGGAGTTTCAAAATGGAGGAAACATAGAAAATGACCATCACTTTAAGTGATGATGTTCCATCTTGCAATCTTTTTTGCACGGTATTTTGGATCACTCTGAGACCCCCAAGTTTTGTCATAATACAAGTAGCGCCGCCCCTCCTGTAGTGCCAAGTAAACCATCATAAAAGAGAAAGAGTTTTATTTGTCAAAGGCAGCCATTGCATTAAATATCGAGTTTGTTCCAATACACTTTTATTTTTGCTTTTTGTAGTCTGTACATACACCGTGCATTTAACTTCAACAAAGACAGAAATTAACCATCTGAAAAGCACAAGTCACGTTATATTGCTTACTGTAATTATCCTCTCATATATTCAAATGCATTACCTGAATGTTATGTGTTATTTATTACTGGTTCATTTAAGCGTCATATCCGAAGCTTGCCTGTATTTTACTGAAATTGCAATAATGGCAACACAGTTTTATCTAAATTATTGCTTTGAAACAAGCTGTTCCAACTATAGTGTGAAGAAAATTTGCCAGAGTTTGACGTGATGACAATTCTTTGGGTTTCCAGCTTCAGCAGGAAGGTTTTGTGTATTCAGCTTTTTTTTTTCCTTTTGAACAATCAGAGACAAGCAGACAAACCTGAATGCATGGAGTTTGTGACTTATTTCCTCCAATGATAACAAAAAGTAGGCAGGCCAAGGATATTGTAGTGTTGTAACCAAGACATTTTTAGAAACCTCACTCAAAATGCTTAGGTAATTGAATGTGAGATTTGAAATGAATATTTCAACCTGAATTAAACTCTTACTCCAAAACATTTCACCAGCTAATTACTCTCTGTGGCCTAACTGACTCAGTATGTTTTTGAAAATTTAAATGATTAAAGTCATTGAGGTTGTTTCAGGTCTCAGAAAGGTCTTGGTTACATCATTTATATGTTGGTATATCTTCAGTATTAATTTTTTTGGTTCTTGCATAGATGTGTGCCAAAAGAGAGCATAATTATGAGCAACTCATTAATGGTGCCATAAGCTGGTACCTAATTGGTTTATTCTGGTTCATAACAGGGATTCAACCAATACAAAGTGTTGGTGCATGGATTTGCTGAACACTTAAATGTTACACAATATTGTAAAATATATTGTTTTTTTTTTTTTTTGTGGCATGTGTGCTGTGTTTTCTTTCGACCAGTCAGATGTCGATTTCCAAACTGCCTAATTGTTCAATTTGAATATGTTCTCTGTTGCAGCATTGTGCCCTTGGTGAACTCATGGCCATACTTAACTTGCGTTTATTCCTCTGTGACAAAGGCTTATGATTGTGTTGAACCAGTGCAGAAAGCCAGAGCCACTTGGGAAAAAAAGCAAACAAATATTTCACTCAGTTGTCCCATTAAAAAAATCTTCTGATGTCTTGATTCCTACTCTTAAAAGCCAGTAAATTGTTTTGCTTAGGTATTGATTAAAGAGTTCTTTTTCCATCACAATGTTCCTGTGCTTTTTCCCATTGAAGAGCCCACAGAAAAGGCACCTTAGGTGATGGAAATGATGGACCCCAATTGGGAACTTCCTTCTTTTTTCCTACAGCCCCTGATTATGAAGTCAGGGAAGATGAATTCTGGTGAAGGAGATTGTAGATTAGAGTTAAATCTTCAAAATGCCTTGCTCATTTCAGGTTGAGCAAGCTCTAAATGATCAGTGACCTTACCTTTTTGTATTGTAATTCTACGACAGTGTTGTAGTGAAGACCAATGAAGACCTTAACAAGACCACACAAGACCAACACAAGACCTGTAGTCTGAATTCAAGTCAAGCTATTCAAATGAACTGCAACAAAAGCATTCCTTTGTCATTGTTCACCCTGTTACTTGTGACTTGTCTTGTGCATGGTCTTGTGTCTAGTCTTGTGATGGTCTTGACTACAGCAGTGCTCTATGGTATCTTTGTCCTTAGTGCAGAAGCTTCAAGTTTTTTGTTCAAGCCGTAACTCTTCTTAAATGGGGAAATTCCACAAAAATTCTATTTTTTTTTTCAGCAGTTATTTTTTACAACAGTGTTGCATTTGCTCACAAAATTGCTTTAGTGTCTACAGAAAAGGTTTAACTGGCTTCATAAGAAACTCACTTTCCATTAAGATGTGATTGTGGACACGACTGGAAACTTGAAGTAAAATATTTTACAGAGGTCGTTTGGATATGAAGGTAACAGAAGAGGTAGATGTAAGTGGGTGGGGGCAGGGGTTGATGGGGAGGGCTTTGGTATTTTGAAATTAAATTAAGAATCGTATGCATGGTCCTATGCCTCGTTTCTGTTCCATGTCACATCTCTGTTTTTCCATCTTTATTGTATTCACAGTAAGATATTGTTCCTGTAGTCTTGTATATGCCATATCTTAATATGAACTCTGTGGCATTGACATTATAAATTAATTATTGAGTAACTGAATGTCAGAAAAGAGATTTTATATGTCAAGAAATGGGTAATAAAACAGGTGTATTCACACAATGTTGATTGTGATAAAAAAGTAATGAAACCAGATTTCTTACTTGGAAATATGCATTATGAGTCATTTAGTTAGAAGTATGATTCCCCCAGTATCCTTCCCTGACATTCAATGTTCACGATTTACGGCTAGCTTTAAAAATTGAACCTGAATTGTCCTGAACTGTGAACTTTTTCCTTCACTTGACTTTAAACTCCTGTAGTTTTTTCAAACTCTGAAAGTCAGTGAATACACGTACTGTGCTCTTCCATTTGAATAATGAAATACCCGTTTGTGGTCCAGTGAGCAGCTGATTAGAAAAAGACTAGAACTCCAAGATGTCTGTGAACTTGAATTGCACTCCACAGTGAAGGACATCGTTTTGTACAAGTTTCCAGAAAATTCATTATTCCAAACTTTTGAGCCAAAATTAAAATTGTAAAGGCTTCACCGTGGATTTTCTGCCTCAGAACTGCCTCAGAATGATATTTGATGGCCCATAATATGCTCTCAGGACCATGAGACATCATTTACACAAGTTTCAAATGAATTCATTATTCTGAAATGTTGGGCCCAAATCAAAAAGGAATTTGCAAGGGCTTAGCCTGTATTTTGATTATATTTTGGCCAAAAACTGACTTTTTTACAAACCGCTTCAAAATGATTGTTGATGGCCTCT